GTTGTAAATCACATGCCTGTCTGAGAAACGGAAGACAGTCTTATTTCTTCCGCTGTAATGTACTTTCACTTTTACTTGTTCTTTTTGTTGTCTCGGAGCTGGAGAGAACGGTCGCCATTATGCCTTTGTCTGTACATAGTGTGTAAATAAATAGTAGATTAGATCTACGATGTCTCACTCTTCTTGCTGTGTTTTGCTAGAAGATTAAGTGTGCATATATTAGCTGGTATGTGTCGCTGAGTGCACTGGAGAAGAGGGGAAATGCCTTTTCCAGGGCTGCGCATACTGGAGGATGCTCAGAGTTTCGAGGGGGATTGCAGGCACCCCCAGGGCATTTTTCCAACACATCCCCTTTTGGCTTCTCCCAAAGACTCTTGGGAACTGTAGTCAGTTAAAGGCGTTGAGAGTTGCTAGGAAACACGATATTCCTCTCACAAAGCTAAAACCCCGAGAGTTTCCTAGGGAAAAGGGTTGAATGTTAAACCATTATGATAATTGTAGCTTATGAGTAGTAGAGCATGACATGGGTTCGAGCCCCACATTGGGCAAAAAGATTCCTGCATCACAGGGGGTTGGACTAGAGGATTCTTGTGGTCCCTTCCAAATCTACAATTATATGATTCTATTATTCTTTTACATCTGGCCAACCTTCTGCACAGTGTCTAGCCCAATGGTGACACAAACATACATGCCAACCACATTCCTAAACATCACTTACCAAAGAGTAAGCCCATTGAACACAATGGGAGTGGTTTATGAAAAAACACCGTTAACTTTTTCAACATTGCAGAAGTCCACCAAAACCTCCCTTTTATAGACTTCCGGGTCAGCGCCATCGGTGAATGGCGGAGTTCCTCCGACCGGAGGAACGGGCTCCGTGGAAACTGGGTCTTCCCACCGCGGCGAAGGTGGGGACCCACTAGAAATCCCAGGCGGAGGAAGCCTGGGAACGTGGGGTTCGGCAGGGCACCAGGAGCGCCCCCCCTACTCACCGGGAACCCCATTTTGGGGCACCGGAGCAAAGTGGGGTGAGTGGCGCGGTGCTGCGAACTGATTGCTATTTTCACGGAGTGAAGCCGCACAGCCATTGCCGGAGAGCGCTGACTTTTTCCTGTGGACAATTGGATTTAAAACAAGTACCCGTGAGTAGAAACGGAAAATTGGATTAAGAAATATCTCAATTTGGCAACGAAGCGGGAAGGTGCAAAACAGGAAGTCCGCCTTCTGCTTTTTGTATATAGACTAAAGCAAAAACTTCGTAAGCTAAAGCCTGGAAAGCTGTTAAAAAAAGTCTAAATTTCCTTCATTCAGAATTACTGAAACCCCCTTGGAAGCAGGAGAAAAGGGGGGGGCTTTGTTCAACTCTAGCAGGAGAAGGAGTGAAGAAGGATAAGTTTCCACCGTCTCTAACCTGGGAACGGGGTGTCAGAGACAGAAATTGTTGGAGAGGTTCATCGACTGTGAACGGAATACTTTGACAGATAGCTAAAGAAGAGAAACAAACTGACTCCAGTGTTGCCTTTTGCATTCTAAAGAAACAAAATATCTGAAAAATATCTGAAAAATGAAAGTAATTTTCCTTTGTTGGACTTGCCTTAAAAAAAATATGGATACAAATAGAAATTGTCTCCTCTAGAGGGAGCTTGTTAAATTGTTGCTGCAGTATACTTGAGGACTCAACAGCTGTGAGATTAAGATCGTGGGACCAGGCTCTTCTGACCTTGACTAAAGATGAGCTGGGAGGAAGAATGGGGGCTTGCTCTATGCAAGACAAGTGCCTTGCTGGAACAGATGCACGAGAAGATGGATTTGATGAATGAGAAAATGGATTTGATGACTGTTGGGGTTAATAATTGTGGACAAACAGGGAACATTGATACAGAAATCATTCAGGGACCGACTCATGAACCTGTACTGTCTGGGCAAGTGCAGAAGATAATGGAGGAGGATGCGGTTGCACCTCAAATAATACAAATGGAGAGACCCGAGGCCCTACAGGAGCATAAGCCGCTGTCATTGAAGATTGAAGTTGGAGTGGGCCAGGGGGAGTTTGGAGCTGAGGAGGTTCCTAACTTTGGAGAGACCTTGGAATATGCTTTTAAATACTTTTTGGACTATATTGAGGATTGTGGGGAGTGGGTCTGTGGGGAAAGGGCGGGTTTGATGAAGAGAGATGGAGACAATTTTGGGTTGGAATTCCCCAGGGACCTACTCCTCAATGAGAAAGGAAAGAAATTAAGAAAGAGACCAACAAAAGACAAGGAAAAGGGCAAGTATAAACAAGAAGAAGAAGAACTGCAGAAGGGACATGGAAGAGACTTAAGGGCCTCGGACATAAGGCTTCCAGGTTGATGGACTAGATGGAATAGACAGTAAGGACTGACACGATCCGAGACCAGGAAGAAGAGACGTTGGATGAAGATTGGAAAAAATTATAAATAAAAACTTTCTATTTAGGGAATTAGCTTAAAATTAATGAATATTAAGGAAAATGTTGGAATGAAACTATATGACTCTAGCAGAAATGATATCAGGAGTTATGTATATTTGAAAACTAAGACTTAAGCTTTAAGGTATTTTAGGGTAAGATAAGGTTAAATAAACTAAGGTAATTTGAATAACAGAATATGGGGAAAGATGGAAAGGATTTGTTGAGCTAATTATTAGGTTAAATTGTTAAGATAAATTTTGTAACAAAAATTGAGAAAGATGGAAAGAATTTGCTGAAATAACTAATTGAACTAGAATGCAAGAAGGGAGGTGTGAGGAGGTCAATGAAACAAGCAAATGGAAGTTATAGATATGTAATTTGGGATTTGTGTTTTTTTTTGTTTTTTTTCTTTTTGCTGTACTGTTGTATTGGTTTCTGTGTTTTTTTCTTTTTTATGTATTATTGTGTTGCTTTTTATTTTTTCTTTATTTTCTATAATTCTGAAACTACTAATAAATATTATTTTTTTAAAAAAACAAAACCTCCCTTTTATAAAGGAGGTCTTGCTTGTGTTTTATTCTCGTCTACAGATAGAAGTTTTACAATCATACCTGATTGTAGGATTCACATACATGCCACCTTTCTATTTTATATATTCTGCTATTTTTCTCCTCCTGCACTCATGGATGAGGCATGCTGGTTGCACCAGGATAACTTAGTTGTAGGTAATTCTGTTGGGATTTAGGACAATTCCTTTTATCCACCATTGAGCCCATACAAACTGCATGCTCTTTGTAATGAATCCAATTATCCAATCTAGTAGCTAATTAATTAACCTCCTTGTTAAACACGGGAGAGGATTTCCAATAGTGCCATTCCCAAGTACCAATTAAAAGCCTTTTAGACTCATAGGCAAATAATTGTGCCTCTGTTGGGGGTTTTCAGGCTCTTCCAAGCAAGTGTCTTAGCGCCTGAAGGAAATGCAATCAAATGATATTACTCAGCAGCTACAGAGGATACAAAGGTCTTGCCCGCAGTTAGCACTTAGAAGATTACACTTCCCCATTAGTTCATCAGATGAACCAGGTTGTGTGGCTAGTATAGAGTATTTTTGTTTACAAATTGACATCTATTTCTTTATGAGGAATGTAGAATTCATGTAGCATGAACTGACCTTGTCCTAAAAAGTGGTTTGCAAGATGGCCTACCCAGGAATGTATTTAAATGAGGAGGAAAAGAAGAGTTTGGATTTGATATCCCGCTTTATCACTACCCGAAGGAGTCTCAAAGCGGCCAACAATCTCCTTTCCCTCCCTCCTCCACAACAAACACTCTGTGAGGTAAGTGAAGCTGAGAGACTTCCGAGAAGTGTGACTAGCCCAAGGTCACCCAGCAGCTGCAGGTGGAGGAGCGGAGACGCGAACCTGGTTCCCCAGATTACGAGTCTATCACTCTTAACCACTACACCAAATGAGGGCTGTCACCTGACTAAAGAAACCTGTCATTTCCTCCTTTGGGGTTCATACAAGCTTGGAGTTGGAGTGCAACTTTGGGTTGTTGTTGTTGTTGTTATTATTGATATTATTGATGTTGTTGTTGTTGTTAATACTACACTTGTCTGACTGGATTGCCCCATCTACTCTAGGCAGCTTCCAACAGAATATAAAAATACAACTACACATCACAAATGAAAAACTTCCCAATCCAGGGCTGCTGATCTGAAATCCCACAAAGCTGTTTGATCTCAGCCAGGAGTTCCATAGAATTGGGACCCACAAAACCGAATGCATGAATAGCTCAGTTGGTGAAGAGCATAGTGCTGATATGCCAAGGTCGCAAGCTTGATAGCTATGTGGGACAGCTGCAGATTCCAGCCTTGCAGAGGGGTTGGACTAAATGATCCTCAGAAATAAATTGCCATTTATTCCATTTATATAACCCTTTATCCGAAGATCCCAGGGCAGTGTACAACAATAAAAACTTAATCTACGTAGCACAATCTTTCTCTCTGTGTTTTCTCTCTATATATGTCATATACATATATAGATGTGTGTGTATATATATCTGTATATATACACATACCCATAATAATAAATATGTTTCTCTGTGTTTGTTTCATTGTTCTTCTATTGTGGATTCATATATGAATGAATATGAACAGGAATTACTTTTAGGGTCTCCCTCCCGTCCCCAAGCAGCACAACTACCCAGACGTCGACCAAAGAGCTGCTTCTTTGAGTGGCAAAGCATTCATTCACACATATCTCCTGATAAGCACAAGGAGGCGGGACCTTTCCCCCTTCCTCCCTCATCAATCCTCCTATCAGGATGAGCCTTCGGGTTGCCCTCCCGCTCCCACCTCCAACATCAGCAGCCGTTTGCTCTCCTTGTGGCTCCTCCCATTCTGGGCGTCGCGACCAATCCGCTCCCCCTAGCAACGGTGTCAGGTTTACCTTAGCAACGCCCGTGCTGCTGCTGCTGCTGCTGCTGCTGCTGGTGGGAGCCGTTGCTAGCGAGAGACGGAGAAAGAGGGCGAAGCTAAGGAAGGCAGCAGGTCTCCTACTTCCCCATGGCAGATCCTCCAGGCGACCAGCCTCAGAATGGGGAGAACCCCCAGCAGCAGGAGCCCTCCAGGCAGCCCAGCCAGCCAGACCCCGGGGGCCTGCAGCCAGAGGCAGCCCTTCCAATGGTTTCTGAACCTGAGGGAGGCCAAGGCCCTGACCAGGACGGCTCCATTTCTGGTGAATACCCGGATCAGCTACCACGAGGCAGCATGTACCAACCCCAGGAGCCAAGGCTGAGCGTCTATGAGCAGCCAGACGGAAGAGGCGGCATGTACCAGCCTCACCAGGCGAGGGGAGCCCTGTTTCAGGCGAGGGGCGGCATGCCTTGGCAGCAGCAACAGCCCCAGCTGCTGCAACCGCCCACCCTGCCCAGGGGAAGCCTCCCTCAGATTCAAGACCCCATGGGAGCCATATATCAGGACCAAATGCAGCAGCCGGTTACAAGAGGCAGCTTCCACGTGCCGGTGTCGAGAGGCAGCCAGATCATGCAACAGGAGAGCTCAGTTCACGGCCCTTACCAAGCCCACGAGCCTGGCATCGGCCTCTACCAGTTGGGGGCCACCTTGATGGAAGACCAGATCCCGGATCCAGGACCCAGAGCGTTGGCAATAAAGAATGCCAAAGCCTACCTGCTGAAGACGAGCCTCAAAACCGGTGTGAGCTTGTGAGTATGGGTAGAAATGGAACCCAAAAAAGTAAGAATCTCGTCAAGTGGGACTGGGCAAAATGTGGGTAGCAAAGGAGTCCGCCCAAATGGAATACGTGTCTCATAGGATGTGATCCTGGGGCTGGGGAAATGGCTATAGCCCTCTGGGTGTTCGTGGGCTCTGACTATCATTAGCCCCAGGATGGTTCAGTCGGTAGAGCTTGAGACTCTTCATCCCATGAACGTGGGCTTGAGCCCCACATTGGGCAAAATATTTCTGCATTGGGAGGGGTTGGACTAGATGACCCTTGTGGTCCCTTCCAACTCCACAATTCTGTGATTTGATGATGGGAATTGTAGTCCTAATAGCAGAACTTGGAAGAGGCCATGGAAGCTTAAGCAGGTGCACTGCACTGATTTTGTTGCAGGTCCCGCTAATTTCTTGTTGGCCTTATGTGCCAAAGCACCCACCAATTATGTTTCAGCTTACGTGGAATGGCCATATGAACAGCAGAAAATTTTATATATCTATACTTTCATTGTATATAGTTGATTATAGGAAGGGACTCATCCTGCTGTAGATGAGATAGCAAGATGGGGAGCAGATGGAATTTATAGGCTGTAATCCACTGCACATTTAAATAGGAGTAAGCCCCTTTGAAACACAGTGACACTTTCAAGTAAACATGCATAGGAATGCACAGTAATTCACCATAAAAAAAAACCCAAAGACATTGTTCCCTCTGTGTGCTTTAGGGCTGGAATAAGGGGGAGGTTCTCAGATGGCAGGACATTATGGCAGAGAGGATAACATTGTTCATAAATGTAACTGTTTCTTAACGGTGGCCTGAGTGCCCTCACACTATAATATTAAAGCAATGGAGCACATAGCTTTTAAAGAGATTTAACAGTACTTGATAAATAATTGTTCATTTTAAACGTGACAAATTGATGTGGGAAACTTGTGCCAATTGCCAGGAGTTGCATTATGCGCACTGTTCAATAGCTGCCTGTGAGAACAGCACAACATTTCATACAGTTCTCTTTAGACTGAAGTAGGAAATTGCAACCAATCCAGCAACCAAATATAATACTGCAATTAGAATTTCCCTACAACAGAAATGCTGTCTTCAAAGAAAATGCTTAGAGCATGGGTGGGTGACCTGTGGCTCTCCTGTGGACTACAACTCCCATCACCCCTGGCCATTGGCCATACTAGCTGAGGCTGCTGGGAGTTGGAGTCCAACAACTTTTGGAGAGCTGCAGTTTCCTAACCACTGTCTTAGAGAATACATTGGTCTTTCACAAATATATGAAACCAATTCTATTCAGAATGCACTGCAGTAAGCTGATAACATGTCTCCTCTGGGACGGCGTGGCATCTCTTTTCCTAATTTCATAGGTATGACCATCTTGCTGACATGCTGGCCAAGATTCTGGATGAGCGACCTGAAAACCCAGCTGACATAATTGAGAACATCAGTAAGGAAGTGAAGTGTGCTCGGTTCCAGAAGAAATTGGACACTCTCCGAGACGAATATGAGAAACATCCAACTTTTGAACTGGCTGAAATGTATAAGACATTGTTCCAGAAAGGTGGTGGAGAAGGAACAGACCAAGAAATGGAAGAGGAATTGGTGAGTCACTGCAACAAATAAAAACTGAAAAACTCATTGACACCTGCTGAACTCTCCTCTTCCCCATTCAGAATGCTAGCAATAAACTGTTAAAAGCTAGAACAGGCCAATTCCCCTTTCTTGTTTTCTTTCTCTCACCCTCAGCTCTCTCTCAACATTCTGTAAGTCTTGGAAGCTCAAAGGTCCTTGTCAGAACCACTGGGCTCAGTCATTGTTGTAGAAGGAACATAAGGAATTTGTGTCTGGTTAAACTTAATTATTAAGCTCACCATAGCCTTAACATGCTTATTTTTCAGGCCCATTAATTTGCATACATACAAGCAAGGCTTCAATTTTGTTCACACTTACTTGGGAGTAAATCCCATTGAACTCAGTAAACTTGCACAGGATTGGACTGCACACAAATTTAGGATCGCTGTGTATAGAAGTAAATAATTATTGAAAATAAAAGCTGTTTATAATTATGCTTATCTAATTTTGGCACTCCCCCCCCTCCAGCCAGAAACTCCTCTACCCAACGTCATGGAGACAGCCTTCTATTTTGAACAGGCTGGAATTGGCTTGAGCTTAGAAGAATATTACCACATATTCCTGGCCCTCAAACAGCTGGTCAACACACATCCCATCCAGACTTGTCGCTTCTGGGGCAAAATCCTAGGCATTGAAGCAAACTATATTGTAGCTGAAATTGAGTTCCGTGAGGGAGAGGAGGAGGAAGAGGCAGAGGAGGAGGAATTGGCTGAGGAGGGACAAAAAGAGGGGAGCGAAGGCAGAGATGAGGATGAAGAGGAAGATGAAGAAAAAGATGAGCCACCAAAGCCGAACTACAAGCCACCACCAGTAATACCAAAAGAAGATAATCGAACCGGGGCCAATAAATACACTTATTTTGTTTGCAATGAACCAGGGAAACCCTGGGTGAGATTACCCCATGTGACACCTGCGCAGATAGTGAATGCCCGGAAGATCAAGAAATACTTCACTGGAAGACTAGATGCTCCCATTGTGAGTTACCCACCTTTCCCAGGCAATGAGTCCAATTACCTGCGAGCCCAGATTGCCCGCATTTCAGCAGCGACCCAGATCAGCCCATTGGGCTTTTATCAATTTGGAGAAGAGGAAGGAGATGAAGAGGAAGAGGGAGGAGCTGGAAGGGACAGTTATGAAGAAAATCCTGACTTTGAGCCTATTTCTGTGCCAGAGTTGGTAGAATCCCTTGCCAACTGGGTCCACCATGTACAGAATATTCTAATGCAGGTATGCTTAAGGAGTTTACAGAGCATCACACAGGGCTCGTTAAGTGCCTTTTTATTATAAAGGCGTCTATCAATAAATAGTGATAAATACATCTTACAATCATACAAAGAATATATTTAGATGAAACATTGTCTTCATTGCTTCTTGCTTGCCCAAACAGTGTTATACCATCCATCAGTTTCAACTGGATGGCCTTATATCCTCCCTTTTCCAACACCAATGCAGATGGGCTGCTTTGGCGAGTGTCCTGAACAGCTGCAGCAACTCAGCCTGATGGTCTGTATAGGTTCAGCAGTGCCTAGTCCTGATAAAAGTAACCTCCCAGAAACAACACCCTCTTAGAGGCCTCTGCTTTTACAAGGGATGGGTGGGTAGGGGGCTGATGTTAAAGAATATCAGTGCAGTCGTACCTTGGATCCCGAACGTCTTGAGACTCGAACGTTTTGGCTCCAGAATGCCACAAACCCAGAAGTGACTGTTACGGTTTGCAAATGTTCGTTGGAACCCGAACGTTCGACACGGCTTCCGATTGCGTGCAGGAAGCTCCTGCAGCCAATTGGAAGCCGCACTTTGGTTGTCGAACATTTTTGGAAGTTGAACGGACTTCTGGAATGGATTCTGTTTGACAACCAAGCTACAACTGTATCTTTCCCCACTCCCCATCTTCCACTGCTGCCCAGCCCTCTTTTAACGGTCAGGAACATCAGGCTGGGGAGCTAGATATCTGTCTGTCTGGCCCTTGGAACACTCTCCAGGCCACACCCCAAGTTCTTCCCTCACTGGAATGTCTCCTTGAACTCTGATGAGGCCTGTTGCTCATCTGGATGGAGAAAATAAAGCAATGTGTGAATACACATAGCTGTACAAAGGTAACATCTACATTACTTGCTCTGCTCACTTGTTTCTGGCTCTGCCCATACACAATAGAATCTGGTCCTTGGGCTGAAAGGTTCCCCCACCTCTGCTCTAGATAGATAACACTCTGTCTTAGAGCACCCAGCTGCTTAGTCCTCCTTTTGGCCCATGGCATGTAGTGTCCTCCAGTTGAAGCAAGTTCAACATTTCATATTGGGGCCTGTGCATGAAAGCCAGCAGAAACAGGAGGAAAGCTACATGTGCCTTATGAGAGGCTGCTCTGCTTTTGCAGGGCATGGGATTACATTAAAAAGGCATAGCAGAGATGGAGGTTAACACAAAAATGAACACTCACAAAGAGAAATGGGGGAAAAATCAAGAGTGCTTTAAGAATCCCATCGAGTATAAATTCCCTCTGTTCCTTCCTTTTTGTAAGATGCCCATGGTTTCATATTATTAGCAAAGGAATATTGCCTGACTGGACGCTAACGGAGTTCACATTAATCTTGCTTTGTAACCCATGGTATATTGGATGTAGGGACGCTGTACTTGGGTTAATCCCTATCAAAAATCAGAGGAAGAAGAAGAGGAGGATGAGGAAGAGGAGAGACCAGATGAACAAGAAGAATCACAAGAAGTAGGACCCCCACTTCTCACGCCACTCTCTGAAGATGCAGGTACACCAGTGGCCAGACATGTTTGATGCTTTCCCCCCTTTCCTTTACAGATATTACAGACTTGGAGGCATTGGCAGAAAGCAGTGCAGAAAGCAGGTGGTGGTTTGGGATTGTAGATCATTAAGTGTATAGTATTTCTAAAATGAATCAACTCTTCATAGTGATTTTTAATAGTATAGTTTAAAAAAGGGGAACTCATTTTTCCTCAATCAAACATGGAAGTAAGGCAACAACAGGGACTTCAGATGGAATGTAGATTAATGCTAACATTCTTATCAGCCAAAGAAAATCCCGTGTTGCAAAACAGGACACTCTAAACAACAACAAGCAACACGTCGGCTACAACAACAACAAGCAATACTAACAAAATCTTTATAGCATTATACTGTTTCAAAATTCATAAACAGAAGAGATATGATATGTGCATATGTGCATGGAGTCGCAAATGACAGGTATCAAATAAGTGTTCCATAAACAAGAATGGTAGGCGTGGTAAGTCACTGAGATGGAGGCAAAATGCCTTTCCAAGGTCAGTAGCCTATAAATGTAAGGTGATAGGTGCTCCGAACATAGCAGTAGGGTACTCCAAGCACAGCAGCAAACAGAACAGTTCTTCCAGGATAATGAACTATTTCAATGATAATTCTTCATCAGGTGGCAATGATATAAAATGAAATACATTACATTCAAATACAATAGAGAGATTGAAATGACAGGCCTGCATATAAACAACCCATAATAAATACATACCAAATTAATTGTCCCCAAAGGTACATCAATTAGCCATGGATCAGCAATCACTTACAAGTGTAGCAAGCTGATACTTTTGGCAGAACCCTAGTAGCATTATGAAGGCTATCCACAGGTACAATGAATCACACAAAATTTCTGTATAGGAGAGCATCGATCCCACATTAGGATCAAGTCATGGAGGCACCTCTAGTTGAGCACTTTGTAATACACCATCATGCAGATACAGACCTACTTTACACAGTCCTGTGGGTTAATCAGAGAAAATTTGGGATGAGGAGAGATCATCTTAAATTACTGTGCCAACAAAAAACCAGACTGATTTACTTGTTTAAATCCCTGCACCCGGGGAGTTTGAATACTGAATTAGATTTCAATTGTTTTCTGATAAGATGGCTACTGTTTTGTGTTCTCTTTGCTAGATGTTGGATACTGTATCTTTAAATTTCCTGAAATTTTATGTGATTCATTGCACCTGTGGATAGGTGATACTGATACTGTTGGCAGAACCCTAAAGGCTATCCCCAGGTGCAATGAATCACATAAAATTTCAGGAAATTTAAAGATACAGTATGTTTAGATCATTTTTATCAGGGCATCTTCAGTAAATCATTGGCTTAATCAATCTATCTTAGCATTGCTTGTCTCAGTCCATTCAAAGAACATGGGGGCATTCTCATTGAAATATCAGTGAAACTAAAAAGATTGAAAGCATTTTTCTCAGAAAGACAGCCATACTCATGTTTTCTTCCTTAGGTTAATATCAACATAAAGTTACAAATGGTGTGATGTATGTAAGAGAAGTGTGCCTGTTCAGGGTTTGAGCCAGTTTGGAAGACTTAATATTGTATGTGCTTCACATTAGACAACATTTTTGTTTATTCCCGTCCTTCCTGAAAACATCCCTCACTGTCCTGATGCTGCTTTTTCTTCAAAATCAAATTGGTGATTTAAGAACACTGTTTAAGAAATGTACTGTAGCATGTTTTATCCTCAGGTAAAAGTTTTACACATGCAAAATCTCTTACTTAATTTTTCTCAAGTAACCAAGAATAAATTTGTTTCTTAAACAGACATTCAGAACATCCCACCATGGTCAGCAGAGACATCAACAAACTTAGTTCCTCAATATGCCCTTGCAGTTCTTCAGGCCAATTTATGGCCTGGGGCTTACGCCTTTGCTATTGGAAGGTAAGAAGCAGAAATCACTTGGGTTGCTTGATAATCTGTTGTTTCTTCTTCTAATTGTATAATCTTTCCAAAGCTGCTATTATGTTTTCCTTTTTTTAAAATCATTTCTATTAAGTTTTCCATTTTAATAATCCAATCCAATCACATTAAATATTCCAAATTATACCCTGCTATTAGGATTTCCAAGGAACTGATGCCAATAGAGGCTTCTTTTGAAATGCTAATAGCAATTTCAGGGAAGCCATTTTTGGCAAGGCTGTGGAAGGGAGCGAAAGGGTTAAACGTTCACTTCTCGTCTTTCATTTGGCCTTAAGTTTCCTTTTCATCATTATCTGGAAGGAGAAGCAAGCAGTGAGTGTATGTCACCTGAACTGTAATGTGCAATTCTTGTATCAATTAATTGGAGGAGCATGATATTGTTGTTCCAATCATTTTGGAAATGAGCCATAGTGGAGACTGTGGTGCCTTTGTGATTTATACAACCTGAGCCTACAATGGAGGGGATCGCAGCACATCACCCCAGGAGGTTCTTGCTTTTCCTATAGCCACAGCCTTGAATTCCAGCAGAAATTAGGCCTGGTTTTTTCTGACTTTCCAGCCTGCTGCTTTTGCATCAAGCTTCTAGCTCTCATAACTCAACTCTCCCCTCTGGCCTTTTGTCTTTCTAACTAACTTGACAGTATATAGCAGGCCATTACCAGGCTGGCCTGGATATTCCAGCAATCGAATCCATGCTGGATCCAGAAATTAGAAGGGGACACATACACACACACCCCAAACAACTAACAATACTATGGTGTGATGTGATGTGATCACAGCATTTCCTTCGTTTGCTGTGATTTTGGGGAAAGGTAATGCAATGTCACTTCACATACTTTACTTTACTAAGGTGGCAATCCTATACTTAGCTCCCTGGGAGCAAGTCCCATTGAAGTCAAGAGGGCTTTCTTTTGAGTAAGTATGCATAGGATCCAGCTATTAACCTTTCAGATGGTAGGTGGTACAGAGGAGGAAACCTTGCAGTTAAGCTTTTGGCAGTAGCCATATGTCATACATAAATATAGATCCAGCCTCAAGCCTTGGAGAGAAAGGACAGTTGGATTTTTCTTTTCAAGTAATATTATGATATTTCACTTCTTCCTTTAGGAAATTTGATAACATCTACATTGGCTGGGGTCACAAATACAGTGCAGAAAATTTCAGCCCTCAGTTGCCACCGCCCGTGCAAACTGAGTACCTTAGTGGGCCAGAAATCACAGAAACAACAGACCCAACTGTGGAAGAAGAGATGGCACTCAAGGCTGCACAAGAGGAAGCACTGGCAGCTGAAGAAATGGAAGAGATGGATGAGGAAGAGGATGAAGAGGATGATGATTAAACTCCAAAGAGCAAGAATTGCTATAATATTTTTTTCCTAAGCATGTATAAACTTTTCTACTAATGTATTAGAATAAGCAAAGTATAATATATAGAAATAAATGGATAGGTGTTGGATTAATTTCAAAGAAGTGTTTTGTCTTACTGTTTTCGGGACTGGTGCTTTTACTGTAGTAGATGAAAAGCTTTACCTCTTAATGGAGTCACTTGGAGACCTTGGCAACAAGCAACTAATACATCTCATTAATATTATCATTATTAATAATATTAGAACAAAAAGAGTGTTGAATGATCAGATAGACAAACTTTGTCCTAATCCTTCTCACACTGTATAACAGCACAGGTTTTTTCTATGAGTCAAACCATAAGGGGGTCTGAAAGGTAGGATATAAACATTTTAATATATAAATATCATAATTACTCTTCGTGAAGGCAGGCCAGTACTTTTCAGGTAGCATTCAGGCCCAAATGAGAACATTTGCAAGGCAGGGGGAGGGAATGGTAACTTGATTTCCCAGCTTAAAAATCAATTTTAAAGCTGCTCTGTGGGCTGCCTTTTTTTTTTTTTGGTAGCAATGCTAGGGAAGGGGATCATTAACATTTTCCCCATGCATATTAATCTAAATCAGCACCTCATAGCTGCTGTTAGACACACCAGGGAGCAGATAGAGGTACTTTGGAGTGGTGATTTACGGTGCAGGGGGAAAGGGTTAAAAACACAAGCAAATGATTCCGTGCAGGATCCAGGGATTATTAGAAGGGTGTGGCATACAGCCTACTTCCTTCCCGCCAAACTCATAATAATATACAGTATACATCTGCGGTGACCACTCACAATAGCAGCTGTAAGCTATTACCTCTTAGCCACCTATTAACTGCTAAATTGTTTTTGCGCTGGCATGGCCGTTTAAAAACATGTTCGAAGACCCTCGAAATTCACACATACCCTACCAGACCTAGGGGAGGTATATGATTTTCCTGCCATTTATTCTACAGGAGGAGGGTGACACCGCTGCCCAGTTACTTTCGTGATACGTTCTTGAGTTCCCCGTCGTTTTGAGGCTGTACAAACAAAAGGGGTAAAGAACAAAAGGGGTAAAGGCTTAGCAGCTTCTTCCGCGAACAACATAAGCGCTTTAAAGCGGACGCATTCAATCAACGCGCTCGCAAGGCTGAGAATCCGATCCAGCCAATCAGCAAGCGGCTTTCTGCCTGGCCTACCCTACCCGAGAGCGACGACGGGACTGAGGGGAGGGGAGGCAAACAACAAAGGAACCTTTTTAACCCTAATACCACCGCGGCCCTTTTAAAAGAAGGAAAAGGGGGGAGCCAGGGGAGTATTCCGCCCCCCCCCCTTTTCACTCATTTCCCGAGGGACAAGAAGGAGGCTCGAATCTGACGAAATTCCCTTTGGTACTTTATACAGGGTCGAGCGCTCTTTGTCTCATCGCCTCCCCCCGCCCAGGCGCCTGAGATGGATTCGCCCGCCCACCCCCTTAGACATTAGTGCGGTCCAACTTGTGGGCGGGGATTGAGCGCCTACGTCACCAACGGACCAATAGAAAAGGGTCCCGGGGGGAAATTCAAACTGTAGAAGTGAAATTGAGGTCCGGTGGCGGGTGAGGGCGGTGGTGGCTTCATTGGGAGAGATGGCTGAGGAAGGCGGCGTCACGGTCTGCGTGCGGGTGCGCCCGCTTATTGCGAGGTGAGTTTCTGAGTGGGGGAAAATGGAAGTGCACAATAATTCCCCCACATCTTGCTCCGCGTTTACTCCGAAGTAACCCCTCCCTGGTGTTTCTAAGGGGTCTACTTCGAAGTAAGCACGCGTGGAGAGGTGCGCGGCCTTAACAGCCTGGCTAAACATGCATGCGAAGGAAGCCTTACTCTTCAATAGGGCGCACATCATTTTCCTGCGACTGTCCTCTGTTTCTATTTCTATTTGCTTTTATTTTCTTCTCCCCCCACTTAAAAAAATTAAAAATTAAAATGCGCGTGGGTTAAAAGGAAAATAATAATAATAATAATAATATCTTTATTGTCATTATTAAATCTGGGTTTTTTAATTGCTGTAACCCCGGCTTGGTGGTGAAGGGCGGGTAATACATTTGCTGTTGAAAATAATCATGAAAGGCCTTCCAACCCTGCTTCCCCCCTCTCCTTAAATTTTATTATTTATACCCCGCCCATCTGGCTGTGGTTAGAGCAGTGGTTCCCGACCTTTGTCTCACCATGCCCCACCTAAGCATCTCTAAAATCCTGATGCCCCCCTCCCCCATGACATATAATTCTTATTACTCAAAAAGTGAGCTCCTATTCACGTGGAGGAAGCCTAAAAGGGCATTGACTGTTGATAACTCATTCTCAAATTGTCCCCCTGTGGGGTGTGTGCACCACGTTGGGAACCATCGGACTAGGAGCTGGGAGACCAGGGTTCAAATCCTCGCTCGGCCATGTAGCTTGCTTGGGCCAGTCACTTGACTGACAGCCTAACCTACCTTGCAGGGCCATTGTGGGGTTTAAGTGAGGAAGGGGGCCACTTTAGCTCCTTGCAGAGGGTGGCATATAAGTTAAGTAAATAAGTAAGCTAAGCTACTTGCAGCCATTCTCTTTCTAGGCCCCAGTTACCTTTGGGTGGCTGACATGAGGTGGACAGAAAGCCTCCTTTGTTCTCCATCTAAAGTCAAGAACCTTCAGCCACTACTGAGAATGCCTGGTTCCCTCTTTGAGGGGGCTATGGCTTTATCTGTGAGGCTAATGGCATCGTCAGCATCTTAGAGTGAGCCGTATTTCCATAGCGGCCACTAAGGTGATGCTGCTCTCCAGGAAATGGTAGCCATTTCCCCACCACCTTCACTTGGTTGGAGGCAACATCATCTTGTAAGTAGAACAACAATATCCAGAAGAACAGTAGGCAAACTATAGCTAGAGTTGGTGTGTTGAGTTTTGGAGTGGGCTTGAGGATGGCTTGACATGCTCCATGCGCTAAATCCCAAAGCTCTGGCAGCAGGTGGGAGGGAGCAGCCCTAGAGATTTATGGAGAAGCAAGATCTGCCAGGGTGTTAATGCTGTGAGCCCATCCTATGCTCGGGTTGTATATACAAGTATGTGTCAATAAAACCATATCCTAAAAATGCTATCTGCTATCTGTAGGCGTGTATAGGGTTGTGCTGTAAATCTGAGGTGCACTTGTTTTATAATCTTCAGAAAGTGAATATTATGTCTAAAATGCTCCAGAAGGGTATGGGTATACTCTAGAGCAGGCATACTTTAAAGGCATTTATTCAAACAGGAACTGGATTTTAAAAGTTGTTCTCAGAGGGACAAAGCAAACACTCACATGTGCTTCATTCCTAGGACTGGTTCCACCACCCTTAAATTTGGATACAAATAAGTGCTTACAATGTGCTTTGCACATGCTCTGCACAGCAAGGTATTCAATATAACTTGCACATTGTCATAATGTTAAGTCAACAGCTGCAAACATCTCTAGATTTTTTTTTTATTTTTAAAATTTCTATAGCGCTTTATATTTTTAAGAAATATCACACAGCGGTTTACAGCATATTTAATCAATAAAACATAAAACAATCTGAAGAAAGTCAAATATAGAGTATACAGTCAAAGCAACAGAACAGAACACTAAAATATGATCTTAAAGATTTCAAAATAAAACATTACAAAGGGGGCAAACTACAGAATACATATTTAACATAGTAGGGCTGGTGAGTGTGGGTCCCGCCCCCTAGGCCAGGTGGAAAGGGCCTTGCAGGGAGCAACGTTCATACTCACAGCCGAGCGATGTTCCTTCAGCTTCATGAGAAGCCTCTTCAGTAGGGCTGGTGAGTGTGGGCCCCTGAGATAGTCTCAGGACCAGACAATTAGAAGATCAGTGTGGGTCTAAGTATTTCTTTAACATCATCAATTTCTCTATACTCTGGAATCTCTAACAGTGTTTTGTTCCTTAAGAGAGAATGCAGACCATGAAGAGAAACAGAACATTTTGTGGAAAACTGAGGAATGCACCATATCTCAGGTTGATGGGACAAAATCTTTCACCTTTGGTAAGCACTCGATAAGCACTGAAATACTTTGTAAACTTCTCTGAGGGTTTGTTTGTTTACAATCAAGTGCAGTATAAATTTTATTAAATTTTATTATATTGGTATACCATAAAAACATGCAAACAACTTTTTTGAAAGCAGCCAGGTGTGCTTCTACCAGTCTAACTTACAAGTTGGCAATCTGACAAATCTTGAAGATGGAGTTTGATTTCTGTGAACTGAACCTTTTTCTTTTTCTTTCTTTTTGAAGATCGGGTGTTTCATTCTTCAGAAAATACCACAGAAGTCTACGAAGGGGTGGCTGCTTCAATTATAAAGTCTGCTGTTCAGGGATATAATGGTACCTTGAAGATCAACACATTTGAATGCTTGCACTGTATTTGGGTAGTGGTGTGAGCTAACCATTGCTTTTCCTTTTAGGAACTATTTTTGCCTATGGCCAAACTGCTTCGGGGAAAACTTACACAATGTTGGGCACCAAAGATTGCCCAGGAATCATACCGATGGCCATCAATGATGTTTTCAATAGCATCTGTGGAGTAAGTTTTTCTACTAGATGAACTTTGTTTCAGATACCACATTAGTGCTGCAAAGCTGCATATTGAACCTGCTTTGATGATTTCTTAGCTCCACTTAGGAGAAAAGGCTGTGCAGCCCCTATATAGCAGTTTCCATTTCCCACATAATAATCTTGTTGACCAATAAGTATTGTGAGTGGAACCAATACAGTAATACCTCCGCGAACGTCTGCTTTGTCTAGCGTCCATTCCGGCGAATGTCCGCGGCAAACCCTGAAGTACCGGAACAGGTTACTTCTGGCTTTGCTGCTCGCACATGTCCAGAAGCGCAAACGGCTCCGCACGCGTGCGCAGACGCGGCGCTTTGCCCTGCGTCCTTTTCAGCTAGCGGCTGGGGCTCTGGAACGGATCCCGGCCGCAAAATGAGGTACGACTGTATAGAGATCAGGAATGGGAAACTGTTGTTCTTCAGAAGTTGTTGGAGTCTGATCCCATCACATCCATCAGCTATGCTAGCTGGGGCTGATAGGAGCTGCAGTGCAGCATCATTTGGAGGTCCATAGTTCCCCATCTGTAGTATCGTTCATAAGGCAGGTGGGAATGTTTTAGTGATGGCATTGGATGGGGTGGAGGGGGCAGGGAGCCATGTTACATTAGTTCTCTACAATTAGGGATGCTGATGCATGCATGCTCTTTACTCTTTTAGAATCCTGACAGGGAGTTCCTACTCCGTGTATCATATATGGAAATCCACAATGATAGAGTTCAGGACCTACTGTGCAGCAACATAAAAAAAAAGAAACCCTTGGTTGTTCGTGAAGACATCAGTGTAAGTAACCACCGCTACCTTTCCAAGTGACAGTGCCAAAGCTCCCACATGGCCTTGTAACAGGGAAAGTAAAATTCTGGAAGTCAGCATGTTGTTGACAGTTGCCTACTTGGACTCTGCCCATTTTGCTTCTGCATTGATTAAAATCTATTTTTCTATCTATTTTTCTTAAAGTTGACCTAAAGTTAGCTAACTGCCTAAAAGCTTTGCATTGCCTATATACAAAGAGGTAACACCTAGAATCAATACTGTGTCATGTTATGTGATTTTATTTTATTTTAATTTTATTTTTAAAAATCTCTTGTAGAGGCATATCTTTGTTGAAGATCTGAGTGAAGAGGTGGTGGTTTCTCCAGAGCAAGTTGTGAGCTGGCTGCAGAAAGGAGAAAGTAAGACTTAATATCTGGTGTGACTTAAACACATACAGAGCTTCCTGTGCAGCTCTGATACAGTGGTACCCTGGTTTACGAACTTAATCCGTTCCAGAAGTCCATTCCAAAACCAAAGCATTCCAAAACCAAGGCGCACCTTCCTATAGAAAGTAATGCAAAATGGATTAATCCGTTCCAGACTTTTAAAAACAATCAGTAGCTGAACTGGGATCCACACAGATCCCCCGCCCCGCTGCTGCGGGAAATGTTCCCTAGAGTGCGCACCTCCCACAGCGGCATGGAGGGGGAGTTGTGCACGCCCCAGCCAGATGGCTGGCAGGTGCACAGCTTCTGTCCCTGGTGGCTGCAGAAAATGCTGTGACAACCCCTTCTCTGCTGCCGGACAACGGAAGTGTGGCACTCAAAACGGAAGTGCACCCCCGAACGGAGTACGTTCGTATACCAAAAATACGCAACCCGGAACACTCATTTTCGGGTTTGAAGTGTTCATAATCCAAAAAGTTTAACTAGGCTGTTCATAACCCGAGGTACCACTGTACTTCTAAATCCATCAACTTTATTGTGTTTTGTTCTGAATAGAAAACAGACACTATGGTGAGACCAATATGAATGACAGAAGTAGCCGCTCACATGCAATCTTCCGTATGGTAAGTGATCCTGAATTTTTATTTTACTGATTTCTTTTAGTTCAGAGATTGGAAACCTCTGGCCCTCTTTGATGTTCCCGGACTCCAAAGTCCCACCAGTCCTGACCATTGGCCATACTGATGGGAGATGGAGTCCAACAACATCCAGAGAGCACCAGGTTCCCTATTCCTGGTTAGTACCTGGCACTGATGTCTGGCAGGATATGAGAGGGAGATATTTGTTGTTGTTGTTATAATACAGCTCTACCACTGGGCGATTTACAATATAAAAACACAAAAATATATGCCATAATAATAAACAAAAACAATAAAACACATAGTTTAAAAGGCCATTGATAGTTTAATTAACCAAAGGCCTAGGAGAAGAGGAATATTTTTGCCTGGCACCTAAAATATATAACAAAAGCACCAGGCATGCCTCCCTGAGGAGAGCATTCCACAAGATATGCCAGTTCTAGGTTCTGTTGGTTGAGGTTAGGTGTGCTACAGTATATAGACCCACATGTCACAAACTGGTATTCGTGGTGGATATTTTTGTTGGTCTATAATCTGTGATGTGATAGTAAAACAAGTTCACAACCTTGCTTGCTTTTTTTAAAGATAATTGAAAGCAAAGAGAAGACTGATAGTTCAAGCTATGACGGCGCTGTAATGGTATCACACTTGGTGAGTTCTTTGAAAGAGAGAACTGAGGTTTGTAAATGGGTTGGTAGAAAAAACTATTGAAGGATGCTGCAGCTTGTGTGCATTACAGGAACATGAGACAAGCCCTGTTGGATCAGATCAATGGCCTGTTTGTTCTAGCATCCTGTCCTCACAGGGGTAAACCAGGTGCCCGAGATCCAAGTAGGACCCCAGCGTAACAGCAGTTTCTCTACTTAAGATTCACAGCAGCTGGTAGTGGAGCTGGAACTTAGCCATCATGGCTAGTAGTCCTTGCTAGACTTGTACTCTATGGATTTGTCTGATCCTCTCTTAAAGGCTTCCAAGTTGGTGGCCATTACTACGTATTGGGTGAGAGAATTCCGTAGTTTATGTACTATGTGAAGAAGTTCTCTCTTGTCTGTCCTGAATCTTAGCTTTGTTGGCTGGCCCTGAGTTCTAGTATTATATGAGAGAGCTAAGCTGTCTGGCTAGCTCTTTCACTTCCTGCCAGATCTATGAGAAACTTAGCCCTATCTGCCTTCTCGATACCATGCATAATCTTAAACACCTCTAGCAGGTCCCTCCTTAACTTGCCTTTCCTCTGAAAGTCCCAAATGCTTTAACATTTGGAAGAAAGAGGTTTGTGTGCCATATGACCCACTCTGCCCCCTAAGCTAGGCTGCTGCTCTAAGACGAAGTAGAGGATGTTGTCTTGCCACCAGTCTGGTTGACTTGGCTATACAGAAAGGGGTGCCATCAGAAAGGGAGGGGAGGGGTGCCATCTTCTGCTTCGGCTCAGGTAGCGAAATATATTGGGCAAGCCTTGTGTGCTTTCTGTTTGAGATCTGGCTGGCAGAGCCAAATATATATTGGGACTGTGGAAGGCTAATGAACTTCTGAAGTGTTTAATAGGGCTGTTTCTGCCTGAGAAATAGCAGCAGCAGAAATTCAGTTGCTCTGGGTTTCCAGACGGTTTGGCACAGCAGTCATAATGCTTATTCAAAAGCAAGTTCCATTGACATTGCTGGAACATACTGAAGAGGTGCAGACTAAACAATGCCCATATTATTATTACATTTATGTCCCATCTTCAAGAAGCTAAGGTGGCCTACTTGATTTTGTCCCCCTCCATTTTATCCTTACATCAACCCTATGAGGTAGGTTAGGTTGAGAGACCAACATTGGTTCCTTGGACTATAATAGAAATTCAGTTATGTCTGTTCTTCTTAAAGTGGTCAAAACATCAAATCGGAGAGTATGCACATCCTTCTACCTTTTTCTTCTGTTGCAGACCATCCTGAATCTGAGATGCAATCTACAATTTGACTGGCTCCCTTTAACACACATTTCCTCTGTTCTTTCGCTTTCGTGAAATGTTAAATGTTGTTCAGTTGAACGTATTTTCTCCCAGATGTAGTGACCAGTGCTGTACAAAATTGTTGTTCCTTTGATTTAAACTCCTGGCCAGGGACCTTTTTCTGCTCATGTACAGTCTCAGGAACTCATTTTTCTCAGGCTTTCATCTGCCGCTGTTTGGAATATAGTCGTTCAATCAATAGGTGATTTGAATAGATCTTGTGTGAGACTGGTGTCTAACACAGTCTGTCTTGAATTTTCAGAATTTCGTAGATCTGGCAGGAAGCGAAAGAGCTAGCCAGACTGGTGCTGAAGGTATGTAGCTGATGATGATGGAGCTTTCTGGTAATCTGCTAAATCCTAACTTGTAAAACATGTAAAAAACCCAACAAGTAATTCCCACCCCCAGGGTTCTGTTGCTGGGCATGCTTGCTCTTATTTATGTAAGCCATTTACAGCTTAACAGTAAAATTCATCATTCTGGATGAACAAAAGACTGATGCAGATGTAACATTCCCAGCTGGTAGACTCTTGCACAAAAATCTAACTTCTCTATGGCAAGGATGAAGAATCTGTGGTGCTCTAGAAGTTGGATACAAACTCCTAGCAATCCTAGTCAATATGACCAGTGGTCAGCAATGATGGAAGTTGTCTTCCAACAACACATTGGAGGACCACAAGTTCCTTATCCCTGCTTCTGCAGAGACTATTGTAAACTGCCCCATGATCCTTGGATGAAGGGTGGTATATAAATTTAACAAATATAATATTTGGTTATAGGCCTTCTAGCGTTATCTTCCTCCTTTTGGCTGAAGTTATTCAATGTTTCTGAGTTAAATGGCATAATTTATCACACCACTAATAATATTGAAATCTTATTGGGTGTCTCCAATGCTGTCCTTTCATTGACAGAAGGAATCGGTTGGCAAAACAGGGGAGAGATACATTTTTTTGGTGATGCACCCTACACAGGACCCTGTGCCCCTCTTTAATCTGCTGCAGAGGATTGAGGAATCATCTAGAGCAGATTTAAGGACAGAATGGGGAATCACTGAAAAATGCCCATTCTGCTGATAGTTGCCTTCTGTCAGGAGACAGGCAACTTTGGATACTGCCCAGTATTGTTATTTAACAGTTTATAAAGTGCCTAAAACTTTCTCTTAATAGGAATCTATTTTCACATCTGAAAAGATTGTGAGCCTATGGGCAGGTAAAAACAATACAGAAGGGGGTGAAATGGAGAATGAAGAAGAAAGCAATCAAATTCAGGAGCTCTTGACTATGTTAACTCCCAATATGGTAGCAAAACAAATTTTGTGGAAGGAGCTGTCTGAAAATAAAATTATGTTTGATGCCTAGGGATTCGTCTCAAAGAAGGTTGCAATATAAACCGGAGCCTCTCCATCTTGGGCCAAGTTATCAAGAAGCTATGTGACGATCAGGCTGGGTAAGGACAATGTAGTTAAGAAAGGTTCTTTGTGCTGTATTGAAAAGTGTTCTCACTTGATTCTAGACCAGGCAGCCAATGTAGTACCATCCCTAGATGGTTTGACTACAGTTCCCACCACCACAGGCCATCTGTCTGGGCCTGATGGGAGTTGTCATCCAACAACCTTTGGAAGACACCACATTGGGCTGTCTCTGTACTATGTAATTGATCAGCTCTTGAGCCAATTTTGCCTCTACTTAATAAGTAAAAACTTCCTTGTTCCTTTTTTGGTCATCCTCTTTCACCAGAGGCTACATTAACTACAGAGATAGCAAACTGACACGGATTCTGCAGAATTCGCTGGGTGGAAATGCTAAGACTGTTATTATCTGCACAGTCACTCCGGCATCCTTAGAAGAAACTCTTAGCACACTCCAGGTAAAACCGTACAGTTCCATTTCCTTCCTCAAAAAGGTTTGTGGGCAAAATTGCCCAAAGTGACAAGTAGGCAAGAAATTATTTCCCTTTCTCTTTAAACTTGCATGCTTTGTTCTAGTATATGTATCTGCAGTTATAGATCTATGACAAATCAGACTTCCCCTTCAATGGGAAGTAGTCTAGCACTTCCTCTAATAGCTGGCATGGATACTGACATTTGCAGAAGCAACCCCTTCAACTCTAAGCTTTCAGGGTAGTCATGGAGTCTTGAATATCAGGTGGAAAAGGAAAAGCTGGGGGGGTGGCCTACTTGAGCTCCTGATAGCTTATCTGTTATCTGTTGCCCTCCAGATGTTGGAGGACTCCAACTCCCATCAGCCATGGTCAACATGGTCAGATGATGGGAGTTGTAGTTCAACAACATCTGGAGGGCACCAGATTGGCTAACCTAGGCTTATCCCTTCTGTGGGGAGGTGAAGGTATGCTGCAACATTTTGTTTAATACGTCCCATTTGTATTTACTGTAATAGCAAATGTTGATTTTTATGATTCAATACTTCTGTAAAAGAGATTTTGCACAAATGTAATTTTTTCCTGACTTCACCTTCAAAGAGCAGTTCTGAGTCCATGTGCCCATGTCTCCTAGTTTGCCAGTACAGCTAAAAATATGAAAAATAGCCCCATAGTAAACGAAGTTCTAACTGAGGATGCCCTTCTGAAGAGATATCGTTCAGAAATAGAAGACCTGAAACGACGCCTAGAAGAGGTAAGTTGTCTACCTTGAAATCTAAGAGGCTGGAATGGGTAGAATCTGGCCGAATTTCAATGGCAACTCTTAATAAAGTTGATGACCATTTCGTGCAGGGGTTCCATTCCCTGCCTCCACATATGTTGGAGGAGCATGTATAAGTGTACCACAGCCCTGTTATGCCATTTTTGTGACATGCTGAGCAACGTTTTTGGGTCACTTCCAGGTTCATCGCCATATGCAATCTCATGTCTTTCGGATGCACATTAATTGGTTGTTGCGTGTTTGCAACCCTTTCCACACTGGGGGTTGCAGACACAATTTCATGGAACTTAAATGCTTTCATTGTTTAATGCTGATGTTTAACCTTCACAGCCATTAGTACTTACAGTACGTTATTACCATCACAGTAATATACAAACAAACAACCACAGTCCTCGCAAGCAAGGAGGGGTCTACACAAAAGCACACGGGTATCCTAGCCAATGTAGCATGATAGGGTAAATTTTTCTGTAATGTAAACTTCAATACCTTCTCCAGGCACCACACACATGGATTTGTTTTGAGGGATTTTACTACCCCAAGATAGATTGAAAATTTGGCCTGGGGTAGTAAAAGTATTCCCAAAAGTATGTAAGTTTTCAGCAGGTCTTAGGAAAATCTGTTATGAAGGGTATTTTTTGTATTTCTTGGGAAATCACGTACACCTTACTATGGACAACGTTGTGTGCCTTTCGACCTTTGGTATTGATGCTTTCCCTTTGTAGGTTTCACCACAATCCCAGCTGGCACAGATAATTGAAGAGAAGAACGCTCTTCAAAAAGAACAGCAGGAGAAAATAAGGGCTCTCACTGAGATGCTGGTGACGGCACCTTCTTTTGCATCAGCGCAAGACTTCAAGGTAATATTTAAAAATTTGTGTTGTGGGACCTTCGGTGGAAAACTGGTGGTTCTTGTAGCAGCTGTTATTAAGTAACTAAATGGGGCGAGGGAAACCTGGGAATGACTAGAAGGGTGCCACTGTAGAAAAGGCCCTTCCAATGTGTGGAAGCTTAACATAGCTCTGTTAAGGCATGTTTGAAGCAGGAAGCTCATACTGGGAAGCTGGTATAAGAACAGGCACCAGTGACTGAGTGTGCTTTAATGGTGCCAGGAGGGTGGAGGGTGAATGGAACCTGCTGCTCTCCAGTCCAGCCCTCACCACCAAGGGCCCCGCGCAACTTTGCGGCTCGTGGAGGGCAGCGTGAGAAGGATGCCATGTGCCCCCAACCAAGGGCTGGGATCGAAGGGCATGTGATAGTTGTGTCTTAAGTTGCTCTCCCCGGCTCCCAGCCTTTAAAATAGAGCTTTGTGTAGAATTCTGTAGCAGCTACTTGTCACCCAACTAGTGAGACACAGCGAGTTCAAGTTGCTTATGGTGCTTGCAAACATGTTTTAGGAAAGTTTCCCCTCTCCATTTGCAACTCTTTTTGCAAATGCTTCTGGTAGAACCTACAAACGCTAGCTTCAACTGAATTTGTCGTCACTAGGCCACGTACAAATTCCAAGACATCAGCAAATGGGATCGTGCTTATAAAAAGATCTAACTTCCTTTAATTCTCCTACATGCCTTGATTTTTTTGATTATTTTTTTTAAAGGTTCGAAGGAAGCGGAGAGTGACCTGGGCTCCAGGAGCAATAAACCAGGAAGGAGGGGAATGTCTCCTGGGAAGCTTTCCCTCAAAAGCCAAACAGTTTAAAACATCTTTGTCTTGTCTATCAGAGATGGAAGAGTGTAAGTTTGTTATGCGTAGAAACTATTTAAAAAGGTGCTATATAAAATATGGGCTGAAGAATTGTAGGTTGGGATACGTTAGAACTTAGATAATACATTGTTTAACCAATATCCACAGTGAGCTGCACATAGTTAAACTATTGCAGCTATTTTGAAGGCTGTGTTTAAGCTGCATATGTTAATTCTGCTGAATGCTATTGCTAGATCTGAAGAGGACAGAGAAGGGCAAGAAGGCTCTTGGCATAACTTAGCATGCTCCGTTTATCTCCTGGTTGCTCCAGAGATCTGATTCTGATATCAATCTTTAGGCACTAGGGACAGCTGGCTTCCTTGCAAATGCTAGCAAAGGCTACTGTAGCTAACTCTCGCTGCTTGCATTTGGCTGCTCATGTTCTCTTTCTCCTATGGCAGGGGAGAATTAGACCCACTGGGTCCCAAGGTAACCAAAGCTCAGTTCCTTTCTCTACATCTTTCTGCATTTGTCTCAAGAACTTAGACATGGAATCTTAGCGTTGGAAGGGATCCCAAGGGTCATCTCATCCAACCCCTTGCGATGCAGGAAGCTCAGCTAAGGCATCCATCACAGATGGTCATCTAACCTCTGCTTAGAAACCTCGCATGGGAGTCAGTTCCACTATTGAACCACTCCTACTGTCAGAAAGTTATTCCTGGTGTTTAGTCGGAATCTCCTTTTTTGTAACTTGAAGCCATGGGTTCAAGTCCAACCTTCAGAGCAGGAGAAAACAAACTTGCTCTGTCTTCCATTTGGCAGCCCTTGAGTTATTTAAAGATGGCTATCATCTCCCCGTAGTCTCCTCTTTTCCAGGCTAAACATACCCAGCTCCTTCAAACTTTCCTCATAAGACTTGGTTTCCAGACCCTTGATTATCTTGGTCACCCTCCTTTGCACACATTCCAGTTTGTCAATCGCCTTATTAAATTGTGGTGACCAGAACTGGACCCAGTTTTCCAGTTGTGGTCTATCCAAGGCAGAACAGAGCAGTACTGTTACTTCCCTTGTCTGCATCTTAAGTATACACACTTTTATTTTGGCAAAATGGGTTGTCTTTCAGCTGTATCCTCTGAGTTCTCGGAACATGATGATCAGTGGATGACAGCCAGTGTTACAATTCCTGAAGAGGAATGGATTCCAGGATCTGAGGTTGGTTTGGTAAGTGGTATTTATGTGTGTGGAAACTAGCCTGCTGCACCAGAGGTGAAATTTACATTCATTGTGCCACCCAATTTTTCTCTGACCCCTCCCACCTCATGGATATGGCCCCCAGAAGGTTGCTGAGAAACGAATGTCGCCCTTGGAATGAAAAAGGTTCCCACTCCTATTCCAAGAACAAAGATGGGAGCGGAGAGTATCCCCTTTGCAGGCTTCCTCTCCTATTCTTTTTTGCAACAACAATTTCTTAGTTACTCCCTATTAACTATATTGGATCAACATGACTTGTTTTACATTTGGTTCAGTGGGGTGGAACTGAGTCAGCAGAATTTAGGGGAGAGAAATTCTGTGGTTTGGAAAGCTCACCTCCTTTTCAGGGTTTTTTGCAAGCCCCCAAAACTTGCCAGCCTTGCCAGCGTGTGGCTGGAACTTAGTATACAAATGTTGTCTAGCTCTCAGTAGGGCTTTGGCAACAACACTTTTGAGCTACCAATATATTGCTGAAGGAACAAGCAAGTGCTTTCAGTATTAAGGTTTTTGCATATTTGTAAGTCACTTTGAGATTCTTAGGGTATGAAAAGCGACCATTAAAAAATGAGTTTAAATAAAATATTGGTAAGGAGATGAAATTTAACTAGGTAACAGAGGAGGCATCTTGTAACTTTCAAAAATATTTTTCTTCTAGATTCATAAAGATTTTGCAGATTCTGTCATGCTTTGTGAAACCCTAGTAGATGAGAGGGTAAGTCAGCTCTAGCGTTCTCTAGGAATTTAATTTGAAAGTGTAGGTAAAACCTTTTAATCTCACTCTGCCTCTCTCCTGGCTAGGATAATGCTGTCACTGAACAACAAGCCTTAAAAGTAGAACTAAAAAACTTGCAAATGGAGAAAGAGCAGATTGCATGTGAGCTCAAAGAGCTGAAGGAGAAAATGTCAGTTTATGAGTTTGTGGCTCTCGAAAGAGAGACAGCAAAGGAACAAGAGGTAAGACAAAGTAGGTGTGTAAATAATCCTATTTCTAGACCATCTTTTCTTTTTACAACTTTCTGAGTGGCTGACAAAATCATTTAAACAAGATTAAAATTAGCTGGATCCTGACTCTGTTGCATGCAGATCTCATTTAAATTAATGTGGACATTGTTTTATGACTTAAGTGAACTCCATTTGAAAGCAATGGGATTATGGCAACTAACTTAGTCTGAATTGAACTCAGTTAAATATTGAAGCAGCAGAAGCAATAAACTCAGTAGTGCTTATATACATCAGCAGGATTAAAGCAAGAGACATGCTTGAATGCCTGGAGAAATAAAAAGGGTGCCACTGCAGAGAATATCCCCTGATCACTGCCCTTCTCAAATCAAATCAACCCAGTCATTTTAATTTTATGCCCTTGTTAGAAAGGGGGTGGCAGAAAACATCCTTTGGTGCTAGTAAAATGGCAGGTTCCGGTGATATTGGATCTCAGAGCCACATAAGATTTTAAAAGTAAGTGCTGGCACTGTAAACTGGGTTCAAACAGACTAGCAGTCAGTACCTTTCCTTCAGGGAAGATGAGATGTGTTCCCTTCACCTGTATTTAAGAAGTGTCTAATTTTTTCAGTCTTCCGAAGCAGCCCCAGGTACGACACTGCAGTAGTCTAGTTAGGAAATGGTGATGGCATGGATCACTGTGGCCATTAGGGAGACAGGGATGCACAGCTGATGGACCCACCTTAGCTGCTCAAAAGCAATGCATCTCACACCCCCAGCAACAAAACTGGGTCTTACACAATTGTCTTTACTCTGCTCTGTTTCTTCCACTGTTTCCAGTATGGCCTATGGACATAAAGGACATGGTCTTCCCTATGGTAGTGCCAAAAGAATTTCACTTGACCCCATCTCCTTTCAACGTGCAGCCAAGGCTTCTCTCTTATTTCATGTTTCATTTTATTTTGTTAAAATATCTATGCTCCACCCTTTTCAGTCTGAGACCCTTAGAGATAACTTAGCAACATGAGATTAAAACAAATGCTAATCCTGTCACTGCAAAAAAGCAAAAACCAACAAGCAAAACGGCACTTGTTTTTGTGCTTATATTGTGGTATGTAGGCTGTGCTATGAGAGGAGTGTAGTAAGCACCATCTTGCATTAACAGTAAAGCATGGTTTGCTGTGACGTGTGAAAACAGCCACTCTTTTGAGTTGCAGCATGGAAGAAAGGCGAGGATTGGATATGAATTTATTTAAATCAATTAGCCCCCAACTAATGCATGCTAGAAAAAGAGTGGACCTGTTCTTCTGAAAAACACTTGTCAGCGTATATTAGCAGTGTGTTCTGCCCTTTTTGTTTTGAAGGTTTGAAAAGCCCTCTGTTAGTAATGCGCCGTTAAGACTTTATTTCCCAGGGCTTCTCACCACTGTAAGCAATGAATGCTCACAAAATTTTCTGCTATGTATTCTATAGTAGCAACTTGGCTCCGCTGTGGTTTGGAGGGGAGCTGAATGCAGGGCTTGCTTGTTTTTGTGGTGGGTGACTGCAGGTAAACCTGACTGAAAGGTGCTTCCTAACTGCCTATGCCATTTTGCTTCGATTGCTCCACAGATGCAACTAATGCATGAAATTTCCAGCTTAAAGACTATTATTACAAATGCTGAAGTTTGCAATCAAGATCTGCAGGTGAGCTGGTGGTGGTGGTGGTAGGCCTTCCATGTATAATGAAACGGAACACTATTGTTTAGTCTTAGCCAAATGCCTTGACTTCTTCGGTCGGTTTGTCAATTTTAATGTCATGCTGCGCAACACCTAAGCCCCCCCATCAAGCTGGGAAATGGAAAGGTGTGCCTAAACACTTTGCACTTCTGGTGTTTTTCCTCTTTCTTGCCTTATCAGGAGGAAGTAATGTCAAAAGCCTTGCAGATCGAGGAGCAAAAGAATAAAATCAAAGCACTGGAAAACCATGTCAGTGAGCTAAGAAATCTAATGAGAGAAGCAAAGACAGAAAGTGGGGAAAGCGATGTGTCATCAGTACGTCTGAATCTTTCTTCTTTCTTTAAGCAGGGTTGTGTTTTTTTAATTTGTCCTTGATTCCTGGGTATTCTTGCAGGGTGGGTGGGTGGCATATACATACACTTACACACTACCCTCATGTTCTCATACTTTCAGCAGATTTTGAATAACTCGGGGGACGAAATGCAAAAAATGAAGCAGTCTCTCAGTGATGTTGAGGCGGTAGCACTGGATTCCAAGAGAGAATCTTCATTCCTCAGGAGTGAAAACATAGCACTAAAAGAAAAAATGGTGTGTGTATATGTGGACTTGGGATGGTGTAGGTTTTTACTTGCCTTTTATGTAATGTCTGAGTGAACAGATACAATTCTTTTTTGTGGCCTTTTGTCAGTACCTGAAATAAGCATGGGGGGGGAGACCAAAAAATCTTTTCCTAGTGGCTTATGTCTGGGGAATTTCTTCCCCACTGAGGTGTGCCTCTATATTTGCTTAGAAACCAGGTCAAAACTCACCTTTGGGAGTCAGGTTTTAAAAGGCTAGTGGGTGAAGTAATTTCTGAGTTGTGTTGCTGCCAATTACATCCTTCATGCAATTTATGATAATTTTTTATCTTTTCTTGTCTGTATGCCTTTTTATTGCCTTAAATCAGATGTAAACTGCCCTGTGGCCCATTTTTGATGAAGGGCAGTATGGCAACAGCTTAGGAAATACATTAAAATAATAAGCTTCCAGTAGGGCCTGTGAGTTCTGCTAGTTTCCTAGTAGAATCTCAGTGATGCTTCCTTGGGGTGATGTGGGCTGGGATAACAGTGCTAATACAATCTGGAAGAGGGAGAGGATAGTGCTACTGAAGTACGTGGCACTGGGTACAAATCTGCCACTGTCGTGGCACGTAAATGGACACGGGTAATGGCATTTTAACTTGCTCCCATCTAGGACCAGCTCTCAGATACGTACAAGCAAATGGAAAAAGACATTGAGAGTTACAGAAGACAGTTAGATTCTGGGAAAGTCGCCTACAAGAAAATGCAGTCTGACTTGCAGAAAGAATTGCAGTACTACCTGCAGGAAAATTCAAAGCTGGCATCGCTTTTGGAGGGAAGAGTTCCAAATGGTACCTTTTTTATGGAATTGATATAGAACAAGAAGGTTCTTCGCACAATCAGGCTTTTTCCTGAACTTCTGATAGCTGAGGAATTATTACTTTTTATGAATTAAAACTGGTGGCACATATGTTCAGGCCCCTAAAAGTTAGTTTAAATATTTATAAGGCACCCTTTTAATAAAAAACAAGGCAATGCACAACACAGAAACATAATGCTACAATAATGTAAATGAAAAAATATCTAGGCACGTTTTGCACAGAGTTTGCATCCCAAAGGTTTGTCTGAACAGCGCAGTTCTGAAAAGACATCTAAGAGAAAGCAGGGGTTGACTCATGCCTAACCTCTGCTGGCAAAAAGTTCCGCATAGCAGGTTCTGCCACATTAAAGTCTGGGTCGCTGTTAAAGGCAGGCTGAATGCAAGGGGCATGGTCAACAAGCAATTATTTAATTATTTGCTGCATCTCAACTGGGATTAGTTGGTTCGTTTAGCCAATCCTGATGTAAAGCAACTGACCATTCATTCCTGATACAGTGCAGCAGGATTAAAACAAAAAACCTTGGAGAGGTTTACGGCTCTGTCCTTCTCTGCCCTTGCATCCTTCCAGCCAGTCATGGACTTGGTTGGCAGACACCTTAGTGACTGGGGACTTTAGGCTCATGGCTCTGTCAGTTTATGTCCTGATGGCATGCTTTACTGATGTGCAATTCAGGCATTAGACAGTGGCTGCGTGGAATTAAAATAAAAGTAGTTGCTGCTCCTTAACATCAGGGCTATGAGGCGGGCGGGAGAATTAGAGGGGGGGTAAGCTTTTGAAAACGAGATGCATAGCAAGGGCTGTGGGAGGGGCAGTGCTGTTTTTTCTGGGGGGATACAGGGGGACGCATACCCCCAAACATTTTGTGAATCTTTGTACTTTTGTCCATTACTTTATTTATTTTTCCCAATTTGAACTATAAAATGGTGATTTTCTTGAGTCAAAATGAGAGTACCCCTAAACATTTTTTAGGGGGGAAAACACTGGGGAGGGGGATAAATGGACTGGTGGGTTTAGGCTGAGCCCCACGAGAAGATGGAAATTGAGCTTCAGGGGTGCATAGGCAAGTAGAGTCTTTCAAGGAGGTTTGCATGTCAGAAACCAGGGTATAAACTGGTGGAAAGGGTTCATGCTTTAGCGGGATATTTTCACAGAAGCCAAGAACTACGGAGCAAGAACTATATATATCTAGAGTTTGCTTGTAACACAGTGGTACTGAATTTTTGTCAATTTTATCCATTGAAATCTTTCCACTTCCCCCCACCCCCAGACTTACTCTCATGTATGGAACTGGAAAGGAAGATTGCGGGTTTGAAAGATGAACTGAATAAAGCTCTGGAAGAGAACTCAACTTTAAGGAAAGAAGCAGCTGCATCATTAGAAGCCCGTTCGGGACCTGACACTGAAATCTTCCAGAAGGAGGTAAAAACTAATTAAATGTGGGCTTCCATGAAGCTGTATCTTAGGTCAGGGCTTTCTTAGCCCATTTAACTTTATGGAGAGAGGAAAAAAATTCTACCCAGAATATAGTTAATCATCCTTGCTGGAAGATTGGGGTGCTTCTACTACAGTAACTTCTTTAAATAATTCTAATCAATAAAAAGTTCTGGCATCACAAGCAGTTGCAGAACTTGCATTCCTCTTAATTTTTTGAAAGCTTATTCTATTAGGTGTCCCCCATGTTTCAGAAACCCAACTAGCTTTAGCTAGGGGTCAGGCAATTAGTGATGTCAGTCCCATGCCATGAAATATTCCCTCAACATCCCTGCTACCAACCTTCAGGTGCCTTATTTTTTTTAATCAATAGGCCTATTCAGTGGTTTAAACTTTCTAAGATGAGCCAGTCAGTTTTATGATTATTCTGTGTTGCTTTTATGGTGTATTTTTGTAAAGTTGATTATACAAAGCCCTGATATTTTATAACAGGGGAGGTCTGTTTATTTGTAATAAAGAAATATTGCTGTGGATATTTGGGTTCAGTTCCCTACTAGGCTATGTAATTGGATCAGTCATCACCTGTCAACCTGAAGCTTTTTTCTCTAGTCTCTTGTTGAAGGTTTTCTTCCAGTTCAGGGGAGCAAAGTACATCTAAAAACCAAACTTAGCCTTCATTCAGCTAGAACGCATATTATAAAGCATAGCTGAGATGATAATAGCTGCCTACTACATGCTCATACTCTGTGTATATAAATAAATATGTGTATATAGGTGCTTGAAAAATCCGAAATGATTGCTTCTCTGGCTTCGGAAAAAGAGATGCTGCTTGCTCAAGTGTCTGAGAAGGAGAGACTGCTGTGCGAAGCAACTATCGCGCTAAAATCCAAAGAAGATTTTGTAAATTCTGAAGCAATGCGCCAAAATGACCTAGCTTTTCAAGAGCTGAAATGTCACTGTGATGAACTGGAGCAGAAATTCTTGACTGCATCAGAAGAAAACAAGCAGATGAAATGCCAACTAGATCTTCTATCTGAAGAAAACCTCAAGCTACAGGCAACCATTCATGAAGTGACTCAAGAGGTGAGTCCTTCCTGGTTCTCCAACTTTTCATACAGCAGCTGATGGCTTTTCTTGATGAAACATTTCCTCACTTCAGTCTTTGTTGAAAAGTTGAGTGGGCCCTTGGTACTGTCCTTGCTTCTGTTTTTCCTTACATTGCAGCAAGGCCTGGCACATAAATGCGCTGTTACACAAAGTGCTCAACCCTACTACACTAACGAGGTTGCTTTTGATCACAACCACTTTCTGAAATATTTCTAAAACTTACTTTTTTTAAGGAAACCTGAACCAATCCCACAATTCTGGAATTGGCTGCCTTATTGTGCGTGCTCACTTTCTCTACACACTTAAAAAATGACCATTTTACTTACTAAGCTAGAAGGAGCCCAACTGACCACTTTTGGAATGAATGGGAAAGTGAAGCTACCAAACCCATGGAACTGGGTTCCATGTAATCCCCATCAGCTTCTCAAAACAAGGTGGGAATATGACTTGGAATTGCTATTTTTGGTAGCTACTACAGCAGATATATTTTCTTTTCTTGTAAACAAAACATGTTTTTACTATGTTTTATATGTGCTGTAAGCTACCCAGAGTGGTTGGGGAAACCCAGCCAGATTGGCGGGGTATAAATAACAAAATTATTGTTATTATAATTATATTACTGTGTGCACGCCCAAATAACAACCACTAATTCCAGGAATAAATTCCATACTAGGGTATCCTGCTCCCTAGCAGAATTTTGACATGCTCTCATTTCTTTTTTTGCAATTTGGCAGGAGGTAAGCCCTTTTAGGCTACTGGAGCACACTAGATCCCTTGTGTTACTTACTTTGAGCCAAGTTTGAATCTGACTAGGTTTGCATGTAACACGAAGCGAAACCATGGCTTAGCAAAAGCAACGTGCCTTATGGGTTGTTGGGAGTAAAGTTTATGACAGCAGCACTCTTTCCCCCAGTCCTGCTGCTCTCATGCTACCCAGGACTAAACTGGCGTTGAATCCAAACCTGGGTTTATGGTTTGTCTTGCTCTGCATAATCTATGAGCTTATAGCCAATGCATATTCTTGGTTTATTGCTTGTGGTTTGTCTGGGGGAAGCAAACTGCAAAGCCTGGTTCACGTGCAACACTAGGCCAAACCATGGTTTAGCCCTGGGTTCAGCTGCAGCAGTACTGGAGAGGAGAGCTGTTGCCATGATCTTCACTCCAGAAACCCACAAGTTTGCTCATTCTTGGTAAGCATAAATTGGCTTAGTGTTACATGTGAATTGGGACTGTGTAACTTCGCTGAAATCAGTATTGTCCACAGGTAACAAAAAGTTTTGTGGGGGGGAAAGGAGCACTATAAAAACCCTTTTAATGACAAGATTCAAAATTTAGTGTTTTTAAGTTGGATTTGAGCTTCATTCTTACTTATTAATGTCAAAGTACTTTCTGTCTTTCTATAAATAATAATAACGAAGCTTTCTGGCAAGATCAAAGAGATGCAAGAAAAGGACTTGGAGCAAGAGAAGCTTCTTGGTATGAGAGAACAACTTGATGAAGCACATCAAAAACTGAGTGAAATGGAGAAACTCAAAGACCAGTTGAAGAGCTGGGGATCTAAAATGGAGGCTGAGGAAATGGAGAAGCTGGGCCTAGCTCAAAGGCTCCAAGAGAGTGAAAAAGAGATGCAGGCGCTGACTCGGGAAAGAGATGACCTGAAGCAGAAAGAGGAGGCTCTCAGACGTGAGAGAGATCAGATCAAAGAAGATATCCAAGAGACTGTGTCAATGGTAAGCAAAACCTCCCACTTGGATTACTGCAATGTATTGTACATGATGCTGCATTTGAAAATCGTTCAGACCCTTCAGGACTTCATTATGTGATCATACCACACCAGTGCTTCTCCATATCAAAGTTCTGGTTTTAGCCTTTAAAAGCTGTAATTAGTTTGATGTGGGATGGAACATACCTATAAACTCACATGGAACCAAAGTTTTCAATGTTTGATATTGTATTCTGTTTTTATATGTGTTGGAAGCCTCCCAGAGTGGCTGGAGCAATCTAGTCAGATGGGCAGGGTATAAATAAAATTATTATTATTATTATGTGGCTAATTCATCTGTCCCTACATCAAACTAGAGAGCTTTGAAAAGGGTAGCAGAACAATTCATAGCACTACTGCAAGGATGTGTATGTCATGGGAACTCTAATGCATGTATCTCTTTTGTTTTGCTTTTAATGTAAAAGAACATTGAATCACAAGAAGAACTGAGAAATGCACAAAATTCTCTGAAGCATTGTGAGAAGCAAATTAAAGAACTGGAAGAAGCCATTGTGGAGAGAGAAGCACAGATTTCAAGTGTTAAAGAATCTCTAGGGGTCACTATTGAAGAACAGAAGCAACAGGTAACATCTGTCTCAGTTGCAAAGTTTATTGGTCTAGGTTGGAGCATAATTAGGAGCATAAGAAATGCCCTGTATAATCTTGATCCTTAGTCCATGTAGCTCATTATTGTCTTTGCTGGCTGGAAGTGGCTCTCCAGGTTTTGGGACAGAGGACATTATCAGCCCTCTCTACAAATGCTGGGGATTAAATCTGGGACCTTCTGAGTGCAAGACAAGTGTTCTGTCGCTGCGCTGTGGCCCTTTTTGCTTTGAGTGTGAATGTTTTGGGTTCAGTTCTGAGACAAGCCCCATTTAAGGCAACACCACCTGTATTCTATGGTGACTATCTAAAGCTTAAAGTACTTTAGCTGGTCTGTAACATGTTAAGACATCAGAGGCTGTTAAACGCTGCTAGAAAGTTTGGGATGTTGTAGAATAATTGTTGAAATGGTGCTATATTGGATGGAGGCACGAAAGTACAGACTTCCATGTATATCTTAACTCCAGCATCAGAGGCACCAATTTTCTGAATGCTGGTTGCTGGAGAATAGTGCCCTCATACCCTGCTCTGCAGAGGCATCTGGTTGGCGGCTACGGGAAAAGAGGATTCTGGACTCAAGAAGCCTCTTGGTCTGATTCAGCAGGGCTGTTCTAGCACTGCCCTCTTCTTCTTGCCAAACATCTCTGAATGTTCTGCACTGGATTGTTGATCACTGTTTGTTCACCTGCCTTGATTGAAACATTTTCTAGGGTAGAAAAATACGTTGTGTTTCATCTTGCAGATACTAAAGTTAACAGAGCATTTGGACTACTTCAACACAGAGAAAAATCTGTTAACTGGAGGAGACGGGGATGCAGAGGAAATCAAGCTGGAGGAAAATAACCAGCTTCAGTCAATGAAGGAGAAAATCTTGTCCCTTGAGCAAGAGAAGACTTTGCTAAAGCAACAACTGGAGAGTCTGCAAGAGCAAAAGAACTGGTACCTGGAAAGCAGTCAGCTGGTAATTGCTGTGTATTGCTTGTTGTTGGCATCAGTCTGTCCTGAGAGGCAATGGAATACACCTCCAGGGGTGAAGTCAAATCACACTGTTAACAGCACAGACGTGACCTTCCTAGGAGCAAGCCTGGGCAGTGTGTATGGAGCTCCTGGGTTGCCCAGAAGACAAGAGCCCCCCCCCACACACACACACTCTTGGCCTCGCTGATGTGGTCCAAAGAGAAGCAGAGCAATACATTTAGCACCAACATGGCAGCAGGAGTTGCCAGAAGGAGGCGTGCAAAGCACCATCCAGCCATCTTAGGGACTCCACTCCAGATTTTTGTAGTGTTTGCTCCTTATCCTTTTCTTCTCCCAAAGATATTCTGCAAGGCAGTTGTGTATTACAGGGATACACCTGTATTTGTGTATTACAGGTTGGCATTTTAGTGTCATGTCAAGCCATAACCCAAGGTTTACTGTGCACAAACAAACTGGAGATTGGAAACAAACCACAAACAAACCATGATTGGTACACCATAAACAAACCTTGGTTTATCGTCATGGTTTGTTTCCCCTTACCCCAGCACTAGCAGTGAAGAGCAAAGAAGACAACTCAACACATTTGCAATGGTGTCGGGCGTACAGGTAAATTTTATAAAGTCAGAAGCTATGTGCTTCAACACCCCTCCTCACACCCAAAAAGAACTCACGAAGGTCACCAAAATAAAACTTTGCCACACCAAGTTCAGATACCTAGGGGTACAAATAACCAGAAACCTCAATACATTGTACCTCCACAACTACAAACCCCTGTGGCGACAAATTAACAAAGACCTAAAGAGATGGAATAACATGAACTTCACTCTCTCAGACAAAATAGCCATGATCAAAATGATCACACTCCCAAAACTAACCTACCTATTCCAAACCCTCCCAATTTGGATCCCCTCAACCCAACTTCGCAGTTGGCAGAGAAAACTACACTCTTTCATCTTCTCACATAAAAACCAAGAATAAGCCCCAAATACCTGCACTTCCCCACCTCAGAAGGAGGATGGGAATCCCAACATAGAAGCATATTACAATGCCAACCAAATACGCCACATAATCCCATATATACTAGAAGATGAGACAAAACAATGGGTACACCTAGAGAGGGACACAATTGAAAACACCTGCACCACAACATACCCACTCCTCCCAAACAAACTAAAGAAAATTCCCACAACACTTAACAGGTACACACAGACCATGCTCAAAGGATGGAAAACACAAATAGGCAAACTATCCTCAACCCCATCCCCACTAATCCCCCTGGCGTACCACCCATTATTCCACCATGCAGCACAAAACCTCAAGATAAAAACCTGGCGAACCAAAGGCTTATATCGCCTAATAGACTTTTATAAAAATAACAAACCCTTGTCAACACAAGAAATACAAGACAAACTAGAAGACACCCAAATGCCCTGGTTAACACAACACCAACTACATGCCCTCTTAAACAACCCAACAGTAAAATCAGCAGCAACTAGGCCCCTGACAACCTTCGAAAACCTCCTCCTAACAACAAAGGGAAACGGTAAAGGGACAGTATCAGCAATATACAAAATACTACTACAAAATCCCACAAATCCCCTAGACGCAATCAAAAAAAATGGGAGAATGACATAGGCTATGAGATTAACCCCACTCAATGGACCAGAATGTGGTCTAAACCCCCCTTTAAATCCATATCAACGAAAAGAAAAGAACTCACACTGAAACTCACCTACAGGTGGCACCTAACACCAAGGAAACTAGCGCTAATACACCCAGGAACCTCACCAAAATGCTGGAGAGGGTGCACCTCCACAGGCACATACCTCCACATGTGGTGGGAGTGTCCCAAAATCCAACTATTCTGGACAACAGCCATACAAGAAATATGTAAAATAACTAAGCAAGTAATAGACATCACCCCAGAATTGGCCCTACTAAACATCTTCCAAGACAACAATGCCCATTTACACCACAAAGAACTCATAACCCACCTGCTCTCGGCAGCCAGAAACACCATAACCAGACACTGGAGAGACCTGTCAGGAGTAAGCATGGACCAATGGTACCAAATAGTATGGGAAACAGCCCTACTAGAAAAATTAACTAATAAACTGAAACTGACACGGGGACAAACAGAAGATGCCTTCACCCCGGTATGGCTCCCCTTTATCACATACACAGCCCAACAGGACAATGACAATAATCCACCAACAGCATACAAATCAATATGGCTAACCTGATCCAAAACACCCACCCACCTCACTCACACACGAAAACAAAGATCACCACAGCCAATCACAAGCAAACAATCACACCCTAGGCCAACCCCAACCTCTCTCACCACCAAAGGAACACAAGTGAACAACACAAGCAACGCTGACACCAAACTCTACATACATTAAACATAATAGAAACACCGCCACCCGACCCCACCCCCATCCATCTTCCCTCTCTCCACCCCCCTTTCTTTTTTCTTTCTTTTTTCTTCTCCCCCTAATGCCTCAACAAATGAAATGGATTTGTAAAAATGTTACATGGGAAAAAAAATACGAGGCACTACACTTCTGTAAAACAAGAAAATCCTTAATAAAATATTTTTTTAAAAAAAGAGCAAAGAAGACATAATTTGCTCATCTACAGTAAGTCATGACTTACAGTGATGTGCACAGATGGTCAGACACAAGTTGGAGTCTGTCTTTGAGAGAAACTGATAAATTAAGTTAGTCTTGGATATTTAAATTGGAATTTTTAAGTTTCAGCCCATAATTTTAGATAAACTTTAAATAGCTGAAATGGCTTTTTGCAAGCAAGTTTACAAGAATTCAAACAACTGACCACATGGTGTGCTAAAGGTTCTTACAACATTTTGGGGATAAAGTTAGAATATTGACACTTGCAGAGCTAGAGCACATCGCTGACATCTTGCCCGTTTTCCTTTTCTTAAGCCACCTAGCAAGATCCAAGAGCTGCAAACAGGAGACACTGAAGAGGATAGACCTTTTCGTATGAAAGAAGAACTCTGCCAAGCTCTAGAGAAGTTGAGTGAAATGGAACAACTGAGAAAGCAATTAGAAGCTAGTGAGTCTAGAATTGAAGCTGAGGTAATGGACAAGCTGACAGTAACTCAGAAACTTCATGAGCAGGAGGAAGCGATGAAGGCCATAATGCAAGAACGAGATAATTTGAAGGACATTGTGGGTTGTCTCCAAATAGAGAAGGATCTCATCAAGGAAAAGATTGAAGCGGATGTAGCTCAGAAGCTTCATAATCATGAAGGAGCAATGGAAGTCTTAATCCAGGAACGAGATGATTTGAGGAGGAAGCTGGATGTTCTCCAAAAACAGGGGAAGCTTGCCAAAGAAGAGGCTGAAACAGAGGTGCTTCATGAGCATGAAGAAGCAGTGAGAGCCTTGACCCAGGAGCGAGATTACCTGAAGGACAAATTGGATGCTCTCCAAGTGGAGAGGGATCTCATCAAGGAAGAGATGCAAGCAGCGAAATCAATGGTAAAATATTATTAGTTTTTATTAAGTTCATTTTTCTTTTTTACTGTTTACAGTTTATTGATCTTTGTAAAATTGCGAAAGTGTATCTGCCAACCAACCTTTCCTTCCCAATGTTTTGGTCCTTTTTATAGCTTGCACTTTCATAATTGTGCTGGTCTTTTAATGGAAGGGGAAAGTAAGCCAGAAATCTTTACCAGTTGGATATCCTACCATCGCAAGTTAATTACAGTTCTAGGAATCGAGAGCAGATTTTCATAGACCAAATAATGTGCACAGACTGGGGAAATGTTGTGCATGCCCATGTGAAGCCAGGAGCCTGTTCAGATGCATGTTTGTCTCCAGAATATTACCAGGATGAAATGGGGAATGGGCCTAGAGGTTGTGCGCACACCCTCTCAACTCACTGTAGAGGAAAGGTAATTCTTATATCACACCATGGTGAGAGTAAAAAAGCTTGAGGCTAGGAGTGAACAGGCCCTGAAGCCATAAGGGTTGTATGGTTAGTCAGAAATGAGACTGATCTTGAAAAGTGACAGGGTTCTGAAACTAACGGTTAATTTTGAACCCATGAAAGCTTTCTCTTAAGCAGCAAGACGACGAGAGAGCTCTAGAGGAGCTACTCGGACTGAAAGAAGAGCTCTGCGAAGCCAAGCAGAAACAGAGTGTGATGAAGCAGCTGGACGCAGATCTTAAGGCCAGAGAATCTGAACTTGAGGCTGAAAAGATGGAGAAGTTGGAAATGGCGCAAAGGCTTCACAGCAGCGAAGAAGAGAAAAAATCCCTAATCCAGGCGATGGATGCCCTGAAGCAGAAGTGGGAAGCTTTCCAAACTGAGAGTGAGTCACTCCAGAGACTTCTGGAAGCAAGTACTTCAATGGTAAGTAGCTGTGGGCCACAAAATGGCGGAAGGAGCAGTTTGCTTCCTTTAGCTAGCTGGCCTATTCCACCCCTACCACCTTAGAAAGCAAGTTTGATTCTGGCAAAGTAACAGCTGGTGGAGTGGAAATGGAGCTGGTGGTCTAAAGCTGGCCTTAAATATGGGAAGAGGAGGACTTGTAAGCTATTGAGGGAAGGCTTCTGCTTCAAATCTAGTGGCAGGGGATGGGTCTTCTTGCTCCAACATATAGTGTCCCTGGCAGCAGGCAACTTGGAGAAGGGTTTGGGCATTAGGGAAAGGGAGCTCCAGGTTCCATCATTCTAGGTAAACTCTTCATAAAACTAAGAAAGCAGAACTTGCTTGATGAGTGTTTCTTTATATAAAACCTGACTCAGGTCCAACAGCTAGAAGAAAAGAATCTTGACCTGAGGCAACTGCTTGAGTCGAGGGAAGAGCAGAGTCGGACGGCTGCTGAACGTCTGAATGAGATGGAGCAACTGAAGTCCAAGACAGAAGCCACAGAGAAGGAGAAAGCAGAATTGCTTCAGAAGCTTCACAGCGCCGTGCAGGACTTCAGAACTGTAAATCGGGAAAAAGAGGATTTGAAAACCGCAGTAGATGCTCTTCAAACTGAGAAGGATAACATGATCCGGACCATCCACCGCCTTGGCGAGAGCGTAGAGAAGATGGTTGCAAATGTAAGAGGCCATTTTTAACACCTTCAGACCAACAGCAGTGAATGAGATTCAGTCAGTGGACTGGATCCATGTCTTCCACACACTGCATGTGGCATATTTGATGGGGGGGGGTGCCCAGCTGTCAGTTGCCTGACATCAACCAGTTGACCTATTTTCTCCCCGCACAGTTTGAAATCAAACTGGATGGGCAAATCAGCAGTGCCTGCAAACCCTTTCAGCCTACCTGTATCTACCTGCTGCACACCTGGCATGTGTATGATGTCAGGTGGAAGACAGGTGGGCACTGTGTGGCTGAAACTGTCTCATGGTCCAGATGGGAAGGCCTGCCAGACCTAATGAGGCCCCTGGTCTGGAGGTTCCCACCCCTTTAAGAGAGCGACCTTTCTGATATTGTAGAAAAACCATGAGCACAAACGACTATTGGTGGCTTAACAGTGGCTGTTCCGTCTTTAAAGAATCTGAAGCTGCAAGAACAACTCGAGCTTAGCATTAGCCATAAGGAAGGAACTATTGGAATGGCAGAGGAACCAGAAGGAAGAAATTTAGATGAGAATTCTCGGGCCTCAGAACTCCAGGAGATACTGGACCAGACAACTAATCAACAAAAGAGAGAAGTAAGAAAATGCTTCCTATTTTTTTAATAACACTTGAGTATTCAAAATGGGCCACCTTCCTTCTCATTAATTCTTACTTAAAAATAAAAGCTCACAGTAGGAGGCTTATTCATTGTGAGAGAAGGGGCCATTTATAACTGACTTTGAACTTCAGTGCTTGGGAGCTTAAAAAAAACAGAATAAGATGACATCTATCAGAAATACGTGGGATATTATTGTGGGATCTTTCCCGTATTGATGGCAGTTAAGCTATTATTTCTTAAAACATTTTAACCTGCTGTTCAGCCAAAAGCCTGGAGCAGATAATGAATGATCCATATGAATAATATTGCATTGCAGGCCTTACTTGAATCTCAATCTCTATATACTTAACAGGCTGAGTGCTGCCGAAAAGCTGAAGCTGCCCTGAAAGCATCTAAGGAGCAAATCCAAGAACTGCTCCTAGAGTTGAATACACTGAAAGAAAAGCAAACACATTGTGCTGCTGCTAATCTTGCCTTGGAAGAAGAAAACTATAAGCTGGGGGATAAATTAAAAGCAACAGAAGAACAACAGAAGGTGTGCTTTCATTTATATTACTCTGGTTTTTCTCAGGACTGTGAGAGGACACACTGATGCAAATCTTTTGAGGATTTGCTTAATGTGACTTTCACTGGGGTTGGCTCTTGTGTGAAAGAAGCTAATCCCGTTAAACGTAGTGATGGGTGCCAGGCCCAGATGTTGTAGAGGGGGGGTGACTGCTGCAGCCCAGCATCACCTCCCTTGAAGTCTACCAAATGCAAAAACCACCTCATTGTTTTCTTTGCCCGACTTTGTTTTTGTTTGCTTCTGATTGAGAAAGTGGGCAAACTGGATGCTGTGTTCTCATGCATACTCTGGTGGGGCAAACAGAGGAAATATGTGACTCGTGTGTGAGGCTGGGGGTACAAATAGTGGGTGGGTGTGTCCCCCCTACCCCGATCACCTGTATTGTTGTTAGGTTATCCTTCCTTTTTAAAAGCCCAACATTCTGAGAAATATTTTGAGTTGCCATGAACAAGGCTCAGTCGGTTAGAACGTGGTGCTGGCAGTGCCACGGTTTGAGGTTCGATCCCAGTGTAAGGGACAGTAAGGGCATATTCCTACATTGTAGGGGGTTGGACTAGAATGATTCTTGGGGTCCCACTCCCTTCCAATTCTATGAGATCTATGAAATACCTTTCATATCAGGGGTTGGGAGCCTCTGGCCTATGAACCAAATGTGGCCAACCAGGACTTCACATGTGGTGCACAAGGCCATTTTGGGGAACCTCAGCCCACCTGCCTTACATCATACATTCAGGGGATACCACTTTTCGCTCCTAATGCTGTTCTCTGAAAACTGGAGGTTTACAGAACAATGTGGGGCTGTTACAAAGCCTTTTCCCAAACAAAGACCCTCACTAAGTCTCTGCTTGAAAGAGGTTTCAGGAGCAGCAGGGAGGTTTTTTGAGGAAAGGGCTTTCAAACAACCTCATGCTGCTGCTGCTGCTGCTGCTTCATTGCAAGTTGAAGTGCTTAACGCAATACAGTGGTACCTCGGGTTACAAACGCTTCAGGTTACATATGCTTCAGGTTACAGACTCCGCTAACCCAGAAATATTACCTCAGGTTAAGAACTTTGCTTCAGGATGAGAACAGAAATTATGCTCTGGTGGCAGCGGGAGGCCCCATTAGCTAAAGTGGTGCTTCAGGTTAAGAACAGTTTCAGGTTAAGAGCGGACCTCCGGAACGAATTAAGTACTTAACCCAAGGTACCGCTGTACTGAAGAAACTACAACTAAGAAGCAGTGCGGGGATGCATTCAAAGGGCTGTTTGAAAGTTCTTTGCTGTGCTTTGAAGTCCCAAAGATCAGGACTTCAATGCATAACATCACCCGACATCACAGTGGCATTAGGTCAGATCTTCCCCACCTCTGTTCTAGGCAACTCTGTTCAATGGCATTTTCAGTTGTCATCAGTGATGCCTCCAACTGCTATTCCTCTCTAACTAGAGTCTGAAGCTGAAAATCCAGGAGCTGGAAAATGCCATGAGTGAAATGAGAAGAAATTTCCAGGAAAGGGAAAAGGCTGCCCAGTTGGCAATGGAGCTGAAAGTGCGAGCGGCCAAGAATGATGCGGTCCGTCTTGGGGCTGTATTAAAGGAGAAGGAGAACAGCCTAAGAAGTGCACTTGCAGAGCAAGAAACTCTCAAGGTATGCACTGACTTCCTAAGAGAGCCATTTCCTGTTTTCATGCTTTCTATTACAGATGGAAGTGCAGCTTCTCCAAAGAACCTAATACTGGTTTACGTTCATTACAACATTTTATGTTCCCTCCACTCACCTTTCTCCCGATCTGCTCCAGGCAGCATGCATGTCTTCCTCCACCTCCATTTTATCCTCATGCTGTTAGGTTCACTGATAGTAAGTGGCCCAAGGTGACCCAGTGAGCTTCATGGCTAAGTGGGGGTTTGAACCTGGTCCAAAGCCAGCACTCAAACCCCAGGCATTGGAAACCTCTGCCCCGCAGGCCAGATTAGACCCAGCAGGGGTCCCAGTTTGGTTCACGAGGCTGTCTTTCCCCAATGTATTGCCACCTGCCCCACACCCAATGTCATATGTGATGCTGGATGTGGGGACAGATAGACGCAACTGGAAAGGACTAGCCAGAAGCTCAAAGTGGGTTCCTGAGCCCTACTGGGATCAGCTGCACCCAGGAATAATAATAATAATAATAATAATAATAATAATAATAATAAATTTGACCAAACTGCGGGAGGCAGTGGAAGACAGGAGTGCTTGGCGTGCTCTGGTCCATGGGGTCACGAAGAGTCTGACACGACTAAACAACAACAACAATAATAAATGTATTATTTGTACTCCACCCATCTGGCTGAGTTTCCCCAACCACTCTGGGCGGCTCCCAAAATAATAATAACAATAATAATATAAATAAATAAATACAGTGGTACCTCGGCTTACATACGCTTCAGGTTACATACGCTTCAGGTTACAGACTCCGCTAACCCAGAAATAGTACCTCGGGTTAATAACTTTGCTTCAAGATGAGAACAGAAATTGTGCTCCGGCGGTGCAGCGGCAGCAGGAGGCCTCATTAGCTAAAGTGGTGCTTCAGGTTAAGCACAGTTTCAGGTTAAGAATGGACCTCCGGAACGAATTAAGTACTTAACCCGAGGTAACACTGTAAATAATTTAATCGATCAAACATTAAAAACTTCCCTAAACAGGGCTGTCTTCAGATGTCTTCTAAAAGTCAGATAGTTGCTTATTTTCTTAACATCTGATGCGACGGTGTTCCACAGGGCAGGCGCCACTACCCAGGAGGCCCTCTGCCTGGTTCTCTGTAGCTTCACTTCTTGCAGTGAGGGAACTGCCAGAAGGCCCTCAGAGCTGGACCTCAGTGTCCGGACTGAACGATGGGGGTAGAGACGCTCCTTCAGGTGTACTGAGCCGAGGCTGTTTAGGACTTTAAAGGACAACACTTGGAATTATGCTCAGAAACGTACTGGGAGCCAATGTAGGTCTTTCAAGACCGGTGTTATATGGTCGGCGGCTGCTCCCAGTCACCAGTCTAGCTGCCGCATTGTGGATTAGTTGTAGTTTCCGGGTCACCTTCAAAGGTAGCCCCAAGTAGAACGCATTGCAGTAGTCTAAGCAGGAGTTAACTAGAACATGTACCACTCTGGCTTTGTCCAATTGCAGCCATGGTTTTGAATTCATTTTTGCTTTGTAGACAGTGTTTTTCATAACAACCATCAGGTGGTTGACAAGTAGGTGGCCTTGTGCATCCAACAGAGCAGCTTCCCACACCTGCTCTAACCATGAATCAACACTGGCTTTTCATAAATCCATGCGAAACACAAGAATGTATTGTACCTTGTATATGCTGACAGATATGGTGCCTTTAGCCAATGCACTAGAGCCCAAGTGTGAGGCTGTATAAGTTTACTTAAATGAATAATTCTTAATCTTGGCTAGTAGGAGGAAGTTGCTGCTGCTACTGTACAATTCTGGTAGCCTGTTCTCATCTGGCATTTAAACTGTTGATTATTTTTAACTATTGTCTGTAGCTTTCGAGAAGAACCTGCTTGCCAAGGGTGCATAGCAACTCTTCCCCCTCCTGCTTAGACGTCTTCTTGCCTCCCTCTTAATTTTAGGCCAAACTTAATGAAGGTGCTGAATCAAACAAGGACGAAATCGAGGACCTCAAAACTCAGCTTGCTAAAGCAGACATGGCAAGAATGAAGCAGAGCAAATATTTTGATCAAGAGTAAGTCCTGTTTTACTTAGCTGGCTTTTCTTTCGAAGCCCCTGAGTAATAGTCTGGAGATCCAACTTCCCTGGAAATTGTTAGCCTTACAGGATTGGGGATTAGATTTCTGGGGCTTAAGCTGGACTCCACTGGCTCCTTAACTCAGGGGAGCCTAGTTGACAGCATTGGTCCCTAAGCAGGTGGTCCTCTTGTCTGTTCTTTAAGGGGCAGATGGAACTGATGGGGAGGAGGTGCCCCATCTAGCTGGTGAGAGCAGCAGTGAGTGGAGGTAGCAGTTACTGCTGTCTGATTCTTCTCTTCCTCAAAAGCCAATTGGAAAGGATGGCCTCTGACAAAAGTAGGCTTTGGCCTCTGAAAACATATGTCAGAAAAGTTAGTATTTAAAGTTTGATGAAGCACAGCTTGGCTCTTCGTTGACTCCAGCTTTATGTCAATAAATTTCCCACAGTGGGAAACGGGAAGAGAGGCCTTTGCTTCCAATCCAACTGGGCTTTTCATAGGTACTTAACAACACTTTTGCAGAGCAACCCTATGCATACCTATTTGGAAGGAAGCCCCAGAGTGTTAAATGGAGCTTGCTCCCAGGTATAGTTATGGCTTTGGGGTGGGGGAGGGATTGCAGCCTTGATTTCTTTTTCTTTTTTATAAACAAAATGAAGAATCACGTTATTGTTCTTATTCCAGAATGGCTAATGCAAAAGCTCTTGCGGAGCACAGAGAGGAGCAGTTGAGAAAACTCAAGGAAGAACTTCGCAGAGTGCAACAAGAGCAGGATGTGACTGGTAAGCAGATATCAATCGAGCAAAGTCATATTCTGACTGTATCAATTGTCTTTTTAAGGTGTAGATCAGGAGGTGGAACTTCAGGCCTGGGGATCAAATGTGGCCCTCTAGGCCTCTCCAACTGGCCCTCAGGACACTCTCCAGGCCATACCCATCACTAACTTGCTCTTTGAGTGTCTTTGAACTGTGATAAATGCCTTTTGGTTGCATGGATGGAAAGATGGGTGTGTAGCAGTCTCTGTTTGACTGTTATGTAGCCTCCTGTACAAACCTCCAAGTCATGCCTCTGATCTTGCCCATTTTTTCCACTGGCCCTTCTTGCCACTGGGGTGCAGCCTCCGAAAGGTGACCACCAAGGAAATGCGACCCCATGCTGCAAAGAGCCAAATGGGCAATCGTAAAAAAGGCCTCTTATACTATTCTGAGTTATGGAGGACAATAAATAAGATATGTCTAACAAGAGAAGTGAGCATTTCATCTCTGTAAGGCTAGTATTCACAGATTCCTTTGTGTCCCCAAAGTACTTACAATTACTGTAAAACCAACTGAAAGCTAACCAGCTGAAAGCTTCCCTTGAAATGTGACACAATGCTTATGTTGATTTGATTGCAAAATCGGTATTTTTTAAATTGCATCTTACCTTAACAATTGTATTATCCAGGATTTTATAGAGTTCTTTAATTTTGGAAGTTGAGAATTCTGTGCTAAAATGCCCAGCCTGAACCTATATACCTTGTAAATTTGTATCTTTGATTAATCTTCTTATCTCTGTCTGCTGTCTTGTAAAAGAGTGTATTCAGTGTTAAGGATATATGCATCCCCACCTTCTAGGCACCTCTGCAGACCTGGGAAACTGACACACATAGGCATAGCAGAGTTCTTAAATGGTACAGTTACCATCCAACGCAGGCATAGGCAAACTCTGGCCCTCCAGATGTTTGGGACTACAATTCCCATCATCGCTGACCACTGGTCCTGTTAGCTAGGGATGATGGGAATTGTAGTCCCAGACATCTGGAGGACCGGACTTTGCCTATGACTGATCGAACCATTCATGTTGTTTGCTTCTGTCGGTCACTGTGATGTTTTTAGTTTTTAACAGGCTCCTTTCATTAACCCTCTTTTTCAGTAATAGCACCGCACAAAGACAATTCTCAGGTATCACTAGCGATTACTTGTGGCGGTGGAAGTGGAATAGTACAAAGTACCCAGCTTCTTGTGCTGAAATCTGAGCATGCGAAACTGGAAAAGGAACATGCTCAACTGAAGAAAAAACTGGAGATTATGTTAAAGTAAGCCCTAAGGTTTATCTGGAATCGTTCTTCTCCCACTATCAGTTGCATGCCTGTTCTTCAAAACTGTGACGCTCTTAACAGTGGCATTTCTGTTGAGACAAATATGCTTGTGCATAAGTTTGGTAGGCCACGAATCACAGAATCCTAATCTACCAGCCTGCCTTGGGCTGCAAAAGCAAGCGGCCTGGTGAACCACAGTAAGTGGCTGACGTGTTGCATACAGATGGTGTGGACTGGTTTCTCAGAATGCACCATGCCTTGGCATGGGGGTCCCCAACCTTTATGGGCCACCAGGACACATGTGGATGTCTAAAGTTGTTGTGCGAACCTCAAAATACCCACTTCACAGAGCTCACCCCAGTATGAAAAACACCTCTGTGCTCCCACCCAAAAAAACCCAAACAACTAATCCACAGCCTTGGTGAGCACTTGTGTGTGTCTTAGGGGGCACTATGGTACCCACAAGTGACAAGTTGGGGGCCACAAGTGTAGCATATTCCATTTAGGTGTTTCTACTGTTAACGGAGAAATCTGAGGGCTCCCTTGGACAAAAAAACCAAGGACACCAGCCAGGAATACCAGAGCAAAACAGTGAATTGTTACATTTGGTATTGTGTAGCAGAGGCCCTTTGAATAGATAGGAAGAAACTCTGATGAAGTGTTTTGTGGGGACAAGTCACAAAAGTGATTGTGCTGATTTTGGTAGTGCATGATATCTGCTGGAGGGGCAACCCCCCCCCCCCTATACATTAATTCCTGCAACACTACCTAGGACACCACTTTTACCATGAATTTAGGATAGCTTTTTTTTTCCTTTTACAAATCTGCACTCGGCCACAAAGCTCAGTCGTGACCTCTTGACCCAAGCTATGTCCCAGATCTGTTGTGAGTAGGGAAAGGGGTGTGGGAGAAGAGTCATGCCTGCTGCCTTGTGTTCCTTGGAGTTGAAAGGCAAGCTACACAATACAAAACCAATCAATACCATTGAATACATTTGTCTATTCCAGTGTCAGTTCACAACACGTCAATTTGTGAGCAGGCTAAAGCCCAGTGACTTAGCTTGCATCATTTTGAATGAAGGCATGCTAGAGGTTTTTTTAAATAGTGCTGCTGCCACTATTCAGAAGGGGAGGAGGTGGAAACAAGTTCCATGTTTCAGGGGGTGGGACGTTAGAAGCAGAATCTGATCTCTCCAGCGAGGGGGCCTGGCAGCTGGCCTCCCACTGCTAGCTCGCCTCTTTTCTCCAAATAGGAACTAGTAGTTCAAATCTTAGGCAGCAATCATATGTCTGACAAGAGGACTGATCTCATCTAGGCCACTGCAGAGAGTCATGTGCAGAATTTCATGCGAGGCACTATTTAGAATGAGAAGACTTCCAGTGGCAGCAAGCTGAATATCTTCAGGTAGATCAGCCTGAGGGCCACTAACTTCTAAACACCCTTGTACATCCCTCTACATCCAAGCCTCTATCAGAGTGCAAGGGCAGGCAGGCAAAAATACTCAAGAAGGCTATGAAGGAAGGCCAGTGTCCTGGGGAGATCCCCAAGGGCCAGGCAGAGTGGTCTACACAGAGGGCTGCCTTTGACCCCCAGGGCTGAGGTTCCCCATTGTTGTGCTAGATGAAGCCAAGCCTTTCCCTCTGCTTGTAAGGGGTGGGTTTTGTAGGCTGAGAGCACAAAAATGACTCTTCTCTTCAACGTGTCTCCTTTGTGTTCCAGAAATGAGCTGCTCTGGAAGGAGGAAGTTAGGAAATGGAAGGAGCGGTCCTCAAGGAGGCAGCGGTCCACAAGCGAGGAGCAACAGCTAAAATCACCAAGGAAGACTGCTCCTCCTTCTGTGTCAGAGCAGCCATCTTCTCCTTGTAGAGAGTGGTCCTTGAGGAGGCAGCAGCCCACAAGCGAGGAGCAACAGCTAAAATCTCCAAGGAAGACGGTTCCTCCTTCTATGTCGGAGCTGCCATCTTCTCCCTGTAGAGAGCGCTCCTTGCAGCCAGCTCTGTCGCTGGACACGCCCGCTCCTGTGTTGTTGAGCTGTCCGACCTTCTTTGATAACTCTCGCTTAGGAGATTTTAAAGGTAGGTAATGGCGTGATACAGGGGTGTGCAGAAGGCAGACTGAGATCTGCTGGGAGACCTCTGGGAGATTTGCCGCAGATTGGCAAGGATTTGTGAATTCCAGCAGCTGGACAACTGCAGTAATGAAATAACTGTGTCCCCACCCACTGAGGGGGGGAAAAGACTGCCGAAATGAAGCAGGAACCACAGGAATAACTTGTTTCTGGCACTCAGAACAAATCCCTTTGTTTAGCAGCTGCTTGGGGCACCATGTTCTTTCATGCATGTTACAATTAGTGGATGTTGGGGTTCTCAGAAAACACAGTGGTATTATTTTCTATCAATATCTACCGCCCTTCATTCTAAGATCACAGGGTAGTTTAAAATAACCCCTCGCCCACCGTTTTTATTTAGAGGTGTAAATAAGTTTATTATTTACAAAGGTAGATCTCACAAGCCTGAAGTCTGTTCTCCCTTGCTGTAATATACTACCTGAAAAGGAAGAACCTCTAAGAAAAATGCAAATCCCATGAAAAGTGCCACACTATCAGCCATGTAAAGTGCTCCAAGGGTGCAGGAATAATCAATAATAACTTCTGTTACTTCTCATACACGCACTCTGGTAGGTCCAAAGTAGCTGGCAATAGCAGTTACACCATCTCTCGCATTCCAGTGTTCAGTGTGCTTTTTGGCCCACAGTTCCCCATATGTTGCGGAGATAAAAATTTTAGCCAAAATGCCACAGCAAGAAGCAGGAAAGGCTCTGCAAGGGTTTGGGAGGAGCAGGTGTGCATAGTTAAAACTGCTTTCATTAAAGCAAGCTGTAAGGTTCTCCCAGTACACTGATGCGCATCGTTGTGTTGCGCTTTGCCATTTGCCATTTGCCGGAGCAGTTTTGATTCTGTTTTAAAGGCTCTGGAATCTTGTAGCACAATAGCTAGCAGACTTTGTTCCCTCCTTCAGTTCCTCACTCAGTCATGCTGCTCTTCATTGTAGTACAGCAATTTGTTGGCACTTGAGTTCAACTTGGAAATGTAATACTGAGCTGGGTACAAATCATATCTGCCTGTGACTCTTTAAACTGAGTCTGCAGCTGTACTAAATTAATATTTCAGTGTCTGAAATATAGTGGGGTTGTTATGATTCGTATAAATCTCAAATCTCACCATCTTTTGAGAGAGGCGACTGTTGAGAAGCATTTAAGATCGTTTTTAGCATAGTTGCAGTGCACTTTCTGCCCTCATTTGCCAGCCTTGGCAGTGTAATTCCTTAAACATCACTCCTAGTACAGTTTTTCATCTCCGCACCTCCAAAGCGTGCTCTCAGCTGCACAGGAGACATGATTTAATTGCAGGACATCTAACACAAAGCACACCAACAAATTTAAATGACACAAGTTCAGCTCATTGCCATTTTGAATTAGTACGGCTTATGAGCTTCAGTTGTCACAACGATTAATGGTGTGTGTTGTGGTACGCTTTATACAAAGGCCCAGAACCCTCTACCCACAAATGGTCATTCTCTTCTGAACAATTGTTTTGCCTTCTGGTTGTCTCTAATAATTACAGATGTCTTGAAAACATGTACTTGATTGCAGCCATTTTTATTTAAACAGATGTCCACTATTCTTTTCTCCAACAGACACAAAGTCTTCAGGTGTCCCGTCCACTGACAGAGCAGTAGAGTCTACAGACAAAAATTATAAGCAGTGGTTTGCAGGCTCAAACAATGACGATGTTTCTAAATGCAAGACACAATAGCTGTCTTGATATTTTTGTGGACACAGATTAATAGATTTCCATCTTCTTTTGATTTCATACTTATTTTTAATGTGTTTTTAAAAGAATAAATAAAGAATTGTTGTTTAGTTGTGTCCGACTCTTCATGACCCCATGAACCAGAGCACGCCAGGCACTCCTGTCTTCCACTGCCTCCCACAGTTTCGTCAAACTCATGCTGGTAGCTTCGAGAACACTGTCCAACCATCTCGTCCTCTATCATCCCCTTCTCCTTGTGCCCTCAATCTTTCCCAACATCAGGGTCCTTTCCAGGGAGTCTTCTCTTCTCATGAGGTGGCCAAAGTATTGGAGCCTCAGCTTCAGGATCTGTCCTTCCAGTGAGCACTCGGGGCTAATTTCCTTAAGAATGGATAGGTTTGATCTTCTTGCAGTCCATGGGACTCTCAAGTCTCCTCCAGCACCACCCAGCTCTTTTACCCTGCACCAATCCCAGACACAAGTCTGGCACAAGCTTAGCAAACTCTGCACAGTGAGACGGGAAAAACAGTTTGAGTACATGGTAAGCTGTTATATCTTTTGAGGAAAAGCGAAAAGAGAGGCACTGCAAGCAGCTTAAGCCTTCCTTTTTATTTCCAACCAGCAATTATTAAAAGCCTGTTTTTAGCCATCCCTTTCCACAGCCTTCCTTAATTCCGATGGCTCTCCGTGTTCTACAAGAGGAAGCAGGGTTGTACCCGCACATGCATGGAACTGAAAAGAACTACATTTAACTGGTAGTGGAATTAACTTTATTAGGCACTTGTAATAGCATGTAGCCATTCTGGAACAAAGGCACACCACGTAATTGTGGAACTGAAAGGGCCACATAGTTCATCAAAGGACGCTGCAGCATAAAAATGTTGAATTACAATAGATTCGGAAATCAAATTCTATGACTTAGAAGTGAGATCAGAGTTTTTGATTCCATCTCTTATATTAATCATTTTATTAACGCCAGGATGCTTCTGTTGCCATCACTAACACTTTTTGCCTCCTCCAGCACCATAATTCAAAAGAATCAATTCTTCCACGATCAGCCTTCTTTATGGTCCAGCTCTCACTTCCATACATGCATAGGGCCCTTCACACAGCTGAGATGGGGCTAAGTTATGCTGCATGATCCACTCCAATTACATGGCCAGTAGAATATCACTGAGTCTCTTGTGCATGCCATGAACACTGTTTTCCTTATGCTAAACTTGTGGTAGAAAGCTGAGTGTTTGTCTGGCATTACAGCTCCACTGATATTGGTTCATCCTCCCTCTAAAGAAGTAAAAATATGTGAAGTCTAAATCCTAGATAAGACAGGCAACTCGAGGTTACCAAGTGGTGAGTTACACAGCACATGTTAGCTTCCAGGGTCCCGTTGGTAAGCCTGCCATAGACAAAACAGATGCATTTTTTTAAAAAAGTTACTAGATCTGGTTCCCAAACTTCCATAGATCACTTGAAAATTGCTGAGGGTCTTTGTGCACCATTTAATGGCTTTTCGGCCTGTTGTAGCAATTGTAACATGCTGTGATGGGTAAATAGATGATCTTTAAATGCATTTTTATTGTTGCTTTGATTTCTTGTGTTTCATTGTACTACAGTTTGCATTCCATAGAACTCAAATAATACTATAAACGACAATATGGGAAATAAAGAAACAACAAAAATTACAATTAAAAATTTTAAGTGAATATTAAGGCAGACCACCTGAATGAAGCTCATGGACCACAATTTGGGAACCTCTGTTCTAGATGATAATGTATGACTGTAAATTGCTGATAAAAATTGGAAGCAAGGCCTAAGCAAGATTTTAATTTGGTGTGCCGATAGGCAAACATCCACATGTATTTTGCCAATGCCCTAGTGTATGCAAGTTGCAGAATCTGCTTGTTTCCTTGTGATGTAAATGAGTTTAGCCTGGTATAGAAATAAGCTTCCTTTTTTCTGATGGTTTACACAACCCTCAGCATGGTCTGCATTCCCTGAGATTCGCCTTAGTATAGCTGGCAACTGCCAATAGTAATAAAAATTAAAATAGGTAGACGTAGCACTTTCTCAGTCATGTCCTTCCTAAAGCCAGTATGGTGGAGCTTGCACATTCGTATAATCTTTTTCTTTTTAGAAGTAATTTATTGCTATTCAGTGCAGTGGGCAGTATTCAACTAAATGTGTGTGAGTGGAGCAATTTCAGTTTGAATTTTTCGCACTCCTCTCTACACATGCTCTACCTGCCCTCCCCAAATCTGCTCCAGGTGGTTGACGGAGCCATGAGAACAGATTTAGGGGGTGCTGTATTAAATACAACCAGATGTGCCATAATTTTATCTAATTCATGTGTGTGGCATGGCCAACAATTTTTATGAATTGCATCTATCACAAAAAACAGACCTGTTAACCACCTTGATCCCAGCATCTTTGTCAATCCATTTTGGCCAGAACTTTCCATGTGGGTGACACACTTTTTAGACATGCATCATTTTGCAACACAGTAATTCAGTTTTACTAGCAAACTAGAGGTTAAACTAACCCCTTTCCAGCCCCACGAGTAGCATGGGGAGTGTCTGTGTGACACATCTACACACTGCAGCCGACACACCCAGTTTGGAAAGCTCTGGCTTAACCTATTGACAGTAGCGTGAATTAGAGATATATCAGACACATATTTAAATGCCTCCGGTTAATTGAAAGTGCCGTTTTGCCAGTTGTCTTTTTTCATAAGTAGCAGTCTGATGCCAACAGTCTTTTATGCATTGCCATAAAGTAGCTTAACCCTAAACTTCACTAGATGGCAGTATTTACTTCTACCTCGGCAATGAATTAGGTATCTTAACTCGGAAGCAATTTGCCAGCACACTTGAGTCGAATCCCAGCATGCTCTCTGAAAAACACAAGTAACCGCCTCCTGGACAAAGGTCTTCAAAGACGGTCTTCACAGCACTCCTGAGGTAAATTTTTCCTCCATTCTTGTTCCTTTTCTTTACAAATAATAGACTCTTTCATTTGAGAATGGATTCTGGCAGATGAGAATTGTCTGCACTCTGGCAGTTGGTGTGTGTGCTGTTAGCATAAGTAGCTTTGAATTATCTCTGCCTTTAGAAAAAGGTTTTGCCATGTGGAAAATAAGTAAAGTAACCCAGTCAGATGGGTGGCATATAAATAATAAGAGGATTATTGTTATTGTGAAATAAAGGACTCAAAGCAAATGTCTAGCCATATGCTTAACCAAGGAAGTCCTAATCCCGCTCCATTCTGCCTTGGTCAGACCACACCTGGAGTACAGTGTCCAGTTCTGGGCAGCACAATTTAAGAAGGATGTTGACAAGCTGGAATATGTGCAAAGGAGGGAAGCCATATATCTAAAGGACTGTCACATGGAGGATGAGACGAGCTTGTTTTCTCCTGCTCTGGAGGGTAGGACCCAAACCAATGGATTCAAGTTACCAGGAAGGAGATTCCAACTCAACACCAGGAATAACTTTCTGACAGCAAGAGCTGTTTCACAGTGAACAAGTCTCCCTTAGGAGGCTCTCCTTGCTTGGAGTCTCTGCTATCCCTCATACCGAGGAAACCAGACCTTCTGGAGCTTGTGGTGGCATGCAACAAATAAATTAAAAGCAGTTGATCAGCTCCTAGTTACGCAAAAACAAAACCCTGCAAATATATTGAAATATGTGTGTAATTGGCTCTACAACCAGCATGAAAGATAATGTGCATTTCTTGCAGCTGTTCCTCCTGTAGTTGGCGCTGGTGAATCAGATACCACAATCTCTTTGAATCACCTACAGGGGGCACGATGGGCCGGCTGGATGGGAAGGTAATACTGATGTCTGCTGCGGCACAAGGAATTGGTCGAGCCACGGCTATTGTAAGTCCGGGAACTCTTACTGGGTTTGCTTTGGGTTGGGTTTTGTACAAATGCATCTGCAAGCAGCCGTCACGAAAGTACTTGTGCTTGAATGTATTTAGATAGTGGTGAGGACTTGAGCAGGAGAGTACCTAGGGCAGGGGTCAGCAAGGTTTACCTTGCCTGGGCCGGTTCACTGCCGCGGAGCCCCCTCCGTGGGCTGGAGTGAGAGTGCGTGCCCGCCATTTTCTGCGTCTGTGCAGATGCAATTTCCGGCATCCGTGTCTGTGCAGACATGATTTCCGGTGCCACAGAAGTGAGTCCCTATGCCGCGCTGTGCCAGTTTAGCACAGCGCATGGGGACTCGCTGAGTGGGCGGCTTGTGGGCCATTTAAACGACCCCCGTGGGCTGCTTGTGGCCCATGAGCCTTAGGTTGCCTACCCCTGACCTAGGGGTTGGCGCAGGCCATGGGGGTGCAAAAATCATGCCTTTCCACTCTAGTTTGGAGTGGCTAGAAGGCCATCTATCTGTGTGTGTCAGGAGTTTAGCCTACACTCGAGTAGGACCCTGAACTGGACACATGCCCGACTGGCATGTTCCCTCCCTCCTGGTCGATTGTTTGGGAGCTTCATAAGCTTTCTTCAGCCCAAACATCACAGCAACCGATGCCAACCAACACCGGCACACTTAGGGATCTGCAGAGTATGCACATCATGCACGTGACAGACCTCAGCAATTCAGCGTTTTGGCTAATCTACTTTATTTACATATAAACACACACGGCATGGCTCCCTCTCTCTCTAGCATCAGACAGCAAAGAGAAAAAGAACAAAGAACAATAGTCCCACTTCACGGAACACAGTAACACAAACATCCTGTCTCCATCACTTCCCACTCTGTGGAGTCAAAATATACCACGTCATGTGAAAGACAAAAATCCCATGACTGCAATCGTGGAGCAGGAATTCTAACAGTGTGCTCTCTTGACTGCCCCTCCGCTGCTCTGGGCAAGGCATCCAGGCTCCTCTGGGTTCCTCGTTGGAGGCATCCAGTCGCTGGCGTGGGCCATCGCAGCAACTCTGCAGCAACCTCCCCATCGCAGCAACTTTCCCAGTCTCTATTAGAAGTGTGAGCGGTCCCACTTGGAAAGGGTGCAAGGGGTATGGTGCCAAATGCCAGTACAGCTTGCCAAGGGCACAAGGGAGCCTAGGTAAGCCTCCGCTCTGAGGGAGGGAAGAAATCACAAAGGGGAAATCTTCAAGCGATCAGAGCTAGAGAGTGTAAACCAGGGATGGGGAACCAGTGGCGCTACAGACACCATTGGACTCCTGCTCTCATCAGCCCAAACCAACCTGTCCAATCATAGAATCACAGAATTGTAGAGTTGTAAGAGACCCTGGGGGTCGTCTAGTTCAACCCCTTGCAATGCAGGGATGTCAGCTAAAGCATCCATGACAGATGGTCTGTGAAAATGCCTTCGTATTTAGGAACAGAATATTCCAAATACAAAAATATTTTATTTATTTCACATAATTTATATGCCACTTGATTGTGACAACAACAATAGAGGTTTGATTGGACTATAAATGCAGTGAGAGGACGTGTCATTTGAATCCAATTCTTTGAGAAATCAGTCTTACCTAACTCTGTGTTTGATGTTTTGATGGCAGCTCCTCACAACAATCAGAACATTATCAAACCAGCTAACTATCCATGGCAGCTAGGAGGCAGAGCCCATGTTTTAATCTGTTCAGATATTAACTACATTTGGTTTGGTTTTGAAAGGCTTTTGCAAAGGAAGGAGCCAAGGTCATTGCTACAGATATCAATGAATCCAAACTCAGAGAACTGGAAGCCTATCCAGGTATTTCTTTAGTTATTTTGAGCCTGAGTCTGCTTCAGATTTTGGATGGATTTGGGGAGTGGAGTAGAGTAGAGTAGAGCAGAACAGAAATATACCTTCTGAAAAGCAATTGGGGTGGGGTGTCCAATGCATTTCACGTTTAAAGGTGAACTTACCTAATTTGCAGAATTTGAAACAAGATGTCCATTGAAATCCGTGCTTCTCTGAATTTTGCAGTGTAGTTCTCCAGCCAAGTAATGTGTACATAAATACATATACTAGTGTAAATGTGCACATATAAATATATATAATAGTGAAAATAACATGCAAAAATGCATTTTATTAGAAAAGGGAAGAGTGGAGCTCAAGGAGTTTTGAATTATTATTTTTTTAAAAAAATGCTTTGTGCATCTGTATCTAATCTTGCCCCCTTCTAAAATTGATTTATTGGTGTGTGTTTTTCTTTTTTGTAAGAAAATAATAAAAATAAAATCGGGATTAAGGGGTGTTTTCAGGGCTGTGGAGGGTGTGTGTGCTGTGTCCCCTTGGTACAGTGGTGGAGGAAATGCTCTGTGGTGGAGGGGGGACGACAAAATTGTGGGGGTCAAGGAGGGCCGGAGGGGTGAGAAATGTCCCTATTTTCATCTGAGGAATACTGGAGGGTATAAGTCAATATCTTTGTACTCTGTAAGGTTTGCTTCCAAGTAAAACATGTGTTGTAGGTACCTTATAAAATTAGCCTTGAACACTGCTGGGCTTGCCAGCAAATTCCCAATCAAATTCCCTTGCCTCTAAAAATGAAAAATAAAAGTCCTGACCTGCATTGTTAACTGAACCCTTTCAGAGCATTGCCTGGCTTCAGATAAATCCAAGTTTTGTAGCAAAGAAATAAAGCTTAATAGCACTTTCTGTCATCTGTATTACTCAGCAATAATGGTTTGATTATAGTTATTAAGCTGCTGACACCTGGGTAGTGTTAATTTTCTTTTGTTAAACTCTGATGCGGAAAAACAACAACACTTTTTCTACTGAAGGAAATTATTCATCAAGATTCAGGTGGAGCTGTGTGCATTAGGCCTATATTTACAGTGATTTAATATACTTTGAGGACAGCTCACTGATGGGGATGAAAGCCACCCACATAGAGCTGGGAGAATTTCTGCGAAACATGATCACGCTGCCCCTGGAAGTCCTGTTGACTTTAATGGAAATATATTGACATTCTAGCTCCTTTCGCAACTTCTCTTCTCATGAAGTTGTCTTGGAAGAAGGGCATGAATATGCCCACTGACCGCACTTCATGCACAGAGCCAAGGGCCTGAAAAAGGGTGCTCCTCTCTGCATACAATCCTACACAAGTGAGTGCTTCATGTGATGGAGAACCCTGTACAACTGAGCTTCTAGCTCTGCAGAACACTTTGTTGTCGTTTAGTCGTGTCTGACTTTTCGTGACCCCATGGACCAGAGCACGCCAGGCACTCCTGTCTTCCACTGTCTCCCGCAGTTTGGTCAGACTCATGTTTGTAGCTTCGAGAACACTGTCCAACCATCTCGTCCTCTGTCATCCCCTTCTTGTGCCCTCCATCTTTCCCAACATCAGGGTTTTTTCCAGGGAGTCTTCTCTTCTCATGAGGTGGCCAAAGTATTGGAGCCTCAGCTTCACGATCTGTCCTTCGAGTGAGCACTCAGGGCTGATTTCCTTAAGAATGGAGAGGTTTGATCTTCTTGCAGCCCATGGGACTCTCAAGAGTCTCCTCCAGCACCATAATTCAAAAGCATCCATTCTTCGGCGATCAGCCTTCTTTATGGTCCAGCTCTCACTTCCATACATCACTACTGGGAAAACCATGGCTTTAACTATAAGGTTCCTGGAGCAGGAACCGGCAAGCCATTCCAGTATCCCTGCCAAGAAAACTCCATGGACAAAGGCAACAGGCAGAACACTTACATGAATTAATTTGTATGTGCAGAGTCGCTGACTGCACAGATGTGTACATGCAAGGTAATCATCCTTTATCATGAAATCAAAACAATATTGCCTATTCTGATATGCTGATTTCCTCAACAGGCATCCAGGTTCGTGTGCTGGATGTCACCAACAAAGAACAAATTGAAAAACTGGCCAAGGAAGTGATGAGAATTGACGTTCTATGTAATATTGCAGGGTAAGCTGCCGTCGTGGGTTAATTGCCTTTCCTTTTCAATGTGCTTTTTAAAACAGAAGCACTGGGCTTTCAAACACCCCCACACTGTGCTTTGAAGTCCCAACAATTGGAGCTTCAAAGCTCAGCACTGCCTGATGTTACTATGACCCTCGTGGTCCCTTCCAACTCAACGATTCTATGAAAAGTGGGCAAAGCGGCCCACCTTGACCCTGCAAGGGTGAGGAGATGAGAGTTCAGCCCACTGACCAGGAAAAGATATATCCACCCAGGTATATGGCTTTAGAAGCTTTGACAACATAAGCAGCATAAAAATAACTAAAATAAAATAAAAGCCTGGACAACTTCAGCCGCTAAAGGTATATTTGAAAAGCCCTGAAAGCACAGGAAAACAACCTGTTGTTCCTTGTGTCTTTTATGCCAGATTTGTCAGTACGGGGACCATTTTGGAATGTGAGGAAAAAGACTGGGATTTCACTATGAACGTCAACGTTCGCAGTATGTATCTGATGATCAAAACATTCCTGCCTAAGGTAAGGCCAGCATGCTGTTCTCTTATCCTTTAGAGGTGTAGCTCACTGTGTGCTCAGTAAAGGGCTGGTAAAAGTGGTGTAGGAGGAGGATGAGCCAGGCTGAGATAATATTTGCAACTTACAATTCTCAGAGTGGTTTCACAATCCATCTCTCTTCCCAGGGAACTCTGGGAATTGTAGCACTTGGGAGGGGGATATGAGTCTCCTAACAACTCTCAGAGCCTTTAGCAAACAATACTTCCCAAGATTTATTGGGGAAAGCCATGACTGTTTAACCTGGTATGGTTCTGCTTTAAATATATAGTGCAGATGGGGCCTTAGTCTAACCTCCTCCTAATAATTTAATACTTTTTTTTAGTTATTTACTGTACCATAAAAGGTAAAGGTAAAGGGACCCCTGACCACTAGGTCCAGTCATGACCGACTCTGGGGTTGTGGCACTCATCTCGCTTTATTGGCCGAGGGAGCCGGCGTACAGCTTCCAGGTCATGTGGCCAGCATGACTAAGCTGCTTCTGGCGATCCAGAGCCGCACACAGAAACGCCGTTTACCTTCCCGCCAGAGCGGTACCTATTTATCTACTTGCACTTTGATGTGCTTTCAAACTGCTAGTTACCCACTAACAATTTTTCTGAAGCATTTCTTCTGGGGGCCCTCCACACTAGTGTTTTATCGCAGGTGTGTTCTGCAACATGGTTTTGACCATTGTTCATTACTGGTGGATTAATTCTGCTTTGGTGTGTGTTGTGATCCTCCCCCAATGCTATCACATTATTGTTGTCCAGAGAGACTATAGTGCAACCAAGGTGGGAAATTCTTCCCCCCCCCGCCCCCCACCAATCCCTCAGGACATTTGTGACATAAAAAGTGAGAGAATTTCAGCAGGAAGTTGCAGGATATGCACTGATGGGAAATGAAGCAATGTGACCGTCCCAAAACTTTTGCGGGTGCAAAGAGCATTAAACAGAATCACATAGGACCATCGTGAGCAATGTATGTGCAAATGAAAGGATGTTGGGGGGAGGGCCTTAAAGAATTATCCTGTCATGGGACAGCTTATCATGCCATCAGTTTTAATGAAATAAGGTGAGAGCAGAGAACCTCACTACGTATTCCATCGCTGGCCACGAGACTCGTGGCATGAGACCAAGAGCATATAGATCTTTCATTTGCCCATCAAATATGTGTTAATCCTTCTATGATCTTTGTGTGTGAAGTTTTAAAGCATCTGACAAAAGCTTTCTTTTTCAGTTCAATTGCACCTTTTAAAAAAAGAAAAGATAAACTACTTTTGTGAACCCAAAGTTCAATTTAATTGTTTAAAATGACACAGTATTACATGAATGTCTTGCTTACGGGCTTCCCATAGGCTTCTTGTTGGCCACTGTGAGAACGGGATGCTGACCTTGCCTGGCCTTTCTTTCCCCTGATCCAGCAAAGCTTTTCTCATAGTCATCTGCTTGGTGTTCTTGTGGCGTCAAAACATTTTGTGTTTGCATTTTTCAAATAGATGCTGGCGGAAAAATCTGGTAACATCATCAACATGTCTTCTGTGGTATCTAGTATCAAAGGTCAGTAGCTTCGCAGTTTAAGCACAGCAAGGTTCATGTCATCCTTACCTTATTTTACACATATTTTAAAATGGACTGGTGCCTGTGATATAGGATATTTGGGGGCTATGTCCTTCTGGTGTTCTGTTGGTCTAATACCAATCTAAGGGTCATTTCACATGAATATCTGTATTCATCTTGTCTGGTGGGGACTATGTATTCTTAGATGCAAGTGACGGGTACCCAGTGCAAAAAAAGCCCCACATTTTATGAAGGTTTATTACTGCAGGAACTATTTGCTGTCTTTTAGCATGTTAAAGATTTGTTTCAAAATGTTCCTATGTATTTTGATTATTGTGAGTTGCCATGGGCTTCCTTGGAATGGGGAAGCAGGTTATAAATTTGACATGACAAAACAAAGTTTTCAGTATGCAGGACATGGCATGCCGTTTCTTATTTTATTATATTATTGACCTATCATAAACGTATGTAGAAACTAAAATGTTAACCACACAAACAATAACAGAATCATACAGAGCATATTCAGTATATAAAAAAAAACACAAATTACAGAGATGTTGTTGCATATAGCCAAGTTTTTAAGATGAGTCTATATAGCCCAGCCACAATGAGGAGTGCCATTTCTGACCTTTTATAAAGGAAGCTGTTGTCAGCTTTAGGGCAGCTCCATGAATACTTGGTGTGCCACATCCATTACATTTTGATGGCTAGAGTGGCTTCTTAGAGCCAAGGCTGCACTCTGGGAAACATCTGCCTCTGCTTAACACTTGTACCATGGCAAGCATCACTAGGTGTGTCCAAGATGGTGTTGATAATAATATATAATAATAATTATTTATTATTTATACCCCACCCATCTGGCTGGGTTTCCCCAGCCACTCTGGGCAGCTTCCAACAGAATATTAAAATACAATAGTCTAGTAAACATTAAAAGCTTCCCTAAACAGGGCTGCCTTCAGATGTCTTCTAAAAGTCTGGTAGTTGTTTTTCTCTTTGACATCTGGTGGGAGGGCATTCCACAGGGCGGGTGCCACTACCGAGAAGGCCCTCTGCCTGGTTCCCTGTAATTTCTCTTCTCACAGCGAGGGAACCACCAGAAGGCCCTCAGCACTGGACCTCAGTGTCTGGGCAGAACGATGGGGGTGGAGATGCTCCTTCAGGTATACTGGACCAAGGCCGTTTAGGGCTTTAAAGGTCAGCACCAACACTTTGAATTGTGCTCGGAAACGTACTGGGAGCCAGTGTAGGTCTTTCAAGACCGGTGTTATGTGGTCTTGGCGGCCGCTCCCAGTCACCAGTCTAGCTGCCGCATTCTGGGTTAGTTGTAGTTTCCAGGTCACTCCAGCTTCCATTGTCTCTGCCCATCATCCAAGCTGGCTGGGGCTGATGGGGGTTGTGGTCCAACCACATGTGGAGGGCCACAGGTATCTTACAGCCTTGCTTTTATGGGTTGACCAGAGAGAGGCAAAACTGGGGTGACCTCCCAACATCTGCGGGTAATAGAAACCTTGGGTAGAAATGGAACAGCTGGAGAAATGGGGTCTAAATAGTGCATGGCAATATTCTCAGGGGCACAGAATGCAAACACACACACACACACAAGCTTTCTTCTATAGAAATCGATCTTTGTGCAATATGTTTTTAGAAGAGAACAGGGAATAGAAGTTCAGCTCATCACAAGACTATTTAGAGACAGCCAATGAGAAGGCAGAATGAAGGCTATATAGAAATGCAAAATGAGCTTTTGCATTCTTTGGTATGATTTGATTTCCTGATTCCCACCCTGATCTCTTTCTTAGGAGCTGTTAAGAGGTGTGTCTATGGTACCTCAAAGGCAGCAGTTATTGGACTTACCAAATCCATAGCTTCTGACTTCATTGGGGAAGGAATCAGATGCAACTGTGTTTGTCCTGGTAAGAAACATCCCACCATCTTTGTTCTGTTTGCAAGTTCGTGCAAAGGCATCTAAAGTTTACATTTCAAGGGTGAATCCCTCTGGGCTATTTATTAAAGTAACTAATATTTTCAGACAGAGGAGTTACCATTTAAATACATAATGCCATTTAATTAATACATGAGAGCCAGTGTGGTGTAGTGGTTAAGGGCAGTAGTCTCGTAATCTGGGGAACTGGGTTCGCGTCTCCGCTCCTCCACATGCAGCTGCTGGGTGACCTTGGGCCAGTCACACTTCTTTGAAGTCTCTCAGCCCCACTCACCTCACAGAGTGTTTGTTGTGGGGGAGGAAAGGAAAGGAGAATGTTAGCCGCTTTGAGACTTCTTAAAGGGAGTGAAAGGCGGGATATCAAATCCAAACTCTTCTTCTTCTTAATGTTTGGGTATTTTCTTAGGCACTATTGACACTCCTTCTCTGCAGGAGAGAATCCAGGGCAGCCCTGATCCAGAACAGGTGGGCAATACAATTTCATTTTTTGCATTATGACACACAATCCGGCAGTGATAAGTTATTTAAAGCACCTTTGTTCTCCACAGGCTGCTTCAAAACATTCATTTTTCACCATTTTGTACCCAGGATTTATAACAAGTCAATAGAGTAAAAAGTAGAGTAAACTGTAAAAAGTAAGCAGATCCTCCTCACCTCTGAATGTAGGTAACTTATTCACCGCAAGCCTTTTTTGCAGAATGTATTAATTGGCTTTGTTTAGCCATCATAGTAACCTATGGTTTATTCATAAACAGTACCGTAGTTGGTTGTAATGGGAATGAGCCTAGCCTACATGAAGGCTTACATTCCCCCCTCCTCTTGTTTCCAGGTTGCATTAACTATTGTTAAGCACTAATAAACCATAATGATTTTACTATGATTTGTTTGCAACAAGTCAACTTCAAACCATGGTTTGTGAAGATGGCTTGTTGCAAGCAAACCATCGTTAATATTAGCCTGTTTTGTCAGATAACACAACTGGCTGTGGTTATTCAAAAGCAGAAAAGAAAGCTTTTGTCTGTAAGAGGATTATAAGGGAAGTTCGTGAGTCTGTGGCAGAGCTAGGCTTGCCTAAATGCAACAACTGAGCTCACAACCCTATCGTTTAGAAGGGGCAGAATGCTCTGCTGCCTGTTGGCAGCTGTTGAAGTGCAGCCTCCTTTATAAATATTGATATCTCTTGACCCCATGTACAGGTTACCTTGGCAGTTAGATGTCTCAATTTGCCTTGGCTTTCCCCTCTATTTTCTTTGAACAGTATCTTGGGAACAACATTCGCGTGGAAGTTTGATACACTTCCAAACTATTCTAAACGATCTGGGTGTGGATTTGAAGTATCGCATGATGAAAAATAACGCCAGGGGAAAGTCCTGTGTTTGAGAACCACGTCTAGGCTTATTGATGCAGTGAATGTTTTTATCTCTAGGCACTGAAAGACTTTATGGCCAGGCAAAGGATAGGTAGGTTTGGGACAGCTGAAGAAGTAGCCCACCTGTTTGTATACCTGGCTTCCGACGAAGTAAGTACAATGGGTCAGCCACATAGCAGTACACCAGGTTGTCTGAAATAGTACTTCTTTAACAGCTAGTGCCAACAGGCTTCTGTTTGCTGACACCTGAGATAATGTGTTTCCAGGACCCACCTTATTCCCTTGACTGTAATCGGTTTTAGCTGTTTCTAATTCTGAAATTTAAATTATTGCAACCCACCCTGGGAATTGCTGCTGAAGGACAAGCAGTAGTAACAACAACAACAACAACAATATAGAACTGGGTGGGGGGCAGAACAAGCCACAGGCCCCATTGCTCACCAGTCCTTGTTTGAGTGCTTTTGACTGGCTGGAATGGTTCCTTGAATTCTTATTTGTCTAGAAGGAGGGTAGAGAGGGGTGTTTGTATAGCAAACTAATGGCACCAAGATAAAGTGTTTGTTTGTTGTTCCAGCCACTCAGAACCTTTAATTTGAAGCAAGTAATGTTAGCGAGGTGGGGTTTTGAATCCCAAACTGTGTCAGCGAGTCGGAGGGGTGGGCAGAGGAGGCTGGTGGGACATGATGGTCCAGGCAAAGGGGTCAGCGATTTGTGGGGTTGTGCCACCCGTGAGGAAGGAGCCAGAGGAAAGAGCCTGGGCAGTCAGGGACCGGAGGAGAGGAGGTTGGGGGAGAGTTGCAGGAAGCCGAAGAGGGGGAAGAGGCAGCCCCAGAGAGAGATGGACCATTAGAAGTTCCTCCATCTCCTCCCTCAATGACTCCAAGGACAAGGAAGGGTTTGCTGTGACGGAAGCAGCTGGAGCTGCCACAGGAGCTGCCAGTTGCTTACGTGCACCATGTCAGATGTGGGTGTATGTGGTTGTGTTGTTGCATCCCTGGTGTGTCTCTTCCTTGCACCTTAGGAACAGATGTAATCAAAGTGCTTTGCCAGTAAAGAACTATGCTTTCCATTGCTTGTCCCCACCCGGGCTGGGTGTGCTCGGGACAAACTGTAGTTGCAATCCCTACTATTTAAGACCCTTGCACAATTGTCTCAAACTCTTCCTCCCTCTGCTGCCTTGCCCCATCCAGTGAGAGCCAAACTAAGCACAACAGAATCAATGCAATGAGCAATGCACTGATGTTAATGGAAGCTGGTGTCGTGACTGGGCCCAGTGCTATCAAGTGAAGGCAGTGGAGCCTGCTCATAATCTAGCGGATCCTGGGTCGTCTCAGTCCCATCTGCACAAGGCCCCATTTTGGGGATTTTCACAGGCTAAGGTAAAGGGACTCCTGACCATTAGGTCCAGTCGTGACCGACTCTGGGGTTGCAGCGCTCATCTCGCTCTATAGGCCGAGGGAGCCGGCGTACAGCTTCCGGGTCATGTGGCCAGCATGACTAAGCCGCTTCTGGCAAACCAGAGCAGCTCACGGAAATGCCATTTACCTTCCCGCCGGAGCGGTACCTATTTATCTACTTGCACTTTGACGTGCTTTCAAACTGCTAGGTTGGCTGGAGCAGGGACCAAGCAACGGGAGCTCACCCCGTCGCGGGGATTCGAACCGCTGACCTTCTGATCGGCAAGTCCTAGGCTCTGTGGTTTAACCCACAGCGCCACCTGCATCCCTACTGCTGGCAATCTACCTCCACTTCCAGCCCCGCCCAAACAGGATTTAGATTGTGGCCTTAATCCTTTTACAATTGTCATTTAGTCATATGGAGTTCAATCAGCTTCTGAAACATTTCATGTTGGTTGGGACCACTACATTTATAGTACTGTATTTATTGAGGACACAATGACTTGAATTATGCTATATGCTCAAACTTTGTCCTTGCTTTCTTCAGTCAGCATTCATGACTGGCCGGGAGTACATCATTGATGGAGGCTGGAGCATGTGACCTGGTACCTGGAGATTTCTGTTTGCAAATGCTGAACGCCAGAACTCGCAACGGTTTTAATGCCTAAAATGAACAATTTAATCAACCGTCTAATAGGTGCTAATCCAGTCTTTCTCTACGCAATGGATTTGTTTTACATTTTGTTTCTCGTTTATCATGACATCTTCACTCCAGCTATTGTGTCCACGTCAGTCAGATGCATGTAATCCTAAATTGCTAGGTGTGTGCACTCATGCATGCACATAGTGGGATGGGGGAGGATCCAGAAGAGTGAGGTCAGAGGCAAATAAGGAGCATAAAGAACAAACGCTGCCAACTGCATAAAGCAAAAAGTGTTAGTGATGGCAACAGAAGCATCCTGGCATTAATAAAATGATTAATACAAGAGATGGAATCAAAAACTCTGATCTCACTTCTAAGTCATAGAATTTGATTTCCGAATCTATTGTAATTCAACATTTTTATGCTGGAGCGTCCTTTGATGAACTATGTGGCCCTTTCAGTTCCACAATTACGTGGTGTGCCTTTGTTCCAGAATAGCTACATGCTATTACAAGTGCCTAATAAAGTTAATTCCACTACCAGTTAAATGTAGTTCTTTTCAGTTCCATGCATGTGCGGGTACAACCCTGCTTCCTCTTGTAGAACACGGAGAGCCATCGGAATTAAGGAAGGCTGTGGAAAGTGATGGCTAAAAACAGGCTTTTAATAATTGCTGGTTGGAAATAAAAAGGAAGGCTTAAGCTGCTTGCAGTGCCTCTCTTTTCGCTTTTCCTCAAAAGATATAACAGGCTTACCATGTACTCAAACTGTTTTTCCCGTCTCACTGTGCAGAGTTTGCTAAGCTTGTGCCAGACTTGTGTCTGGGATTGGTGCAGGGTAAAAGAGCTGGGTGGTGCTGGAGGAGACTTGAGAGTCCCATGGACTGCAAGAAGATCAAACCTATCCATTCTTAAGGAAATTAGCCCTGAGTGCTCACTGGAAGGACAGATCTTGAAGCTGAGGCTCCAATACTTTGGCCACCTCATGAGAAGAGAAGACTCCCTGGAAAAGACCCTGATGTTGGGAAAGATTGAGGGCACAAGGAGAAGGGGATGACAGAGGACGAGATGCATGGATAGTGTTCTCGAAGCTACCAGCATGAGTTTGACCAAACTGCGGGAAGCAGTGGAAGACAGAAGTGCCTGGCGTGCTCTGGTCCATGGGGTCATGAAGAGTCGGACACAACTAAACGACTAAACAACAACAAAAGAACTGGGTACATCTGAAAAACAGCCGCCTTGCTTTAGTAGCAGACCTTATAATTCAGAGGGGGAGTGTCTTTTTACACAGGGCCACATGCCCGTATCTGGCAGAGGCAACAGTGGGCACAGCAGTGATTGTAAATTTCGCCTTTGTATAGAAAGGTAGTTTCCACAAGCACACAAACACACCTTTCCATCAAAGGAAGCAAGAGGCATCATCAGTGCTGCAGGACACATTCCACCCAGGCAAAAATGCATGAAGCAAGGCCAGTAGCAGGGGTGGCCTGGGGAGAATCTCACAGGCTAGAGAAGCTTGGAAAGGGGCTGCATTTGAACCCTGGGCCAGAGGCTTCCCACCCATGGAATAATGATTACACAAGAGCAGTCAGTAGGAGACAATATTTACCTAAGTGGACCAATGGCCCATGTTGGTGGAAGGCCACTTCAGGTATTGATTTGTTCAACATCTCATAACATGAAACTGTGGGAAGAGGTCCATCCCATTGCTACTCTGTGAAGGAGCTTTCGTTTCCATACTAAGCCTTTTCACAAAGCTTGCCAACATTTCTTAACTGGGTTTTTACAAGCCAGTCTGTACCACGTGTTTGTCAAATCATTGCAGCAATACTTTTTCAGGCCTGCTTTGGGGGGGGGGGCGGTGGAATGCCACTGCAGCATCAGTGTGGACAGACAAAGGATTTCAGAGCTCCTCTGACATTTAAGTAAATTAATGTGATACATTAAGGCTGCAGTGGAGGGGATGCTTGCTGTTTTATTAATGGACCGGTATGTGTAAGAACAAATAAACATGAAAACAAATGCGTCTTCCCTAGCAAACAAAGCAAACCCTAATACTCTAGGGTGAAAGGTTCTAACTTAATTTGCCTAATGGTCATCTGGTCCAGCAACCTGTTCTCAGAGGCCAACCATATGCCACAAGCAAGACATAAATGCAATAGCACTACCCACATAATTCCCAGCAACTGGAAGAACCTACGTTGTGTGTACACTCTATACCTTTAAAGCATATTATTTCTCAAAGAATTCTGGGTACTGTAGTTCACTCCCTCACAGTTACAATTCTCAACAATCCTGAACAAACTACAGTGCCCAGTATTCCTTGAGGGGAGGAATGTGCTTCAAATATGTTTTAAGGGTATAGTGTGTACACTGCTGGCCGGTAGACAATGCAACTCTTATTCTCCATGAATTTGTCTTAACCTGCCTCCCTTTTAAAAAGCAATTTAGTAGCGACCACTGCATCCGGTGGCAGACTGTTTAACTTTCCTTGCCACGTTTGCTTTCTACCTGCAACAAATGCTTCGAGTGCCTCTTTTAAATAATAATTATTATTAATACCCCGCCCATCTGGCTGGGTTTCCAACAAAATATTAAAATACAATAATCTATTAAACATTAAAAGCTTTCCTGTGTTTCCTGAGGCCCCAATGTGTGACATGATGCAGTTAATGCTATCAATTAACACAATCAGAGAGAGAGAAAGAGAAGCAAAACAAAATTCATTTAGCACCAGAGAGAAGCCTTGCTTGAAAGTACAGCCTGGACAGCCTCCAAAAACACAGGAACTGCATCTCTCTTGGCTGGAAATAGGCCAAAAAGGACCTCCTTGAGATGCACAAAGCAGGATTAGATACCCGGGTTCTGTGACAGTGTATCTCAAGGCAAATCTAAAAAAAATGTACTGTAGTATAAACACCGACAACTGGGAAACACTGGCCTGTGAGCGCTCCAGTTGGAGAACAGCCTTTACCAAAGGTGTCATGGGCTTTGAAGACACTCGAACGCAGGATGAAAGGGAGAAACGTGCTAAGAGGAAGGCACACTTGGCAAATCCACACCGTGATCAACTCCCACCCGGGAACGAATGTCCCCACTGTGGAAGGACGTGTGGGTCCAGAATTGGCCTCCACAGTCACTTATGGACTCATTGGTAAAACCGTGTTTATGGAAGACAATCCTACTCGGCTACAAGTGATTGCCAAAGAAGAATGATAGCAAAACCACTTCAAAGCGCCTTGTTAGCGTTTCTCTCTCTCGCTGCAACAGCAAGGAATTGCTATAGGCCTGGAGAGCGCAATGGCAGCTTTAAGAGAAAGGCCACCTTTAATTGGCCTGCACCCTTATTGTGAAGTGGAATAGGCCACTGGGATCCTGCCACTCACGGTGCTACATTTGCACCGTGGCCTTGGGCTGCCCTCTGCCCGCCAGTTGCTTCCTGGAAACAGATGTCCGCTTCCCTTTTATCTGCCAGCACTTTCCAAGGTGCGGGGTATCTTCCGCCGCGCTGCCGCTTTGCTATTACAGTACATCTGATCCCTGCAAGCGGAGCTTGGCAGCCCGCTCCCTCCAAATGGGTAAAAGGGAGGGCCCCTTATAAGGGCGGGCGCCATCAGCGTTGGGAGGGAGGCTTGGCAAAGGAACCCAGGCGAAATAGGCGTCTCCAAGCCGGCTCTGCCCGCGCGTCTTGTTGCAGCGTTTTGGACGGCTTGGCGAGCTCGCCTTCTCGGCCCCCACCGCTAGCAGCGGCAGAAAGCTGGCAGCCTGCGGATCAGCAGCCACCCTCGTCGCCTTCCTGCAATCTCTAGAAGGCCTGAGGCTCTTCCTTTCCTAGGTAGGCACGATTATTCCGCGCGTCCTCCTCTTTCAACCCCCCAGGAGCTGAACTGGAAGCAGGTCTGTGCGCAAAAGCGCACGCACCGCGGAACCGGCCGACTTATTTCCCACGATTCTATTCTATTCTATTTACAGAACCGCTAAAACATAGAAAAAGCGATCATTTAAAAGCATTTAAACCTTGATCAATATAATACTGTCTGCACATATGTAACGAAATCGAGGCAAAGAAAGCTTTCCATCAGACGCATGGTATTAGCGGCAATCTAGGCGTGATGACGCCCTTCTTTCCGCTAAGAGGAAGGGGAAGGAGCACCCGACGACCAGATTTCCCTGCGCGGGGGAAGGGCGTGTGCGCTCAGATGCGCCTTACATTATCTTTTGGGTTGTTTTTTTACGTAGGCAGGGGATTGGCTCCTCCAGGCGTGCCATCCTCCCTTGGCAACTCTAAGAATCAGTTGCTCTGACTTGTTGGGAAAAGCAATCCTTTCGTTTCTATCTGGTTGCAGAAAGCAGAACCCAGAGAGTTGGCAGTAACCAGCTTGGCATTCTTGAGAATGAGCACATGTTCTTGTGGCTTGGCAGGCGCTGGCTCCCATCAGTCTTTTTTGACAAACACTCTCCAGTTAGCAAAGGAACAGAGTGACCCCCAGTCACTTACAGTTCATCAGGCAGTTAAGTACAGAATGTATGCATGTGGCTGGTCAACACTGCATTGGTGCACCCAGGGTAGTTTTCAACTAAGGTTTACTCAGACCCATTAGAATTAATCAACATTACTTAGTCATTCTCATTCATTTCAGTGAGTGTACCCTGAGTAACACATTATATAGCATTATATATCACCCCAATTTCAAATAATCCAGCAGCAGCAGCCCTGCAAGGTTGTGTAAACTGACAGTTTGGGCTATGGTGTGCGTTCAGATGCTCACCATCAAGGCATCTGAATGCTATAAGCCACATAGCAGGCCTGCTAGGGTCAACTTAGACTTTACTTGCACAGCTAGCAATGACACCGGTATTTTTTAAATTTAATACTAGATGCAGGGAAGGGGGCAATTCTATTCAGGACTGCAGCACGCATTTAATCCTTTCCTCTCCAGGCATGATCCTGATTTTTAAAAATCCCCCTGCTTAGAGCAACGATTAACCTGGGTGGGGGAGCTGCCATTGAATTATGGGAATATGAAATATAATTTAGAGACCCCTTGGTCTTCATTACTTTATCGCATTTGGTGCTTAGAAAAGCTTGTTTTTGCCCACTGAAAGAGCATTCGTGTGCTGGGAGTGTGTAGTCCTTGCACAACTTTGAAAGGTCTTACTAATTTGGGTTTATTGCGGCTTGCTTTTGTATTTGTATGTCACTGTTTTTCCAATGAAGTGACTCAAAAATTTCCCGGATACAAAACTGGTGACATCCTTCCATGCCTCAGATGGAATAGTTTGGTGTATACCTTCCCTGTGATCAGGATTGGGGGGAACCTGTCCCCCCTCCAGATGATTTTGGACTCCAATTCCCTTTAGCCCCGGCCAGCCAGCATGACCAATGGTCAGGGATGGTGGAGATATAGTCTAGCAACATATGGAAGACCCCAGGTTCACCAATCCTGGTTTAGTGCAAACAACCACTGATGAAGCTCAAGCATGAAAGGGCAATTTTCTTTCTTTCTTTCTTTCAAAAAGATGAATAGCAGAAAGTCATAATGCTGATAAAAAAAATCTGGAACCGGTAGGATTTATTACACCTGAAAGTTCTATTTGTTGATTGATAGGTAACTCTACTTTTTGTTGTTGTTGCTGCTGTTTTATCTTAGGTTGGTCAAAATGCCAGAGGACCTGGTGGCAGAGAGTGAGGAAACACTACCTGCTGCAAATGCAAGCTCAAATGTTATTCCCATGCATCTAGTAACTCAGGTACTGCTGGTTCAGATCTTTTACAACTATGGATGACCTGAATAGAAGAACGTAAGAAGAAGAGCCTGCTGGATAGGGACAATGGCCCACCTGATCCATGATCCTGTTCTCACAGTGTCCAGCCAGATGTCTATGGGAACCTTGAAAGCAGGACCGGAGTACAACAACACACTCCCCAGTGGAGTGGATGCAAAACGTAGATATGGTGGCTAGAAGCCATTGATAGACTTCTCTTCCATCGGTTTGTTTAATTCTCTTTTGAAGCCATCCAAGTTGGTGACAATCACTACACCCTGCAGTTGTGAATTCCATAGTTTAAGTAATGTGCTGTGTGAATAAACACTTAATTTGGCTGTCCTGAATCTTCAAGCATTCTGCATCATTGGATGTCTGCAAGTTCTCAACCTGCTGTACCAGAGGCACAGCAAGATACCTGTCTTTTCAGTCCTGGGGTCTTCTTCTCAACCCAATTGTGTTCTCGCTAAGGGGCAGGCTCTAGGTTATGTTATTCATGCTTATTAAAAATCATACTTAAGCAAGCCACTTATATTTTTGAAGAAAAATCTGCCATGCCGGAACATGGCTGTTAGCTCAGTTGGTTACAGCGTGATGCTGATAACGCCAAGGTCGCTGGTTTGATCCCCATATGGGCCAGCTGCATATTCCTGCATTGCAGAGGGTTGTACTAGATCAGGCATCCCCAACCTGTGGCCTTCCAGATGTTTTGGCCTACAACTCCCATGATCCCTAGCTAACAGGGCCAGTGGTCAGGGATGATGTGGCTGGGGAAACCCAGCCAGATGGGCGGGATATAAATAAATAAATTATTATTATTATTATTATCCAAAACATCTGGAGTTGGGGTGCCTGTACTAGATGACCCTTGGGTCCCTTCCAACTCACATCTGATCTAGATGGGTTCCTGCTGAAAATCCGACCATTGACACTCAAGAACCTCTGACACTGAAAAGGGAGTTGGCCCAGATGACCTCCAATATCCCCTTCAGCTCTAAAATTCTGAGTCTTCTTCAGAGAAATGCACAGCCCACCCTAAATGCATTTACTCAGAAGTAAACCCCATCAATTTCAGCAGCACTTGTTTCCTTGTAAATATGCCAAGGACTCCAGCCTTGGCAGTTTGGTACTTTGGTGAAAGTCTACAAATTATGGTTGTTATCGTTGATAGCATTTCCTCGTTTTAATTCAGGAAGCCAGTATTTTGGACTCCAAAGCTGTTGATGGTCATACGCAAACTGAAGAGACTGCTCTGCTGAACAGCTGTGAGCATCAAACACAAGAGCCTGTGGTTGAGTCAAAGACATCAGGGAAACTGAGGCGAATATGTGCCTGTCCTCCACAAGGCATAATTGCCAGAATCGTGACAAATGGTATGTAAAAAGAAAGGGAAGAGGCAGGAATGTGTGAAGTTATTTTAGTAACATATCCACAAATGCTAAGAAATATATTCATGCCTCTCCAACTTTATTTCTTCTTCCAGTGGCAGCTATGGTGCTGGTCTGGGCTGTGGCCTGGTCCATTACAGGCCAAGAGTGCCTTCCTGGTGGGAACCTCTTCGGAATTTTGTTCCTCTTCTTTTCTGCTGTAATTGGTGGTAAATTTATGGGCATTATTAAACTTCCCGGCCTACCTCCATTCCCTCCACTTCTTGGTAAGTTGCCAATGAGCCTGCCATCAACTTGCTGTTACATAGGTTTGATCTGTGGACATGACAGGGCAGAGATTACAGGGAGGTTTATCTGCAGTCAGATTATATAACCTGTTGGTGTTAAGTTTAATTGTTAGATTAATCAACTGTAGCTTTAATTGATTAGAGAGGAACAGTTTTGTTTGGTGATGGCAAATTTTAATTGCTTGGGCATGGGTGGGCTTTTTTCTTGGTGGGGGGGGGTAGGCTAAATTATTCCTGGAGAACTTCTTTAATATGGAGTTAAAAAGAAAGGAAATGGTGCTTCTGTAAAAATTTATAAGCAAAAATAATTGACAGAATCTCAAGAAGCCATTTGCACTGTTAAATTGAATTGATTAATCAGCTAAAGGACAAGTGATTACTCACTTAAAGATCAGCTTTAATCAGTTGACAACCTTGATGTGAATCCATTCTGTTAACAGTGCAGGTATCCTCTAGGCTACTTAAATCTTTCACAGAGATTTTCTTGGTGCTGAAGAAACTCTTGGAGTGAGGAGGTACTATTTTTAGTTAAATTGAAGCATGTTGTTTAATTTTTTAAAATCTCTGCAACATCTTGAGAAGGTAGGTAGATTCTATCAGGTCATGGTCCTATGAGTAAGTGACTTGGTAGTTCTACATATGATAACTTTCCCAATCTACAGAATATCAACTTTAAGTTCCATTGACAATGTGACTTTTACAGATCAGGTACACTGTCTTTTTGCTTAACCTGTCCCATAGGATTGTTGTGAAACTACAGTATTTTTCGTCCCATAGGACGCTCCGTCCCATAGGACGCACCTAGTTTTTTGGGGGGGAAATAAAGGGGGAAAAAATTCCTTTATTTCCCCCCCAAAACCAGGTCGGGGAACAGCGGTATGGCGGCACTCCGCCTCCCCGCTGTCCCCCGAGCTTGTGGGGCTGGCCGATGTCTGCCCGGCGCGAGGGGCGCTCTGCTTCAGGGCGCCTCATGCGCCAGGCGGCAGGCTGCTGCAGGGCTCCCCATGCTGCGGATGTCTGCGTGGCGCGAGGGGCGCTCTGCTTCAGGGCACCCCGGGCGCCGGGCGGCAGGCTGCTATTCGCAGCCTGGGGAGCTCTGCGGGAACTCCCGCAGGCTCCCCAGGCTTGCTGATAGCTTCCTGAAGCCTGGAGAGCGAGAGGGGTCAGTGCACACCGACCCCTCTCGCTCTCCAAGCTTCAGCGAAAGCCTGTATTCGCCCCATAGGACGCACACAGATTTCCCCTTCATTTTTGGAGGGGGAAAAGTGCGTCCTATAGGGCGAAAAATACGGTAATACAGGGGAACCTGTTGTATGCCTAAACTGAGTTCCTAAGAGGAAGGGTGGAATACAAATATGAAAAATTATATGCTGGGAAGCATATTTGACTGAATGCCAGGAGTATGGAAATGGGATTTTCCATTAGATCTGCAAATTCAGGAATTTGCATTAATCTACCCCCCTGTGTTGTAACCACTGGCTCATATTCTTCCTCTCGAGCTTTTGGTACAGGCTGTATTTCTGTGAGGACAGAATGCTTAACCTGCGAAGGCATCTAATCTTATTCAGAATTTTTTCAGGCAGTGTGTTTTCCCGTTCTCTGTTCCTTTTAGGAATGCTGCTTGTTGGATTTCTCCTCAGAAATGTCCCACTGTTCAGTAACATAGTCCGGATCAAAGTGAAATGGGCAGTTGCCCTGAAAAATATCGCCCTCTCCATTATCTTGGCTCGTGCTGGCCTTGGCCTTGACCCAAAGGTAGAGCATTAAATGGTACTGTTGAATATCTCTTACTGGTGTTTAGTTAGAATCTCCTTTCTTGTAACTTGAATCCATTGGTTCAGGTCTTAGCCTCGAGAGCAGGAGAAAACAAGCTTGCTGCATCTTCCATGTGACAGCCCTTTAGATATTTGAAGATGGCTATCATATCTCTTCTCAGTCTCCATTTTACCAGGCTAAACATATCCAATCCCCTAAACCGTTCCTCATATAAGGCTTGGTTTAAGCTTAAGTTCTTGTAAATTTTGCATGAGGAAAACAGTTGTTCTGTGTGGGGAAGCCTGTTACCCCCATGCAGAACTGATTGTTCACTTCATGGCCTTTTTGAACCTATAACTAATTTCCATCTATTTCTAAGCCATGTTCAGATGGCAGAATTTAATAAGCTATGAGTTGTGTTTGGATGCAAGAATGAGACACTCTCACACACATCCCTCACGTGTCCTCTTCTGGTGTGGTTGTGAGGCAGAAATTGGGAGCTTCTGTTTTTTATTAACCACAGTTCAACCTATTGTTCAAATCTTGGATTATGGTTAGTCTTAACTATGGTTTGTCGCAACAAACCAGCTTCATGAACTGTGGCTTGAAGTTAGCTTGTTTCAGCCACAGTTTCTCCAGGTTTGGACGACACAGCAAGCAGTGGTTAATATAAAATGAAGGCTTCTCCACTTCTTGTGGCTGTGTCACATAAGCTCACTGTGGCTCCATGGTTTAGAATGGCTTCTGGACAAGGTCATTGTAAGCTCAGCTCACAGGGGGAAGTACTCTTCCCCATCACCAATTCCAACTCCACATGCTCGTTTGATAATATCCTGATCTCTTCTCTCCATCCCTGTTTGCTCTTGTAGTGAGAACCTCTGTTGATCCCAGAAAGAGATGAACTTCACACCCCTTACCTCCAAGCACCCTTCTTCTGTCCTATATTATGAAAGTTGAGCAGAGCAAAACTCAATGGGGTTTCTTCTGCACTGATGCTGCTGATGTGTTAATATGCTTGTCTTTCAGGCTCTGAAAAAACTGAAGGCTGTCTGCTTAAGATTAAGCGTGGGGCCCTGCATGGTGGAAGCATGTGCGGCAGCTGTCTTGTCTCACTTCCTCATGCACCTGCCTTGGCAGTGGGGATTTATGTTAGGGTGAGCCGCTTTTTACAGCTTTTTTGGGGGGGTGGGACCCCTGACCATTAGGTCCAGTCGTGACCGACTCTGGGGTTGCGGCGCTCATCTCGCTTTATTGGCCGAGGGAGCTGGCGTACAGCTTCTAGGTCATGTGGCCAGCATGACTAAGCCACTTCTGGCGAACCAGAGCAGCGCACGGAAACGCCGTTTACCTTCCTGCCGGAGCGGTACCTATTTATCTACTTGCACTTTGACGCGCTTTTGAACTGCTAGGTTGGCAGGAGCAGGGACCGAGCAATGGAACTCACCCCGTCGCGGGGATTCAAACCGCCAACCTTCCAATCGGCAAGTCCTAGGCTCTGTGGTTTAACCCACAACGCCACCCGCATCCCATTTCCAGCTTAGAAGTGATGTATTTCTTTTTCTTGAACTGAAACTACCTTACATGAAAAACATTGATTGAAAGTGCACCTGCCACTTATATTTTGGTTTTCTTTAATTTCTGTGTTGTAAAATAGTACAGTGGTACCTTGGGTTACAGACGCTTCAGGTTACAGACTCCGCTAACCCAGAAATAGTACCTCAGGTTAAGAACTTTGCTTCAGGATGAGAACAGAAATTGCGTGGCGGTGGCGGCAGCATGGCAGCAGCAGGAGGCCCCATTAGCTAAAGTGGTACCTCAGGTTAAGAACAGTTTCAGGTTAAGAATGGACCTCCAAAATGAATTAAGTTCTTAACCCGAGGTACCACTGTATCCGTGCTCTCTTCTAGCAGTTCTAGGAGGCATAGGAAGCTGCCTTAGACTGAGGCTTTGTACGCATTATTGGCTTGAAACGCAGCTAGGTCATTCTTCTTCTCTGTTTGGATGGAAGCCAGTTTGTGGGAAAACACATTGAAAATCAGTACAGTGGTACCTCGGGTTACGTTACCTTTGGGCAAACGCGGCAAACCCAGAAGTGTATATTTTTTACGGTAAGTATGAACCCCTGGGACGAATTAAGTTCGTATCCAGAAGGTCCACTTTTGTATTTCATAAGAGGAAGTGGAGGAAATGTGCCCACAAACAGGCATGAAGGGTTGATAGTGTGTTTTTGTTCAGATTTGTTTTAGGTGCTGTGTCCCCTGCTGTAGTTGTTCCCTCGATGCTGATTTTACAAGCGGGAGGCTATGGTGTTGACAAGGGCGTCCCCACCTTACTCATGGCTGCTGGGAGCTTTGATGACATCCTGGCTATTACGGGCTTCAATACCTGCTTAGGGATGGCCTTCTCATCAGGTATCCATGCTACTTCATAGAATCGATGAGCGCTTGAATATGCCTTTCTTATTGATGCGATCATTTGCTACATACAGGTGATGAATTACATGGGTGCTTTGCATGGAATAAGAAAACCACAATGCACCCCACTTGCAATCTGAAGTGGCACTCGCCTTTGCTTGTGAAACCTGGTGCCTTAGGGTGGAAGCTGGTGGGAGGCTGATTCTGTTGCCATAAGGCCGGAGTCGGCAACCAATTTTGAGGCTGGCCTGGAGTAAAAAATGGATGCAACGAAGCCTTTCCTCTTTCTTCCACTCTCCTCCTTTCCTCTCCCTCCTCTCTCTCTCTTACTAACACCTCCTTTTCCACCTTGCCCTCCTTGCTACCTGCATGAAATGTGGCTGACGGCAACAGATTGCCCACTCCTGCCATAAAGCGTTATATTAGAATGCCTGTGGCTTTCTTCCATAGTCCTACCTTTTGTATAAAGCTAATCACCACTTTGGATATTTCCTCTGGTAGTTCCTTTGCAACAGGGCTGTATTAAGCATATGTGGTTCCGATGCAAAGATCCACCCGGTGCCCCCTCCCCCAGGTTGCCCAGTCCCAGACGCGCAGGAGGGCAGAGCTGGCAGGCTGCCTCAGCATCTCGCTGACTCGGTCGCCCCCAAACTCACAGCGCAGAGCCGCCTGCAGCAGAAGAGCCCGCCATGGTGCTCTGACCGACGGGTGGGCTCTTCCCCGGACTCGGGGTGTCCAGGTCTCGGGCCCTGGATACTCGGCCTGGCACCCCTGAAAGCCTGGCGCCCAGGTGCCCCACACCCCTAGCGCCTATGCGTAAGATGGCCCTGTTTAGCAAGGAGATTGTTCAAAAATCCATTTGAGCCACCTTCTTCCGCTTTGCCAAAACAGGCTCCATCCTTGAAAATATATTTCGTGGTGTGCTGGAAGTTGCTGTCGGTATAGTAGCTGGTGGCCTTTTGGGAGTTTTCGTTTGCTACTTCCCAAGCAAGGATCAGGTAAAGAGGAAAAACATTTTGGAGACTCTGTTTTGGAGCATGAGAAGCAGGGAATGGTTAAAAAGAACTCTCTATGCTTTAGCTGAAAATATTTAAAAGTGATTAATAATAATAATAATAATAATAATAATAATAATAATATAGATTTTTCACTCATGCAGATCTATTAATATTTTATTCTCTTCAAGCTTTCTTCTCATCTGTAGCATGACATTTTTCTCTGCTGTCTTCCATTTTTTATCTCCTGATCCTAGGCATCCCTTGTACGCAAGAGAGCATTCTTTGTGGTGGGTCTATCTGTGTTTGCTGTTTTTGGCAGCACGTATTTTGGCTTCCCTGGATCCGGTGGGCTCTGCACAATTGTCTTGGCATTTCTGGCTGGTATGGTGTGGTCTGATGAGAAGGTGAGCGTTCAGTTAACACACTGTCCAAAAATCATGCAGATTCCAAAATATGAGAGTTGTGAAATAGATCTAATGCCATTAAGATTTCCTTACAGTAGCTGGTTATTATTAACTTAGGCACTGAAAACAATTGTCCTGGCCAGCAAAGGAGATTAGTGCACAAAGATGGGCTTTCTCCTCTTGATGCAGATACAAATCCCATTGAACTGACTGGGTCTATCTTTCAATGAGAATGGGAATGGGCATCTCTGTCCCACTATTTGTTGCAAATGTCTAGAGCAAGATCAGGGCCAGTGAATCCTAGAGACTGAAAGTCAGGAAAATAGACAATTAAAAGCAGGGGCTGCAGCGAAACGTTGCAATAGGAAATGCAGCAGCTCAGGGTGGTACTTTTGCAAACCTTGGCGTTGCCCTGAGGCTGCAGCTTGTGCAGCTGGTGCAGTTTTCTGGCTACATAAAGCAGTGGCCTCTAAACTTTGGAAATAGAGGGAATGGTATGCTGGAACAAGCTGTTGAACAAATAGGCTTAAATACCGTCACCAAAAAATGTCAATTCAGCCAGGATTTATTCTAAAAGGTGTGTCTTGCATAATCTAAGTTGTCTTATCAGGTCAGCTCTGCGTTTAAAAACAAGCCTTGGCAACCAGGAATTCCACACAGGTGAGAGTACAAGCAAAGGAGGAACAGAACTTGCTGCCTGCAAAAGGTTTTCCAGCCTGTTTTTTGCCCATAAGACAAGCGCCTCTTATGAGTAAAAACCAGGAAATTATTTATTTATCTTTTTAATAAAATGTATGTACCACTCGATTGCAAAAAAACCCCCCAAACCCTCAAAGTGGTTTACAAAAAAGTTAAAACAATAAAACGAAGAGAAACTTAGAACCATACTTTAAACCAGGGGTTGGCAACCTAAGGCCCAAGGGGCCACAAGCGGCCCATGGGGGTTGTTTAACCTGCCCATGGACCCCCACCGCCTGCTCGGTCGGCTCCCATGCGCCATGCTAAACCAGTGCGGAGCAGAGTGAGGATCACCTTCTGCGACGCTGGCTGGCTTCCCATTGGCTACAGGAAGCTCCTGCAGCCAATGGGAAGCTGTGCACGCCATAGCATTTGCCCATGCGTGCGCACGCACTCCAGCCCACCGCATCGTCTGTGGGACCGTGAACCGGCCCAAGCCACAAAATCTTTGCCAACCCCTACTTTAAACCATACTAAAAAGAGTTTACGATTGCCTCAACTTTCTAAGCATCTGGGTTAAAGGTAAAGGTAAAGGTACCCTGCCCGTACGGGCCAGTCTTGACAGACTCTAGGGTTGTGCGCTCATCTCACTCTAGAGGCCGGGAGCCAGCGCTGTCCGCAGACACTTCCGGGTCACGTGGCCAGCATGACAAGCTGCATCTGGCGAGCCAGCGCAGCACACAGAACACCGTTTACCTTCCCGCTGGTAAGCGGTCCCTGTTTATCTACTTGCACCCGGGGGTGCTTTTGAACTGCTAGGTTGGCAGGCGCTGGGACCGAACGACGGGAACGCACCCCGCCGCAGGGATTCGAACCACTGACCTTTCGATAGGCAAGTCCTAGGCGCTGAGGCTTTTACCCACAGCGCCACCCGGGTCCCTAAGCATCTGGGTTAGGCTTGCCTAAACAGGAATGTTTTAGCAGGTGCAAGTAAACATTTTTGCAGGCCACTTTAGGGGGCTGGGTAGCCTCGTTATCAGAATAGTTCCTCCAGGACATATTTGAAAGTCAATTAATACTGTTTTATAAATAAAAATAGAATCAAACTTGCACGGTTTGAACAGCTTTTAAAATTCATGCTTGATATGATTATTGAAGGGGTAATTTTACATGTGTCTCCAGCCCCCAGGCCAATACTGGTGTGGGAAGCAATGCTGTCTGTCTTTCAATGCTGCCTGTCTTTGCTCTCCCCCTGCAGAGGAAAGTTGAAAAGATTGTTGCGGTTGCCTGGCAAATCTTTGAACCCTTCCTGTTTGGTTTAATTGGAGCTGAAATATCTATTTCATCTCTCGGACTTGAAACAGTTGGTAGGTCTCCTAAAGAAAGCACTGACATCCTGTGAACTAACTAGCTCACCTTTTGAGGGGTACTATTATTATTATTATTATTATTATTATTATTATTATTATTTATATACTGCCCTATACCCGGAGGTCTCAGGGCAGTTCAGAGTCCTTCTTCCAAAGCTAGGAAAACTTGGAAGCTTTTCATAAGAAAATGTGAAAAGTCTTACATTATTATGTTCTTGTAACCTTTATATCTACCCTGCGTGGTAGGTTGGTTTATTTATCTGAAATCCAACCATTTGGTACAATGATGCCCAAGATGGTTTAGAATTGATTTCAATGCAGGCGTACACACACACACACACACACACACACACACAAACATAATCTCAAAATGCACACAACCCAGCCTAGTTGATGGATTGGGATTCCAGGGTGTTTGTTGCAGTTTTGTTCTTTCTGGCAGGGAAAGGGGCAGTGAAGCGAGCTCCCTTCACCTGTTCCTTTTCTATCATATGGGTGGAGACCGTGGAGTAATGATCTTCTTTCCTGAGTCCAGTTTGTCGGTGGCAGCTATTGCTATATTATAGTTGGGAAACTGAGGTTGGGAGAGACCAACTCCCTAACAGGTCATCCAAGGAGTTTATAGCAGGTGCAAGATTCAAACTGGGGACTTCCCAATTCATAGCTTAGAGACTAAGCCACTATTTGACACTTGTTCCTAACTGACTTCCCAGCTACTAGCAACTAATAATGTCCTAATCAATTTAGTTAATTGCTCCAATGTTTCAATAATTATTTTAAGTAAAATATAAATTTGGGCCCAGAGTTCTCAGGATATTCAGTCTTGTTTTGCTCTGCATTGCAAAACTGCTTAATCTTATTTCCGTGTTTGTCTTGTCTGATCTGGAAGCGATCTACAGCCTTCAATCAATGCACATAGATTTCCATTTTCTGTTTTCTTACAAAGTTGAAATCTGGCATAGGTGATGAAAATGCATCCATTTGACTCTTGGTGTTTTAGGTTATTAATTAGCTATTATGAACAAACACATCTACCTTGAGTTCTTATTTTGAAGGTAGACAGGATGCCAACAGATTAGTAAAAATAGTGTTGCTGTTGACAGCTGTGTTTGCAAAAACAATTGCAAAGGTTTTCTAGCTGTTGCTGCTTCATCTGAATAATATCTGCCTGTCTCTATTGACCCATGCCTTTGCTTGTTCTTACTAATAAGATGAAGGCCAGGCTAATGAGTCATATTTCTCTGTTGCAGGGCTTTGTGTGGCTACACTGGGAGTTGCACTGATAGTCCGAATTGTGACAACATTCCTGTTGATGTTTTGTGCCGGCTTTGACCTCAAGGAGAAAATATTTATTTCACTGGCATGGATCCCCAAAGCAACCATCCAGGTGCAGTATACAGTAACAGACCTGTATCTTCTACAAACAAGGGGGTTAGTGTATTACTTAAAGGTATTTTTGCTATGGAACACTATGGTATACTACTACAAATAGGTATTTTCAGCCCATCTAATAAACTGTCAAGAGCGAGTCCTTGGTAATGGGTCATATTTTGAAGGAGTCAGCAATACAAACCCACAACACACCATGGCTACCAAAGGGAATCAAAGCTTTAGCATAGCCTTTCTGCTATGGGCTTGCTCCCATTTGGTTGTGTCTTGGCACCTGCTCAGGAGTCAGCAGCATGAAGAACATAAGATGAGCATACTGCCCCATTTCTTGGTGCTTTCCTTTGTCCCTTGATTAAAAGAAAGCAACCGAGTTGCATAATAAAGGTGGGCACATCGCTAGAGGTGGATTGGGCCCCTGCACCACCAAATGTAGTCAAGATTAATCCATCTGAACTTTAGAAGCATAGATGGATCATTTGAATTGTCCTCCTAAGGCTCTTGAAAGCCAGCGATGATCCCGAACGATTGCTTTGATAATGAACTTCTCAGGAGGCAAGTTGGTGCATTCTGCATCAATCATAGCAATTGATCATGAGAGGGACCTTTGAAGACTGGTCTGTTACGTAATCAAGCTTTGAAAATACTGCAAGAAAGGACCTGTTGGATCCCCACATGAGACTCTTTTTCACACTTTTGTCCCTATAACTCCAAGATCGGGAGACACTGAACCGGAAGGTGGGTTTTTAAAAAACAGTTTCCTTGAATGCTTTAGCTGAGATTCCTGTATAGCAGAGGGTTCAACTAGATGGCTCTTGCGATCACTTCCAACTCTACAATTCTATGAGTCTTCACAATGATGGTTTTGTTGTTCTGTCTCCTGCCAGGCTGCAATTGGTTCTGTTGCCTTAGATACAGCCCGAAGTCAAGGTGAAAAGGACACAGAGATGAAATACGGCATGGATGTCTTGACGGTGGCTTTCCTGGGAATCCTGATCACAGCTCCAATTGGAGCGCTGATCATTGGCCTGGCAGGGCCCCGACTTCTACACAAGGCTACTGAAACGAACAGTGATGGTCATGGACATGAAGGAAGAGAAGAAATGGAAACATCTGGAGCAGTGTAAGGGTCAGGGAATGGCCCCAGAATCATATAAATCAGTACTCTGCACTGTCTAGGTATCACAGTGTCCCGTAGTGGCTTGCAGAAGTCTGAAAGTCCATGGAATACATTGCAATCAGAGGTCTAATGGATAATATAGGATTGAATTAAATCAACCTCCTCAGCCTTGACTTGGAAGTTCTTGAGAGCTATCACAAGCAGTGTACATCCTTTGGACATGCCACTTTACTGCTGAAATATGATCAGTCTGATTTGGGAATATGAGTGCCAACAAAAGGAAACTTTTGAGGTGGTTCCTGAGAATTAGTAAAGTTCTGGAGCAGGAAGGTATACAGGATTGATAATGTAAACAAATAACCAAAAGTGAGATCTTGGATTTTTCAAACAGCTGAGAAAGGCACTCCATTGCTCATTGATGTTCAGTAGACAGTATGTTCCCAGTCTTTGGAATAAACTTTCACCACCTGATATTTAGTTTCCTTTCTTATATCCTAAAATATTAAAGTGTTTTAAATTGACGTTTCGCCCAAATAACAGAATATTGCAGTGCAATTGGACACACATGTACTCTGATGTAAGCTCCGCAGAGCTTTAATGGCAGGTAAGTCTATATATGATTCAAGCTTTAATTAATCTATTTGATTACTTGAAAAACTGCACAAATGTTCTCAAGAAAAGCCTATGTACTTTGTTTTTTAGGTGGTGCAGTGCGTGTGCTGCAGTAGGCATCAGAACAGGTATTCCCCATTCTCACACAAGACCGAATGCCACTTCTTGGTACACTTTCAATCTATAATAAATGTAAGCATTAGTACCAGCAAAAATATGTGGGGCAAAGTATGGAAGGTAATGCTCTAAGTCAGAGCTTTACAAACCCTGTGCCACAACACATTAGTGTGTCGGCTGCAGTGTGTAGGTGTATCATGTGAATGCTCTCCAGTCTCCTCCCAGGACTGGAAAGGGGTTAGTTTAACCTCTGATTTGCTAGTAAAACTGAATTATTGTGCCACAAAATGTCTAGAAAGTGTGTCGCCAAAATGAAAAGTTTGGAAACCTCTGTTCTAAGTATTAAAAAACTGATTGACAGGATTACAAGTCATGTAAGGGCAGTGTGGAAGAAAAATCAAGTCTTGATGAGGGCAAAGTCCGCTCAAGACCCTGTTTGTTAAGACAAGGCAGTTGCGATGGAGAAGACCTCATCACCAGCCCGACTCTCCTCTGAGCTGATCAGTGGGGTGTTCTGCTGACGTACAGAGCTTAACAGCTTTTATTGGGGTGGCAACGTTCTCACAACCTGATTAATGAGAGACCACAAGTTAGCTTTGAAAGGAAAAGCACAGGAAAACTGCATTTGTGGGTCAAATCCCCTCAATCATTCCATCCTGGAAGACCTGCTCCCTGCCTTGCAGACCTTTTCCCACTTGGCCTGGGAGGGCAGCGCACTGACTCCATCTACAAAAGCTGATGCAGCTGAAGAGACCAGAGATAGTCTTGATAGTCTCTCAGTTCAGACCCAGGTCATCGAACCTGAGCTTCCACAGCTGCTGGCAGCAGCAGCAGGTATGTTCTGTGCTTATGAGAATATTTTATTCTCTAGCTAATTATGCTGTTCTAAATGGGGATTTTATATTTGGCTTCCTTTAGTGATGTTTTCTTTTGAAATGTTTTAAGATTTATTTTTCTTAACTTTTCTACATTGAATGTGCATTCTGTAGTTGACCACTTTAGCAATGTTTTATTTTGAAATCTTTAAGATAATAGTTTAGTTTCTTGTTGATTATGTTGCTTTGAATGAATACTTTATATTTGACTTACTTCAGTAATGTTTTATTCTGGCTTGTTTTATTCAGTCTTTTAATGTAGGTTGTAAACCACTTTGAGATTCCGCCCCCCTAAAAATATAAAGCGGTATAGAAAAGAAATGAGTAATAATAATAAACATAATAATAATAATGTTCCTTTCACATTTTAATCTTTTAAGCCCCTCACCCTCCTTCATGCTGACACATTTTTTACACTCTAGGGAGACATGGCCTTAAGATACAAACAGTCTCAGACCTTGCAGACCCCAGACCCATACATTCAGCAAGGACTAATGAAATAAATGGTGTTCTGTGATAGATAGATAGATAGATAGATAGATAGATAGATAGATAGATAGAAAGATAGATAGATATTTGTAAAGATCTGTATTTTGGAAAATATTACTGTTCAAGAAGAAAAATAATTTGCAACAATATAATTTTTACCCTTATGTCTATGTGTATTTGGTATAATATTTTTATAACAACTTTTTATTTGAAGAAGATATGTTTCACATTTTACAAATTCTGTATTTTATAAACAAAACAAAACAAATACCCCACCCCAAAAAATCCTGTTAAGAAAATTCAAAAATACCCAAAATAAACATCCCTTTTCCACCCCTTGACAATCTTGTTCTCTGTTGTAGTCATGTGTTGATGGGACTTGAAGTCCAACAACACCTGGAGTACCTACCCCACATTGACTACCTGTCCCAAATCACTGGGCAGCACACCTGGAGCCCTCCAGCATTCCCAGGTGAAAATAAGAATGTTCTCTTCTACATCAGTATCACTGCTAGTGAGTTGTATTTATTGATTTAGGGTTTCCCCCCCCCAGGCTTTAGGGGTATGCGTACACCTGCATCCCCCCAGAAAAAAGCACTGTATACACACACACACGTGTGTGTGTGTCCGTCCAATTATATTCTAAGTTTTCAAGTTCTTGATGCAGTTAAGCACTTTGATCGTTAATGACGGCTGGCTTATTTTAGATATGATGTGTAAAACATGCAAATAATTATAGAATATATAGCTTTAAAGCTGGAAAAAAGGGAAGTAGAAACTCAATGTATTGCTGTGTAAAAGTGGCTTCAGATAATCTTCAATGCCCCTTTGTGGGTGCAGCAGTCCAAGCCACCTGCTTGTTGGTTTCCTTTGTAAACAACAAAAAAGCGAATTCCCGCCATGCTCTCCACACAAACAGCTGAGGGGAATGCTCCTCCCGGTTGCCAGTTAGCTTTCTCTCCCGCTGCCTGGCGCTCTTTCTCCAGGCTCTCCTTCCTTCCGGAAGGTCAGGAGCGACCGTTAATCAAGCGGAATGTTGGAGAGGATGGGATTTAATCCACGCCATCTTGGTTTCCATGGCTTGACAGAGGGTTGGGGAAGTCCCTGGAGAGAAATGGTCGCCCCAGAGCCGACCTGGCGATCTGCCACTGAACTCTAGCTTGAGGGACGGAGGTTGACTCTTCAAGGCTGCCCTCCTGCCCTGGCCACTGGAAGGTGCAAATCGGCCTCAGCCGCCTCAGTGGTCAGCTATTCTGGGCCCTCAGTCTCCTCTTGCCCTCCATGGGTAAGCAGCGGCTTCTGTGTGACTTTCCGAAGACAGGTAGGGATTTATGTCTGAGAGGGCTGGCATGTGCACTTACACTGATCCGCCATTGAACCGGCCCACATTTGTTCAGCCGAGCTGCTTGAGATGGAAAACGTATTGCAGCTTGGCCCAGTTAATGGTTTCTTAAACCCTATTGGGTTCACTGGAAGTTACTCCCATGTAAGTCAGTGCAGAGGTGACTGAGCGCGACAGCCAGTGCTTTTTTCTGGGGGTATGCCAGGGGTACACATACCCCTAAACATTTTGTGAATCTAAGTTTGGCCTCATTGAGGGGCAGTATTTCAATATGAGTAGGAAAATGAGAGGATCCCTAAACATTTTTTTAGGAAAAAAGCACTGGCTACAGCCCAATCCCAAGCATGTTTACTTGGAAGTAAGGCCCATTGATTTACACACCCTAGTAAGTGTCTTAAGGGTTGTTGCAGCCTTAGTCTCAGTGAGCAAGTGTTTAGGAGGTGATCTTGATAGGAAGCTTTTGAAAAGCTGTTTACAATTTTTATCCCCTCTTACCCAGGGTTCATGTTTCCTTTGGAAATGAGGCAGAGCGGAGACTGGTGTCTTTATGATATATGGTTTTCTCTCTCTCTCTTTCTCTCTCTCTCTCTCTCTCTCACACACACACACACACACACACACACAACCTGAGCCTACGATAGAGAGGTTCAAAACATTGCCCTCCAGGAGTGCCCCTTCTCTCCCATTGCTGCAGCCTCTGATTCAAAACAGGCAACTGACATTGTACTCTGGGCCCCTTCTCCAGCTTGCTAAGCTTAACAGACTGACACCTTTTTCACATCGATCACAACACAGCCAACTGAAAGCCTAGAATGTCATCCTAACAAAAACTCTAGCACTGTCTTCTAATGCTTTCATAGCTCAGGGAGAGGCTCCTTGCATTTGGTGGCTGGCACAGAGTCTTTGCTGATAACCAATGTCCCCTTGTTCTCTGCAATTGGCCCATCTTTTAGGCAATCTTTTGAACACGGGGAGCTGAGTCCAGTTATTAAGGGTCTGGCTTCCAGTTTAACTCTCCAAGAATTGATTAAATTCTAACACTTACTAAATACAGGAATTGTGGGTGTCTTGCATCCACAAACCCTGACACCCACAAACTCATAACAATATCAGGGTTGCCATATTTCAAAAAGTGAAAAGCTGGACAGAAAAGTTGTTGAGCTTGCAGCTTCAATATTCTAGATATGTCCAGGAAATTTCGGGTGTATGGCAACCCTAAACAATACACACCTGGGCTGCTAGAGATGTTCTCATTCTTGCCATAGTTCTAAACAAAGCAAAAACATTTGGCCCCTCCACCTTGCCAAACCACAACTATAACTTTTCATTGATTTTAGCACCCTAAGGTCATCATTGCTGCTCAAGCTTTAACAGCTAAATGGAACAGCGCCACTTTGCCAAACCATGGTGTTCCCATTTGAAGTCAGTTTCTTTTACATGTCGGCAGCCCCTACCAAGGATTTGTACACACTATAGGGATGCGGGTGGCGCTGTGGTCTAAATCACTGAACCTCTTGGGCTTGCCAATCAGAAGGTTGGTGGTTCGAATCCGCACAACGGGGTGAGCTCCTGTTGCTCTGTCCCAGCTCCTGCCAACCTAGGAGTTCGAAAGCATGCCAGTGCAAATAGATAAACAGGTACCACTGTGGTGGGAAGGTAAACAGTGTTTCCATGCGCTCTGGTTTCCATTGCACCAGAAGTGGTTTAGTCATGCTGGTCACATGACCCGGAAAGCTGTCTGTGGACAAACGCTGGCTCCCTTGGCCTGAAAGCAAGATCAGCACCACACCCCATAGTCACCTTTGACTGGACTTAACCATCCAGAGGTCCTTTACCTTTTACCTTTGTACACACTATAATTTTAAAACTCATTCAAAGCACATTCTTTCCCTCAAAGAATTATGGGCACTGTGGTTTACACCTCAGAGTGTTACAGCACCTCTTAAACTACAGTACCCAGAGTTCTTTGAGGGAAGGAATGTGGTTTAAAGGTATGGTGTACACAGCCTAGAAACTGTATTGGCATGCTGACTGTGGAGGCTTCCCTCCTCTGCAGCCAGCATGGCAGCACAGACTGCTAATCTTTTACTAGGTCAGAAAAAACAAATACTGTACACAGTTTAGTAAATGTTGTGAGTTGATCTGCAAGATTTTGCTAGAGCACTGCACTAGAAAAAAAGAAACCCAAATCCAAAGATGTTCTTTCACTCAGTACAAGAGTTCATGCCACTTCAAACACATACTTGATGCTCAGGCAGAAACTGGAGCATTGCTGTGTAACCTGCCTATTGTAGCACTGTATGAACTTGCACAGACATTTGCAAAAGAGCATTGACTGTTTTTCCTTCTACCCTTGGATCATTGGATCGAAATCCACTGTAATTTAGCAAGTAACCCTGTGGTTGGGAAGCTGAATGTTTAAATATTAATAGAAAGAAATCCCAGTGCTGTTGGGAGTGGGGGGAAACCCATTTAAATCAGATAGAATATATGGCACCTGAAATACATTTTGTTTAAATCATAGGTTGGTCAGCATGTCGGAGGATGTTGTGAAGAACAGCAAGGATGGGGGGATACTTTGCAAAGACCAATAAGGTTGATTCCGAGCCCGAAATAGCTCAGGTATTTGTCAATTACGTATTTTATAAATATATTGACGGTTTGGGTCAAAAATGACCCCCCCATGAAGTATTTACCTATTTTTTAGTCAAATCGCCAAAAAACAAACCCTGGACATTTTAGCCACTATCTGACAATTCTGCCAGGATGCCATAGCGAATCCCGGCTATGTCCAGGAAATTCCAGACATATGGCAGCCCTAACTAGTGGCTGTGTTTTATAACACATTATAATAACACATTAAACTCTTAATGTGTTTTCGAGTTTCTTTTTGAATATACAGGCTGAGCATAGGTCAGCTCCACTGAACTGAAATTTCAGCCCTCATGGCACAGGAAAACGGCCAAGTAAACAGCTATTTTCGTGGAGGAGGGTCAAGATACTAACTGATATACATGAAATTTCAGATATAGCTATATAATCCCTAGTGCAGTAAGATAAGACCTTTGGAGCAGGCATTTTTTTAAAAAAAGTTTTTTATGAACCACCCTACTGCCCAAGAGAGAGGGAAGTCTACTGCCCTACACCTCTCTAGCTCTCTCTTGCCCCTCTCCAGAAAACCTGTCTGCCTCATTTGGCTCATACACTGCACACCAAGATTATGTCAGCTGGAACGGGGAAAGGTCTTCCTTTGCCCCATTCAAAAGAACTTTAAGAAGACCCAGTTAGTGGGTGAAATCTCACTAACAAAAGATAGCTGCGCCTGGTAACTTTACAAAGGACAATTAAGGAGTGGTCCTTTTGACGTTATTCACCTTGTGATTTCGAAATCCCCAGTCTTGTCACTGTATATCCTCAGAAGTAAGTCCCATTGAGTTGAGTAGCACTTGCTTATTAAGAAAAATGTGTGGGACTCAGGCATTATTTGGTACGTCAATTGTTGATAATGTGTCATCCCCCGCTCTCCCTGTTTTAAATCAGGAGGAGATTCTTCCTGTAGAAAATGAAGAGGCAGCGTCACTGAAGGATTTTGAACCGCAAGTGGAGGAGGAGCCACAAGGAAAACTGCGGCAAATATGTATTTTCCCACCACAAGGCATATTTGCTGAAATAGTAACAAATGGTATGCAAAGGGAATACAAAAGGGGAAGAGAATACAGCCACCCTTTTCTATTGGCTATAATTGTCTTGGTTTCTTTTTTTTTAACCTAATCTTAAGGTCCAGGGTTTTATATTTAAAAAGGTATAATATCAGCTGATCAGTGGTAACTCCCCTTTTGGCAAGGGTGGAGAACTCCAGCATGTAACTAATCCCAGTGGAGACTGAAGTCACCGACAATCAGCTGATCCCTTAATTACTGGCTTTTATTCAGACATCACTCTGCTGGCCTATGGAACTGTGAATTCTGCACAGTGTCACAGCTAACAGTACTGGGATTGTTTTCATGGTCTCTGATTTGTGTGGGGATGTTGACCTTCTACAAGGCAGAAGCAAACCAGAGGTTTAAGGAAGTTGCAAGGCTAATTATCCCAGGATAATTAATTGTGGGACGTCAAGCACCCTTCAGAGGTGAATTGGCAAGAAACATGTAACATATTCTAACATTTTCATGTGTAGTTCTTCAGCAGGTTTGGCTCAGTTAACCTGCCTGGATATGTTTAGTCATTCGGAGCTCTTTGGAGGAAAATCAGAGTGTAATAAATCAAGTGAAACCTTCAGGAGCCTTAACCAAAACCTTCAGAACTCCCCTGAAATTCTTTTGTCTGCTAAACAGACAAGATAACTGATACCCCTTCCATTTTGATCCATTAGCTCTGCAGTTCATTCCTAACTGTTATTGTTTTAATCATTATTGTAAGCTTTTAAGCCTGGTCTTAATGTTCTCTCTTGTAAGTGAACTCCCAAAAGTCTATAATCCTCACTACATTTATGCAGATTTATCTTGAAAGTGGGTCATGACCAAGCACACAAAGAGACATTTTCTCCTGTAATGTGTACAGAATATGACCCAAATAATTTGATCTGCAGAAAACATTACGATTCATGCCTTGCCGCTGAGTGAAATCTCTAAAGATCCTAGATGAAATGGTCACTTAGGGGAAAGTTTTACTATTTATTAATCTGTTTATATTATTTGCAATGGTTATTTATTGCTTTTGATTTTTGTTGGAGATAGTATTCATTGCCCAGGAACAAAGAAAGAAGGATAAGTATGGAAGCTCCTTTGTGCCATTGGCTCCCTGTAACTTCCGTTTTCATTTGCCAGAGCTGTGTAGGAAATGGTTCTAAAATTGCATCTTCACTTTCCAGTGCTCCCATTCTGGTGCAGCGGGAAAGAACAGGAGGGCCTGCCAAGAAAAATCCCCGTTCTCAAACAAATAACAGTAACTGGGAGGAGATCTGAAATATCTCTAAAATCTATTTAGATTGCAGAACAACAATAAAAAAGCAATCACGCTCATCTGTGGCCTGGGTTGCATGGTAGCACATTTAGCACCATAGCTGATTAGCAACAGCCCATCATTGTTGACTGCATGACAACAAGCATTTGACAGTAGCTTTAAATAAAGAATCAAATTAAAAGAACATTTTAAAAAACAGCACAGAAAAGTGCATTACTAGCGCAACTTTTGTTTCTTTTATTACTTTAACCAAAAATCAGTTTTCATGAAGCTCTGAAGAACGTAGCATGATTTCTGAAGGATGCTAAAGCATTTCTTCCCCTTTTTTCCAGTAGCAGCAGCAGCGCTGATCTGGGCTGTTTTCTGGGCTGTTATAGGCAAGGAATGTCTTCCTGGTGGAAATGTCTTTGGACTTTTGTTCCTCTTCTTTTGTTCTTTACTTGGTGGTAAAGTTATGGAGTCCATTAGAATACCTGGCTTCCCTCCCCTCCCTCGTCTTTTTGGTAAGTATTGCTTTATCAGGTACCGTGCATCATCTTATTTTTACATAGACCTGGTTTTTTCAATATGACAGCAGAGTTGTCCAAATGTCAATTTAGGCTCCCATTTTATTTATGCATCATTTCAAGGGGTTTCCATTGGAGATCAGTCATAGGCCTATTTCCTTCAGGTAACCGAAATGTTACAAAGGGTATTTCTAGTTTTAAAGAGTTTCTTTGTCCATTTCCCCCCTCCAGCCAGTGAGTAATAGAGGACTCTCAAGTGTAAGCAAGATATACAGCATATTTGCATCACCCTACATACGATCCCATCCAGCCAAAAGAGGAAAAGATGTCAGTCATGTTAAATCCATGAGCTGGACTTGGGTCCCTTTTATTTTGGGCAGGAGAGTGACAAAAGACAAGGAGCTGTTTGTTTAAGAAAAGCTGGTTTCTTAATATGCATATGTAAGTTGCTGTTAGGATCTTTCTTTGTATGTTGATGGTCATATACAGTACCTGTTTCATCAAGTATGTAAGTGTATTAGGGGAGTTTGAATTCCAACTGATGCACAGTAGCATCAGTCCCAGGGATCTCTGTGTCTTGTCAAATAGAAAAAGGAAGAATGGCATCTACCAGTCACTGTCAGTTTAAGATGGAAGGCTGTTTTCCTTCTCCATCTGAGACAGCACAGAATGGTTGGGGCAGAGAGAATCGTATCTGCATGTCGTCGTCTTCTTCTTCTGAGATCACTCGTAGCTGAGTAAAATTGTCTTCTATAAACACAATTTTCACTGTGAGTCCGCAAGTGACTGTGGAGGCTAATTCTGGATCCCCACATCCTTCCATAGTGGGGACATAGGTTTCCAGGCAGGAGTTAATCACAGTAGTGAGGGTTTGCCAAGCGTGCCTTCCTCCTAGCACGGTTCTCCCTTTTGTCCCGAGTTTGAGCGTCTTCAGTTGGAGCACTCGCAGGCCAGTGTTTCCCAGTTGTGAGTGAGATCTCCATGTAAATTAGATAAGTAGATACTGGGTTTTCAGACTTATAAGCAGCCACAGAAAAGGGCTTGAACAGGATCTGGGCTGCAGTTCTGGAGAAGGGATCTTTTCACCTTTGCCCACAAAACTGTTTCCTTGACTTAAATTCGTGCCACAGTTGTTACTTGGTACAGATTGGAGAAAAGGCATTCACATGCTGCTCTCTTCCCCAGCTGCCTGCAACTGTTACTGGTTTCCAGCAGATTTAAATTGTGAAAGGGTAGAGGGGAAAGGATTCAACCCCTCTCCCCCAGTGATATAGCCCAATCCCAGCCCCATTCCATATTGTTATTCTGGCACACGATTTAACACTGCAGACACTTCGTCCCATGCTTTCCAAATGTTGCTTGCTGCCTGTGATGTCAACAATGAGTGACATGCCTTTCTCTGTTCCATTTAGGGATGCTGCTTGCTGGGTTTCTCATCAGGAATGTCCCGTACACTAGTAAACTAGTCCAGATCAATGTGAAATGGGGAGCTACCATGCGAAACATTGCCCTCTCAATTATCTTGGCTCTTGCTGGTCTTGGCCTCGACCCACAGGTGAAGTATCAAATGGTCCTTAACACATGCAAAATCTTTATGGACACTGAGATGTGTGGCAAAGAGCTTTCCTGGCGACCACACAAAAGCAAAATAAAAGAATGTTGCCCGCAGAAAGATGGTTTATTCTTTAAACTCTTCCCAGCTCCAAATATTCACTAGATAATATGCTAGATATAATTTCTCTATCCCACCACTCTCTAAACATCAGAGACATTTGCAGAACCCAGAAAACAGAGTTGTTACCTAGATGCCAAACCCACAGCTCTTGGATTCAAGCACCATTCTATTTAAATTTTCCATTCCTGAGGAAGAATGAAAACAGATACAGTATTTTTTATTGCACTTGTAGTGGTATGATTTCGTACAAAAGTACCTTTTTTGCTTTGGAGCAAGCTCTGGAAAATATTTTGGAACAAGTTTCTCGCAATGCCAATGTACATTGGGGAAAATGCATCTATGAAGGGCAACCAATTGCCTAGCACCAATCCAACACACTTCTACCCCTAATCTCTGTCACTGTTTTTACATAAGTTTCTGAATTTTTTAAGGTGAAGGCTGAGCATCTTACTGAATACAATGGTACCTCGGGTTAAGAACTTAATTCGTTCCGCTTTAGTTAATGGGGCTTCCCCTTGCTGCTGCACGATTTCTGTTCTCATCCTGAAGCAAAGTTCTTAACCCGAGGTACTATTTCTGGGTTAGCAGAGTCTGTAACCTGAAGCATCTGTAACCCGAGGTACCACTGTATTTTGTTACAGCTCCTGATCCACAGACCCTTTTTTAAAAATTAATTACTGTTTTATGTTTTATGAATTACTTCCACTTACGCTCTGCTTGTATATTTGTAAATGAAGGGCATTGCAAGTCTCTAATTCTCTCTCACCCAAAGGGAATTAAAATTAGATAGTGTTGCCTGTGCATGCATTGCTTAAAAAAAGAGTGTGGGGGAAACTTACAAGCCCCCTAATTCTTGAAATTAAGGGTGAGACTTACTGCCAACCCAGTATGCAGTTTTCTGGAATGCATATCTGTAATGCACTTTGATGACCTGGGTTCACACTGCAGGAGACGAACTGAAAAGTGTACGTCTATCTTCATCCTAAACAGCTTGAATCCATTTCCAATCTCCTATTATAATGCATTGTATTGTCCCATACAATCAAAGCTGAGTACAGCAGAGCAAATCTCAACCGATTTTACGTAACAGTAAAAAAGAATTTTGACAACAGTTGTTTTTTTAAAAAATGTGTTTTGTCTTTCAGGCTCTGAATAAGTTGAAAGCGATCTGTTTCAGACTAAGCTTTGGTCCTTGCCTCACGGAAGCCTGTGCAGCAGCTGTCCTGTCTCACTATATCATGAACCTGCCATGGGAATGGGGGTTTATGTTAGGGTAAGAGATAACCTTGCTTTCTCTTGCTTGCAAGTGGTACATATCTTCTAGCAATACCTACAACTGCAATCTTAAACACAGTGCGCAAAGTCCCGAGCCCTGAGGGGATGCATCGTTTGGGTTCTTTAGTGTTATTAATAAGAATATGCAAGCATGGAATCTCTCCCTTCTCCTGCAATCCATTACCAGTCTGGATAATGAAGGTGCTTGGAGCGTTTCATAGAGTGGCAGCACTGAGAAACACAGAGAAGACACACTGCCAGGGCCGGATTTAGGTTTGATGAGGCCCTAAGCTACTGAAGGTAACAGGGCCCTTTATATGTCCAGCTGTCCTTTGTCAACAACAAATTGTCACTGTTTTTTTTGTGTTGAATATATGCTATGTGGTAATTTATGGACCTAATAGCAGGCATCCCCAACCTTCGGCCCTCCAGATGTTTTGGACTACAATTCCCATCATCCCTGACCACTGGTCCTGTTAGCTAGGGATCATGGGAGTTGTAGGCCAAAACATCTGGAGGGCCACAGGTTGGGGAAGCCTGACTTAATAGTCATTTGCATATTTTGCCATGCAACCAGTCCATGCAGCGTGTAGGTACCCTATACAGTGGTACCTTGGGTTAAGTACTTAATTCGTTCTGGGGGTCCGTTCTTAACCTGAAACTGTTCTTAACCTGAGGTACCACTTTAGCTAATGGGGCCTCCCACTGCTGCCACACCGCCGCCACACGATTTCTGTTCTTATCCTGAAGCAAAGTTCTTAACCCGAGGTACTATTTCTGGGTTAGTGGAGTCTGGAACCTGAAGCGTCTGTAACCCGAGGTACCACTATATATAGAAATGAGTAAACCACTGATATTTTAGGGAGCAGACTAGCAGGTGGGGCCCATTACTTACATCATAGGAGCCTACACAACACAAAACACTGTTGCTGTATGTAGGTTTTATTTTATTTGTTTTTTATCTTACATTTTGGAAATGTACATCCAGGTTTTATTCCCCTTTAACTTTTTTGGGGGACCCCCAAGAGAGTGGGGCCCTAAGCTATAGCTTGTTTAGCTTATACGTAAATCCGGCACTGCACACAGCTGTGTCTTGTTTTCCCTTTTTTACAACACGGAGTGCATTGTTGTGATTATAGAGAGAAGGGCAGAGGAGATAAATTTATTTCCAGAAATTTCTGATACATCATCTTCTGTAAAGTTTTATCTGAAGGAAGCAATGTAATGTTCCCTTCTTTCGCCAAGAGCTAATTTTGTGCCCTTTCAGGTTTGTTCTAGGTGCTGTGTCTCCTGCTATCGTCGTCCTTTCATTGCTGATGTTGCAATCCAGAGGATATGGTGTTGATAAAGGCATTCCTACCTTGGTAATAGCTGCTGCCAGCCTGGATGATATCGTGGCCATTACAGGATTCAACACCTTCTTGGGCATGGCCTTTTCCAAAGGTACTGGAGCTACTCCCTAGGAATGAAAAGCCACTGCATGGACCCATTAGAAAAAAAAACATAGGCAGAATTGGGAGGCTGAATGCGGTGCTATTTCTCTTGAGGATGGGAGAAAGCTGACTTCCTTCAGGAAGGCTTCATTGTGATGTGACCTCTTCTCTAACAGAGAATATATGTTGTCAAACAGCTGGGATTGGGAGAAGGGGAATTCCATTCCATTCACGTTAAAGGGGAAATTACTTAATTTGCACTTTCTGAAATGACACACAGACTGCAACTCGGCCATCCTTCAAACTTCACACAGCTTGTGTGGCGGTTATATAGCGTCTGCTGTTTATTAAGCACTCATTTTTATCTCTTCCTGCAGAGGTTATACAATAGCCACTGCTGAGTGAGCACTCATCCTAATTTGTTTGCACAGAGATTATACGACTTCCCATCAACTGATTGTTATCCCAGACTTTTTAGTGTGCTTTCCCATCACTTTGCTTACTACAAAAAGTCTGCTTTAAAAAAAGAAAAAGTTGGTTTGTTATGTGAAAACCTAAATTTGCAGGTATGAAGTTGAATACATCCCACAGTATAGTGACAATCTGGAGGGAACCCAGCATTCTGGTTCTGAGCTGAGTTACACCAGCTTTGTCTTTCCTCCTATATTCATCTTTGCACTTTAGAAACTGTAGAACGATCACAGCAGGTGAGCGCCATTTCTTTTTTTCTTTTACTTCTGCTGTGGTACAATGGCTGCCACCTGCTGGATAAAGAACCAATTGCAACTTCTGTATAGAATCATCGAATCTTAGAGTTGGAAGGGACCCTAAGGGTCATCTAGTCCAGCCCCAGCAATGCAGGAACCCATCCATGACAGATGGCCATCCAACCTCTGTTTAAGAAGAAGAAGAAGAGTTTGGATTTGATATCCCGCCTTTCACTCCCCTTCAGGAGTCTCAAAGCGGCTAACAACCTCCTTTCCCTTCCTCCCCCACAACAAACACTCTGTGAGGTGAGTGGGGCTGAGAGACTTCAAAGAAGTGTGACTGGACCAAGGTCACCCAGCAGCTGCATGTGGAGGAGCGGAGACACGAACTCGGTTCCCCAGATTAGGAGACTACCGCTCTTAACCACTACACCACACTGGCTCCAAGGAACCTCCAAGGAAAGAGAGTCCGCCACCTCTCGTGGGAGTCTGCACAAAGCCTCTCAATTCAGTAGTTGCATTTTAAAACAAAAACAAAGATCCCTGGAAGACATACTCTTAACTCTGTCTGCTTTCTATCTTGAAAATACTCTTCAGGACATTTATTCTCTCTGCGCTCATTTCTCCTCTGGTAACTACTGTGAATGCATGACCTGCTGTCTGTCTGCAGACACTGCAGTCGTCTGCAAGGGATTCCACATGACAGGGCTGATGTTGCCAGCCTTCATGTCTCATTTGCAGACATCTTTATAGTGCAGAGTTGGTCCACCAGCAGGCCTGGTGCCTGAAACCAGCTCCCCGAAAAGCACATCCTTGGGGATCCTGCCATCTTCCATGGCCACCTTCCAAGCAAGGTATAGAGCCATGGGTAGGCAAACTAAGGCCTGGATCCGGCCCAATTGCCTTCTAAATCCAGCCCACAGACAGTCTGGGAGTCAGCATGATTTTACATGAGTAGAACGTGCCCTTTTATTTAAAGTGCATCTCTGGGTTATTTGTGGGGCATAGGAATTAGTTCATTTTCCCCCCCTTCAAAATATAGTCCGGCCCCCCACAAGGTCTGAGGGACAGTGGACCGGCCCCCTGCTGAAAAAGTTTCCTGACCCCTGGTGTAGACACTGCTGTGACAGAAGCGTGAACATGCTGGGAATGTGGGCTTGAAGTGAATTAAAGCTCTGTTGCCGTAGCACAACAACTTCACTTTTTTGAAGGACTTTAGGAACGTGAGGGGGGCGGGAAAGGCACCAAAAAGTGTGGGATGAACTAATGATTAATGGGAATAATATAACCACTGCTCAAGCAAATAAGGATTAATGTTCATTGCCGTATAACCACAAACAAATTAGAACTCATGCTCAGTAAAGGCCAGACATAATCTATCCTCTGCATAAACTTTACGCAAGCAAAGCATTCTTCTGTTGTGTCCAAAAAGGCTCTGTCTTCAAGAGTATCCTCCGTGGTTTAATAGAAGTTGTAATCGGCGCAGGAGCTGGTGGCCTTCTGGGAATTTTCATTTGGTACTTTCCAAGCAAGGATCAGGTAAGAAAGGAAGCTGCTGGAAAGTTTCAGCCTTGCATCTCCTCAAGGGGAAGTGGTAAGGGAATGATGCAAAAGACACTATCCATGTCCTAGTTTATAACTGTTGAGAATGTGATCCAGAGATTGTCAGCGTTACAAAATCACTCTTTCCCAAGGATGTGAATCCAGTGTATTTTATTGGCATTCTTTTTCCTGGAGCCAGTAGTGTGTAACTTATGTAGATATCAGATTTTTCACTGTGGCATAGACTGCACAGTGCCTGCGTGGTTGCCAAGAGGCAGAGATGAGTCCAGCTGGTGAAGAGGCAAGGGTGTCCTGCCCCTCCTGCTGTGACAAGCTCTCCTCCCCTAGGGGAGGCGTGAAGAGGGCAGAGGAGAACTTAGCTTCACTCAGGCATAGTCTCAGATTGCTTGGGGAAACTCTGGAGAGGAGGGGACCTAGGCAGGGATCTTCAGTCTCAGCAACTGCTTCATGGGGGCAAGACCCACCAGAGATGAGTTGCTGTGCTCATTAGGCCTGACTATTGTGAAGGTCCTGTTTTTGCTAATAAAGAGTTAATTCCAACTTGCTCAGTGTGATTTACTGCTGCCTCACTCCTGTCACCACGTTTTAATGGATGCCAGGATGGGATACCCTCTCTCCCTCCCTTCTGTTTTAAACAGAGCAGCAGTGAATGATGAAAGTGTATTTTCCCATCATTGATGGGGCAGTGTGCCCATGGCGTTTTGTGGTCTTATCTCTTTTCCTGTTCTTTTGGGTGTGGCAGCCATTTTGTGTTATGCCACGCCCCCATTCGAGCCTTTTGCGACTGGTGCCCCTGGTACTTTCTCAAAATCCCAAAGATGCCCACCGACTCTAAACGTTTGGTGGGCCCAGACTGGGGTCATTTGTTCCCCTTCAGATTTAAATCTGCTCTGCATGCAGGAGAAGTTTTGACCTTCGTGGCTCTGTTAGGGGGATGAGGATCTTTCTGCCATTGCTGATCTTGTCCTAAACAGAGGACTCATTTGTAGATTTTAAATATACTTTCTATTTTCTTCCCTGGTCTTAGGCATATGTTGTGTGGAAGAGAGCATTCTTTCTGTTGGGTCTCTCTGCGTTTACTCTTTTGAGCTGCAAGCATTTTGGCTTTCCTGGATCTGGAGGCCTCTGCACAATTGTCTTGTCATTTCTGGCTGGGCTGAGATGGTCTGTGGAGAAGGTGAGCATTCTGCAAACATAATGTTGTTGTTTAGTTGTTTAGTCGTGCCCGACTCTTCGTGACCCCATGGACCAGAGCACACCAAGCACTCCTGTTTTCGCAAACATGATAATAATAATAATAATTTTTTATTTTTACCCCGCCCATCTGGCTGGGTTTCCCCAGCCACTCTGGGCAGTTTCCAACAAAGACCAAAAATACATTAAAATATCACACATTAAAAGCTTCCCTGAACAGGGCTGCCTTCAGATGTCTTCTGAATGTCAGGTAGTTGTTTATCTCTTTGACATCTGATGGGAGGACGTTCCATAGGGCAGGCACCACTACCGAGAAGGCCCTCTGCCTGGTTCCCTGTAGCTTTGCTTCTCACAATGAGGGAACCGCCAGAAGGCCCTTGGCGCTGGACCTCAGCGTCCGGGCAGAACGATGGGATGGAGACGCTCCTTCAGGTATACTGGACCGAGGTCGTTTAAAGCCAAGAACTCAGGAACAGATTTATGTGAAGGAGAGAACTCAAGTTGGACTGCTTTACAGTAGCACCCTGGGCTCCTTTAGCATCAAGGGCAAGAGAGAAATGTAATACTATGAATGACAACAACTACAGCTACACAATAAGCTAGTTATTCATAGCTTCAACTGAATAGAAGTTAAAAAATTTTAGAAGTTTGGGGGAAATGGATACAAATTGAAAAGTGGTCTCTTAAACAAAATTAATGTTGGGCACATTGATCAATTACACGGCTAGTTTGTGGAGGAAAGAATTCCAGAATCCACAGCTGGTCAGCACCTGTATTGATCAGGACCAACCAACATGCCGCAGAATAATATATTATGCTATGTAATTGCTTGTTACGTTAAAAATTGTTATATTTTAAAGATCTAATAAAAAAGAATAATACTAGTTCTTGTAACACTTTGTGTTCACTCTTCGTTTTGCAGAAAGCAGTGGAAGAGATTGTTAGAATTGCCTGGCAATTTTTCCAACCCTTTCTGTTTGGTTTAATCGGAGCTGAAATATCCGTTGTCTCTCTCGGACCAAAAATGGTTGGTAAGTCTGCTAACCTGTGGTGGCAGGGGTGCCAACTTGAATAAGACATTGCGGGAGGAGGGGCAGGTAAGCCCCGTCCTGCATAATCGATCACATGATGCGACACACACACACACCATTTGAATGACAATGCCCATCAAGTTGGGGGGGGCGGCCCCCTCAAATATTTTATTAGGGCTTCAGCCTCTAGGAGTTGGCTCCTATGCACTGATGAGTGGGGCTATATTTCCTTAGAAAGGTAAAGGACCCCTGACACTTAAGTCCAGTCACAGACGACTCTGGGGTTGTGGCGCTCATCTCGCTTTACTGGCTGAGGGAGCTGGCTTTTGTCCGCAGACAGTTTTTCCGGGTCATGTGGCCAGCATGACTAAGCTGCTTCTGGCGAAACCAGAGCAGTGCATGGAAACACCATTTACCTTCCCGCCGGAGCGGTACCTATTTATCTACTTGCACTCTGACATGCTTTTGTACTGCTAGGTTGGCAGGAGCAGGGACAGAGCAACGAGAGCTCACCCCGTCGCGGGGATTTGAACCACCGACCCAATCGGCAAGCCCAAGAGGCTCAATGGTTTAGACCACAGCGCCACCTGCGTCCCTTAGAGGACAGCTAATGGAGCATCTCCTCCAAAGCTGAACAAGCATGCGTTTCCATAAGTGAATGGGCAGAGAAATGCCCTGGAGAGAACAGAGCAGAGGGTTAACTGCTTCATCCCAGCCCCTGCTGCTTGTGTGAGCCACAGCAGAAGGTGGCAGGCTGTAGAGGCTTCTTGCCCATTTTTCACTGTGGCAGCTTGAAATATACTTGGGAGTCCTGTAGTGATTTCATGCTCTTTATTGCAGCTTGTGAAACAGTGATTGAATTGCCTCCCAAACCTCAAGCTTTTATATACATTATTTATACAATGAGTCCCATCTGATTGGCTGATTCTGCTTCCCTCCTGGAGCCTGATTGGTCTTTTCCTGCAGGCCAATCAGTTGTTGCATTCTACCATCCTACTAGCCTAATAGGCCGATTAACTTCCTCCTGGAGCCTGATTGGTCTTTTCCTCCAAGCCAATCAGTTGTTGCATTCTAGGATACTACTTGCCTGTTGTTCTGGGATCCAAGCTTAGTACATAACACAGCTCCAGGCTGGTGCAACACAACTGCAGCGCTCTCCAATATGATGTGCAGAAGCTGAACCACACAAGCAGCTGAACCTTCTTTTAGCACTGGCGACAGGTCAGTGTCCCTCCAGGGTGTGAGAGCCCCTGGCTAGCTTAGGGGATACGCGCAAGTCCAAATGGCCCACACAGTTCTATTCCCTAACATCTTGCAACTGCTCCCCATCGTCTCAGTTGGCCACCTCACTCTCACTTAATGTTAGGGCTTCGTCCTGCTGACGCATCACGACTGCTTTTGCCTTTTGTTCCTAATAAGATGAGGATGGGGGCTGATTTCCCCCCGAGAGGAATAATGAAGTATATATCCCTCTGCCTACAGGGTTTTGTATGATCACAATGTGTTTGGCTCTCATGATACGAGTTACTGCTACATTTCTGTTGGTGAGTTTCGCTGGCTTGAACTTCAAAGAGAAAACATTTATCGCGCTGGCATGGATCCCCAAAGCAACTGTCCAGGTAGAGTACGCCTATATAGGAGACCCTGTTTCTTCTGCAGAAAAGATGCTAAATCACCCGCCATGGTGCACTACTCCAGGTGGGAAAGACGTATTGCTTTTGACTCTTGCAAGCAACCTGATAATCAGCTTCCTTACTCCATAGGTTAATTTCTTCCTCTGTCTGAAGTGTTTTCTGTCACAGCTCTCTTAAGAGATCACTTTCCCGATGCATGCAGATTTGCCCTCAAAATTGATCTCACTAACAGAAGCCCCTTTTAACTGAAAAATGCATTCCCTTCTGTGGACCCCAAAAGCATTGTTTTAACTTGGGGAGATGCCATTTTGCTTCCTAAGACACAAATTCAGCAACCCAGTGAATTATAATGGTGACAATACTGATAACTTGACCCATACAGCAGCGACAGCCCAGGCCTCCCATTTTGCAAGTCAGAAGCTGGTTATCATTTCACCACAAGCTGGATTGAGCCCCAGGGTCTCCAAATTTAAGAAGGGCCACAGTGAACTGTGATTGTAAGGCTATTCAAATCGGGCTCCTGTAAGTCCTGAACTGGCCAAATGAAAGACTCCTGCTTGGACTCTAATATTAGTTGATGAAGTTCTTGGAGCGAAAGGGGTTTCCTTTCCCTCGCAACTGCAGCAGCACTGTCTGTTCAGGAAGGCCCCCGCTAATTCTCCAGAAAGGCTTCTTTGTGGGGTGCAGGTAGCTTCAGAGAGGGGGACACACGGACAGGAAACTTTCCTTCTGTGAATATAACATGTGATCCAATTCAATGTCCTTTCCACCCCTCCTTCCCTGCAGGCTGCAATTGGTTCTGTTGGTTTAGATACAGCCCGAGAGCTGAAGGACCCAGTCCTAGAACATTATGGCCTGACCATCTTGACAATAGCTTTCCTGGCAATCCTGTTCACAGCTCCAACTGGGGCTCTGATCATTGGCCTGGCAGGACCCAAACTCCTTCACAAGACTGACATGGGCGATGAAGAAGATGGTGGGAAAGCATCTTCGCCAATATAGGGAAGTGTCAGGGAATACCTAAATCCAGGCTTCCAAGAAATTACGGTGCCCTATAGTGGCATGCAGTTGTCTGAAATCCCATGTGGAATGCATTGTAGGTTCTTCTAAAACAGCAACCCAAGTAGAGGAGAACATTAAATCAGCATCCAGGTGTTCCTTCATCCTTCACATAGGAATTTTGGATGACTGCAGCCACAGGTGGAGTAGATCAGTGGCCTGGTTCAAAGAGACAAATGCCAGCAGGGCATGAGAAAGCATTTAGGGTGGCTCCATGAAGTGTCGCTGGGAGTTTATACGGTGGTCTCAGCAGAAAGACATGCCAGAAGCACCAATCCCAGCAGTAAATAATCAAGAGAACGTTCATAGACCTTACAACTGATGGTCATAGCTCCCAATGGCTTTTCCAGTAGCCAAAGGCAGTTATGTTCTGGCAATAGATATGCAGTCTTTGGGACCATCCAGGGAGAGTGATGTTTCTTTTCCTATCCTGAATGCTTGAAACAGTGAGGAAAGGGCCCAAAACACAAATATTGTAATGGTGCAGTGGACAGCTGTGGATTTTGCACATGGAACAAAGAAAGTTCATCAAAGTTTGTCCATGTATTAGATACTAATCTCACTGGTCTGGCATTGCAAAGATTCATATCGTCCGCCATCGATTCCCCATCAACACGTTATAATGTTAAAACAGCAACAACAACCCAGCGAAAGTAGTAGCTTCAGAGCTGCCTGCAGCAATACATCAGCCTCTTTGACCTAATGGGTTGAACTGGATCCAGGAAGAACTGTTGGAGTCTTTTTGGCTTCTTATGAATATACTTGCAGAGGAGAGGAGAATGAGGAGGGCAGCAGGAAATGACTGCTATTGGATGAAGGATGTGTGATCTTGCTGGGATGAATACAGAGTAATTTTTTTACAGCTTTTACCATTGCTGGCAATCACACATATATGTGTGTTTTGTAAAACGAAAGGGTTGCTGAAGTTCCAGAGGATACATGGGTTTTAGGACTCAAAAAGCTAGATTTCACAAGTATGGGGAATGTATTACTTTAAAGATTATGCAAATCCACACATATGTCATTTAGGAAAACTTTTTTTTCCATACTCTGTTTCTCCATACCCATGAATATTGCATGGGGTTTTTTTGTGTTTTTTTTAAAGAGCAATGTTGGGCATGGGTTAGAAAGAAATTGGGGTTTTCCCCAACCCTTGAGACCCAGTGGTGATGAAGTCACTGCTTCATAAGATGCTGCAATTCCTTTGAAAACTATTGAGGGCATTGTACTACCTAAACAAAACTGCTCACAATTCCTCCAGTACACCCAGTTTGTTTGTTTGTTAAAAAAATGGGTGCTGGTTTGTAATGCTTGCAGTTTTTTTGCTGACTGCTTTGTAAAAACAAAACACCAGAGGATCTTTAATGCGGATCAGGTGAGTGTGGAAAGCTGTATTATCTGCATTTTTATCGCTTGTGGCAAAAGCAGTGCTTTTAAAACTGTTGTATGGAGGAGTGCAGGAGTGTCAAATAGCATAAGAGAGCCCCCTGCATCACATTGCTAATCGTATGATTTTAAAGGGAAAGTTTTAAAATGGAACTTTTCCTTATCCCTAGCTTTGATTTCCACTACAAATACTCAAGGGTAATAATATTGGCATAGTGTACTTAGAGCTGCCATCTGTTGGGAAAGAGAAACAGAATGCTAAAAAATATGCACTTTATAGCTTTACTGCAATGTTTCACCAGAGGGAGCAAAAGGCTCAGACATGCATTGTTTTCCTCCATTTTGGTCTTGGAAGATTGAAGACTCTGAGTCTTCCCTGCACACTCAGATCTGATTTCTACAATAAGTCTTTTAATGTTCCTTGGGTAGACATAAGAGTTATTTTTTACAACAAAGACAAACGTCCAGTAGTCATTTTCTAAAACCAGAGCCGAAAGCCACCATCTGGCAACCTTTAACTCTGGCAAGGTGTGAAAAGTACTGTGGAATCAGATTGCTGCATCTGGCTGAGGTTCTGCTGTCAGTCATACAGAAGGCACCATGTCTCTACAGCAAGCTGAACTCAAGTCCCTTACTTGAAGTGCCTTCCAGGTGCGACTTCCTGAAATGGCAGATATGCACCCTTTGCTCAACAGCAGCAGCAGTTACAACTGGATTTGCTTTCTTTCTAGTGCATGACCACTTTGATACTGGGAAATGTAAAAAAAGAAAAGAAATAAATAAATGTCAATGACTTTATAGAGTAGTGTTCTTGTTTCTTTTAAAGTCAAGGGTCTATTGCTTTTTACTAATTACATATATGCTTGCATCATGCGCGATCACTTCCAGATCTCTTTATAGAGCATTCACCCTGCATTGCTTGCAGAAAGTTTATGGGAAGGTGTGCTACTTATAGAGCATTCATTGTGATTTATTTGTGGGGAGGCAATATGATGTTGCATCGAACAATTGCACTTTCCAGGACATTTCCCCATCACCTTCTCTACTAAAAAAAGTATCAAGGAGGGATATATTTGTGCAAGAGCGCAAAATCCACTTTAATTGCAGAACTTGAGTTTGCCAGTATGCAGTTAAAATCTCTCACACAACACAAAATATTCCGGAAGTGGCCTGTGTATGTGTGTGCGCATGTAGATCTATATTTTGAGTTTGAGGGTACCAGTAAGTGTTAGAAGTTAATCAAGGCTTGGAGTGTTAAACTGGGTGCCAGACACTGAACCCCTGGGTTCAGTAAGTGTTAAAATATAAGCCAGGCTAGGGTCCTGATGGGGTAATTGCTTGGGGTGATGAGCCATTAAGAAAGCAAGGAAAGGGGGCTCTGTGCCAGAGAAGACAAAGTTTGAAGTTGAATTTTGGGGCTGTGATGTAACCTAGAGAGATGAGGTTGCAGGCTGGGAAAGGAGCACATACAGAGAGTCTGCCATGGTTGATTTCTGCTAGTATGCAAGGCTATGGGAGAAACAAGACTCCTTTGGGGTGTTAGTGCTGTGAACCCCTCCATCATAGGCTCAGGATGTATATATGTGTAAATAAGCCATATATCATACAGACACCCTGGTTTCCGCTGGGCCGCATTCCCAAAAGGAAACACGAGCCCTGGGTAAGTGTCTGGAACCTTGCATTGCTTGGAGATTGGGGTGGCGTGCAAATATACGGTTCTGCTCTGCAAGTAAAAGCAAATAGCCAGATGTGTAGTAAGTTAATACCCTGTGCAGCTGTTGCTTGGCAGAGAAAAGGAAAGGAGGGGGACACATTGGGGTGAGACCAGGAACAACTCATGTATAGTGCAGCTTAACAGAAATCCTGGAATCGGCTAGATCTGTATAACTGCACACCTAATATTTGGCAGAAGCACCGTTAGTCAGGCTAACTTTTGTCCTCAGTGTTACATGCAAACTTTCACAAGAGGATGTTTGAGGAGAGGGAAGATACTGTGGGCCATGTTTGTTTTGCAAAGGCTCCCTGCTGTCAGCTACTGCACATGATCCTAAAACAAAAGATTTAAGTAGATCCAAAGGCCCAGAAACAAAAGCTGTAATTAATATCCTAAGCATATGCAAGGAACCATTGCAGACCTTGAAGCGGAGCAGTGCATGGTTCAGGGAAGAGCAATGTAAGGCACAGGGTGAAAAGATGGGGTTTTTTCTGGCTCTTTCAAGCTTTCTGTCCAGAGGCTTCAGAACCATTGGCTTGGATCCTAACTTATTGTGTGAGTGGAACAGAATTTATGTTCATGGCGTGGTGCAAGATATAGCATGGCCAGGGGGCTGGGTTGGGAGCTGGGGATGGAAGAATTCACAGAAATAATCCTTCCCCTTAGCATAGGATATTATTGTAGGCGTAATGGTGCAACCCTATAACAGAAGTACAGTTTTAAAAGCAGTCTATTATAGGCAGATGTCTTCAATAATGAATTGGGATATTTTGAAATGTTCAAGATGGAATTGTCTAACCTGATCTTTGTTGCCTTTTAGCTTAGCATCCACAATGGGATCCACTAGCACCTAGGAACACGCCCCCCATTCTCTTTAAACATGTAACAAAACATTATTGCTATGACTTTCTTCGTTCAGGCTATGTCCTAATTGTGAGCCATGGTGTATCAAGCTGGAGACATGCAAAATTCACAAAGGTGTGATGTAGAATGAATATTTTATTGGTAGTAACAGAATTACATATGTAACTTCCTCCATGGTGTAACTTTCCAGGTCTGTCTCTTGCACGCACACACACACAATGTTGGTTGTGCACCATAACATCCTTTGAATTGTCTGTAGCAATTACCGTGAAATTAAAACCCAACCCAACAAAAGTTTAGACACAATTCCAAATCGGCAAGCTGCCTGAAATATATATCAAAAGGATCAGGCAAGGTATGTAGGTGAGATGCTAGGCACTTCACAAGAAATCTTAAACTGAAATCGGAGCCTGCACCTCAGGCTAGCAGCGTTTCATCCACAGGAAAGGAGAGGCCTGTTCTAGTTTTCTCCAGTTCAGATTTCAAAAACAACACAAGTTAGCACTGAGCTGCTTCATTCTGGTGGTAGTGAGGAAAATTATCTCCAAGTGTGGTGGGAATCTATTTTATCTCCCTGTTTGCTTATGGAAGGTTCAGAGAATCACAGAATTGTAGAATTGGATAGGATCCTCAGCATCATCTTGTCCAACTCCCTGCAATGCAGGAATCTTCTGCCCAACATGGGGTTCAAACCCATGACCCTGAGGTCAGGAGTCCGGTGCTCTACTAACTGAGCTATCTCAACTAGATCATGGTTCAAATCCATGATTTATCACATCAAACAATAAATAACAGCAGATGAAAGTTAATCCAGAGCCCCATCTTAGGAGGATGCATGCAGAGATTCACTTAAAAGGGAGGGGGGGTCACGGTGCTTTTTGTTCCTATGTAGGGAGTCTGGCTTTCCTTGTTTTTGCAATTCTCTTGGCAGATATACAGTGGTACCTCAGGTTACAAACTCCACTAACCCACAAGTAGTACCTTGGGTTGAGAACTTTGCCCCAGGATGCGAATGGAAATCGCACGGTGGCAGCGGGAGGCCCCATTAGCAAAAGCGCACCTCAGGTTAAGAACGGTTCGGGTTTAGAACAGACTTCTGGAACGAATTAAGTTCGTAACCAGAGGTACCACTGTATTTAAAAGAAAATTGCTTATTGTCTGTATTTCTCCTTTCTCCTCCCCACCACCCAAACACTTTGGGGAGGGGGAGTGGCAGTGTTGCTTACTTGTTTACCCCATTCAATCTATTTAGCACCTTATTTTTTTTGCTCACTTTTCTGTTTTTCATGGAACACACTCAGTTTTAGCGCACAGTAGAACTGCTCCGAGAGGAGTTCGTGACATCATATCGAGAGCCAGGGTGGCATAGAGGTTAATGTGTTGGGATTGGGACCTGGGAGACAGGGGTTCAAATCACCACTGAGCCAGGAAGCTCATTGGGTAACCTTGGGCCGGTTATTGTCTCTCAGTCTAAACTACTTCACAGGCTTGCTGTGAGGGTAAAATGAGGAATTTGTGTATGCCACCTTGAATTCCTTAAGAGAAAATGGGGACTACACATGTAATCATAAAGTAATAGAAACCCAGCTAATTGGCACAGGGCACAGTTAGCTTCTCTCCCCAGACCTTCAGAGGCTGCGCCCAACCTGAGTTCAATCTTAGGAAGAAGACTTCACCATGGCATGTGTAGTTCTATAGGAGCTCCACCAGTCAGATATGTATATTGGGATGCATACATGAATTGGCATCCTACTTCCAGATCAGGCACAGGGGTCCAGCCCAAGCATAAGAGGACAAGTAATCCCCTAGTGCTAGATCTGAAGGTGCTGCAAGCTGCTATGGTCCCTGAGCCTCTCCCCACATCCATGCGTTGCCCAGCTCTGGCAGAGTTGTTTTCTGCTGAAAAAGGAAGAAAACAAACTGAAACCAGAAGTTGAGAAATGCAATAGCTTTTTCCTCGTCTGCATAATGTGAGCCTGACCTGTGTTATCTGGAGTGGGAAGTGTGGTAGGCAGGGACTCCCCCCTTCCCCCAATCCAACAAACATTAGCTGTAATTAAAGGCTCGTTTGCATAATCATCTGGCCAAAGTTTCTCCCCGCGGTGGAGAAAGTGTAGGTCTGTGTGCGCACCTTCCTCATATATGCATGCATGTACATCACTAGAAAGAACTTTGGCCTCCATGACTGAAAGTAATATGGAAAAATCCATAAATTACTTACCTAAAACCAGGTTGGTCACAATGAAGAATATACCACTGTGTTGTTGTTGTTGTTGTTGTGGTTGTTGTTTAAAAAAACTAGCAATTTCTTTGATTTTTTTCCAAAAGTAAGCTGACAAACCATGCTACATTTCCAAGAGCAGTTGTCTTGTAATAATTCAGAGTAATGCAGAAGAAAATACGGGAGGACTTTTGGCACTAATGGGAGGACGAGGGCACAGTCAGTTTCACAAACCAACCTATTTACTAGATAAGTAACAAGCAAAACAGAGGGGTTCAACAGAAATCTACTTTCTGTCCACAGTGGGAATATCTGGGAGCAAGTTGGTGGCAGAGGTGAATTTACTTTGCCATTTATTTTCTCATAGGCAATATGTTAGCCAAGGATGCTTCTATCACAGCCTTATTGTCATAAACAGTTTGTATCTAACTAGGTCCAGAAAGCCACTACTAATTGCTAATACTGCTTTGGCATTGGGGCAGTAGATGTTTTCCACAGCATGAACAGAGCATAAAACCTAATATTGTTTGGAACTCAGATCATGACTGACTATATTATATGGTTGTGCATGGAATTAGGAATTAAGTGTGTGTACAGGGAGATCAGAACAACATGAGTCTCTTTGGGAAAATGATTCTTGAGTGTGGGATAGATGGGACTATTCAAACTTAAATAAGCGTATAAGGCACTCCTCTTGTTTCAGACAAATTGGGTTTTTGTTTGTTGTGAGCAGAAGCCTTAGTTGTTGTTGCTTATGTAGGAAAAAATGCCAGCTTTCGTCCAATATCAGCCATAAAATGGACTGTGACAGCAATTACATTGTTCTTAGATTTAATTATTTTCAACTGGGCTTATTAACCATTGCCATACTCCTCAAATCAGGTATGCCATAGGCAAGGCTGTCTTCACTTGCGGAAGGACCACAGTAGTAAAAAAAACGACGCTGAAACAAATACGAAATGTCAACAGGATCAAGATAAACTTCCGTTCCCAGAATTCTTTTGTGGAAGTCACAACAGTTAAGCTAGTTTCAGACACATTTAAATCTGTAGTGTAGATGTGCTTATTTTAAACAGAGAAAGGGTACATATATGGCTCTTTAAGAATCACATTAACATTTTATTACTGGTTAAATTGAAACTCTGGGGATGATCATTTTGTTACGGGAGTAAAAACGCATGTACAAAGGGGCCATTCTTCGTTAAGTTGGACATGGCTTTTGAGACCATACAAAAAATATCACATGTCTATCACAGTCTATAAAACTAAGGTAACCTAAAGAGATATCAAAGCTCAAGTCTACAGTAACTATTAGACTGAAAGCACTACCACGTGGGTATCAAGTGGACTTCCCGTCAGTCGTGGCTTAGTTGGGGAGGCTTGCTAGACTTCTTTCTTCTTGAGTATTAATGGGCCCACATTATCTCCTGTCGACTCATTGTGCTTCTTGTGGGAGCCATCACAGACAGGGAACTGAAAAAAAGGCGAGAGAAAAGCAGCTGAATATCTGCACTGATTGTAGGGTGGTAATTATGATTCAGAGAAGCTTTTTGCGCAGGAGCCCGGGTCACTCCTAACTAGAACAGAGTCCATTCGGCATAGATAAAATGGGATGGCAACCCACAAGCTTAAGTACAGGGACAGAAAAAGATCCAGGCTGAGGGACAGTAGTCTAGGCCCAATACCCCAAAATGAAACAATGAATGCCTTAAAATGGTCTCTGTACTTGCTCCATCCTTGACACTGGTTATGAACAATCTAATATTGGTATAGCCAGCCAGTTGCTGCAGGCTACACCTCCCATCATCTCTGGCCAAACATCCTGATGCTGATAGGAGGGCACAACGCGGCCTACTCCAGCCACTTGTAGCTCAAGCTCATACAAAGCTGGAACTCCTGGATCCTTCTCCACTTTACAGAGATTTGGTTCCCGCAAAATCAGGGTGGGTTGGTTGAGGTTTAAAAGCTGCCAGTGTTTCTCTCTTTGACATCTGATAGGAGGGCGTTCCACAGGGCGGGCACCACCACCAAGAAGGCCCTCTGCCTGGTTCCCTGTAGCTTTGCTTTTTGCAGTGAGGGAACCGCCAGAAGGCCCTCGGCGCTGGACCTCAATGTCCGGGCAGAACGATGGGGGTGAAGACGCTCCTTCAGGTATATACCGGAAATCACAGTAACCTTGAAGCCACATCTCAAAGCAATAAAATGACTCACCGTTTTTGAGCGCCAGCACCTGCAATACACTGCCTTCGTGAGACAAAGGTCCTCAATGTTGATTTCGTTCACTACTTTGGGGTTCTCCTTCTGGATCTTGAGATTGATCAAGCTATCCTTCTGCTGCTTCTTCTTGGGGAGGAATGGGCGAATAGCAAGGTATCCGAGCAGAGCAAGGACACCTAGGAAAGGCAATAACCGCAGCCATTCTGAAACTAAACACATACCACACACATGAATGTTATAGAAGGGTGCTCACCAGCATCAAGTTCCAGCATCAACTGCTATCAACACAGTGCTTTATTATAGAGTGCTTACATTCTAAGAACTTACACATATCATGCAGAAACTGCTGGAAGCAGCCTCTGCATTTTGACTTGACCCCATGGCAGCCACAACACGTAGTGTAAGACATTGCTGCATTCTGGTTGCTAGGGCAGAGCAGCAATTGCATCTCAAGAGCAACAGCAGTAGCATGAAAACTCTTAAGAATGTAAGAAGATCCTGCTGCATCAGATAAATAACCCATCTAGTCCAGTAACCTGTTCTCACAGTGGTCAGCCAGATGCCTATGGAAAGCTATAACAGCAACTCTCCATGACATGTGCTAGGACACTGGTATGTCATAAGGCCATGGTGAGGGTAGATAATTATTTGGAGGCACCTCTGTGTGACATTAGTCAACGTGTTCTCACTCCCTTCATTTCAAAGCTGGCAACATTCTACGCCGCCAGCAGTGACAGTATGTGACTGTCCTTGCCTGACTTCCCAAAACTGATGGTTGATATGTTATACTTTCTGTCTTTATGTTTCTGAGTACAATTCAAAGTGTTGGTACTGACCTTTAAAGCCCTAAACTGCCTCGACCCAGTATACCTGAAGGAGCATCTCCACCCCCATCGTTCAGTCCGGACACTGAGGTCCAGCGCCGAGGGCCTTCTGACGGTTCCCTCACTGCAAGAGGTGAGGTTACAGGGAACCAGGCAGAAGGCCTTTTTGGTAGTGGTGCCCGCCCTGTGGAACGCCCTCCCATCAGATGTCAAGGAAATAAACAACTACATGACTTTTAGAAAACATCTGAAAGCAGCCCTGTTTAGGGAAGTTTTTAATGTTTGATCGTGTTTTTAATATTCTATTGGGAGCCACCCAGAGTGGCTGGGGAAATCCAGCCAGATGGGCAGGGTAATAATAATAATAATAATAATAATAATAATAATAATAACAACAATAACAACAACTGCAATCCCACCAAATCATATTAGACAGTATTGCCTGTCCTCACAATGAGGAATATCCATAGCATCAACACAGGGAAGAGCAGATGAAATTATGAGGTAGTTAAAGTTTGCTTTGGATTAATTATCCATCTCATGGCCAGCTTTCCTTGCCCATTGACTTCTGACTACTATACAGCAGAATTAGTGAAATAATTCAAACGCACATAAAAAAAATTAATCTCACAGGAGCACACTCTTGTCCCCATGCACAAAAAAGGGGATTAAATCGAGGCAGATATAAATGAGTCAGTGTACAATTAAAAACATAGGACACAATTCCCCAGCTTCACTGAAATAAATGGAAGAGGCTCAGCAGGATTTAGGCAAAAGATGCTGATAAAGTATTGGGGCTTATGCGTATTTTTACCTAGACAGCAATAATATTACTATTGTACTTCTTTATAAGAAGCTGCCTTACACAAAGTCAGACCTTAGAATCATAGAATCACAGAGTTGGAAGAGACCACAAGGGCCATCGAGTCCAACCCCCTGCCAAGCAGGAAACACCATCAGAGCACTCCTGACATATGGTTGTCAAGCCTCTGCTTAAAGACCTCCAAAGAAGGAGACTCCACCACACTCCTTGGCAGCAAATTCCACTGTCGAACAGCTCTTACTGTCAGGAAGTTCTTCCTAATGTTTAGGTGGAATCTTCTTTCTTGTAGTTTGGATCCATTGCTCTGTGTCCGCTTCTCTGGAGCAGCAGAAAACAACCTTTCTCCCTCCTCTATGTGACATCCTTTAATATATTTGAATATGGCTATCATATCACCCCTTAACCTCCTCTTCTCCAGGCTAAACATGCCCAGCTCCCTTAGCCGTTCCTCATAAGGCATCGTTTCCAGGCCTTTGACCATTTTGGTTGCCCTCCTCTGGACACGTTCCAGTTTGTCAGTGTCCTTCTTGAACTGTGGTGCCCAGAACTGGACACAGTACTCCAGGTGAGGTCTGACCAGAGCAGAATACAGTGGCACTATTACTTCCCTTGATCTAGATGCTATACTCCTATTGATGCAGCCCAGAATTGCATTGGCTTTTTAGCTGCCGCGTCACACTGTTGGCTCATGTCAAGTTTGTGGTCAACCAAGACTCCTAGATCCTTTTCACATGTACTGCTCTCAAGCCAGGTGTCACCCATCTTGTATTTGTGCCTCTCATTTTTTTTTGCCCAAGTGCGATACTTTACATTTCTCCCTGTTAAAATTCATCTTGTTTGTTTTGGCCCAGTTCTCTAATCTGTCAAGGTCGTTTTGAAGTGTGATCCTGTCCTCTGGGGTGTTAGCCACCCCTCCCAGTTTGGTGTCATCTGCAAATTTGATCAGGATGCCCTTGAGTCCATCATCCAAGTCGTTGATAACGATGTTGAATAAGACTGGGCCCAAGACAGAACCCTATGGCACCCCACTAGTCACTCTTCTCCAGGATGAAGAGGAACCATTGATGAGCACCCTTTGGGTTCGGTCAGTCAGCCAGTTACAAATCCACTGAGTGGTAGCATAGTCAAGACCACATTTTACCAGCTTCTTTACAAGAATATCATGGGGCACCTTGTCAAATGCCTTGCTGAAATCAAGGTAGGCTACATCCACTGCGTTCCCTTCATCTACCAGGCTTGTAATTCTGTCAAAAACGAGATCAGGTTAGTCTGACATGACTTATTTTTCAGAAATCCATGCTGACTATTGGTGATCACAGCATTCCTTTCTAGGTGCTCACAGACTGTTTGCTTAATGATCTGCTCCAGAATCTTCCCTGGTATTGATGTCAGACTGACTGGGCGGTAATTATTTGGGTCCTCTCTTTTCCCCTTTTTGAAAATAGGGACAACATTTGCCCTCCTCCAGTCAGCTGGGACTTCGCCTGTTCTCCAGGAATTCTCAAAGATGACTGCCAGTGGTTCTGAGATCACATCTGCCAGTTCTTTTAATATTCTTGGATGCAGTTCATCTGGCCCTGGAGACTTGAATACATCTAAACTAGCCAAGTATTCTTGTACTATCTCCTTAGTTATTCTGGGCTGTGTTTCCTCTGCTGAATCATTTGCTCCAAATTCTTCAGGTCGGGCATTGTTTTCTTTATCGGAGAAGACTGAGGCAAAGAAGGCATTGAGGAGTTCAGCCCTTTCTGTGTCCCCTGTTTGCATTTCACCATCTTCTCCTCTGAGTGACCCCACTGTTTCTTTGTTCTTCCTTTTGCTACGAACATACCCATAAAAGCCTTTTTTGTTACTTTTAACCTTTCTAGCAAGCCTGAGTTCATTCTGTGCTTTAGCTTTTCTGACTTTGTGTCTACACATGCTGGCTATTTGTTTGAATTCCTCTTTGGTGGTTTCCCCCCTTTTCCATTTTTTGTACACATCCTTTTTAATCTTAACTCAGTTAAAAGTTCTTTAGATAGCCACCCTGGCTTCTTTAGGCACCTTCCATGTTTCCGTCTCATTGGTATTGCCTGACGTTGTGCTTTTACTATCTCCCTCTTAACAAACTCCCAGCCATCATGAACCCCTTTCCTTTTAGTATTACTGTCCATGGGATCTCACCCAGCACTTCCCTAAGTTTTATGAAGTCGGCTTTCTTAAAGTCAAGAAATTGAGTCCTAGTATGCTTGGCTGCTCCTTTCCGCTGTATAGTAAACTTCAGAAGAGCATGATCACTCGCGCCTAATGATTCTTCCACTTCTACCCCACTAACCAGGTCATCAACATTGGTTAGGACCAGATCTAAAATGGCTGTTCCTCTTGTTGCTTCTCCCACTTTCTGGACAACGAAGTTGTCTGCAAGGCCAGTGAGGAATCTGTTTGACCTTATGCTCTTGGCTGAGTTTGACATCCAACAAATATCCAGGTAATTGAAGTCTCCCTTTGGTCAACCGAACTCAGTACTGTTGACACTGACTCCAAATTCTCCAGTGTTTCAAGACAGGAAATTATCCCAGGCATACCTGGAGGTGCTGGGAATTTAACCTGGGGCATTCTCCAATCCAAACATGTGCTCCGTGACTCAGCTATGGCCCACCGAATTATGTCCCTTAGGGTGGATATATTTGCAAAAGGTTGTGTAATCCTGCCGAATCGAGCTCCCCAAGGATTTTCAGCTCTGCAAATTTTCTTGCGTTATACATTTAAAGCGCTATCATACTCCTTTAAACGAGACAGAGGGCCTTCTCAGTAGTGGCGCCCGCCCTGTGGAACGCCCTCCCTTCAGATGTGAAAGAAATAAGCAGCTATCTTATCTTTAAAAGACATCTGAAGGCAGCCCTGTTTAGGGAAGTTTTTAATATTTAATGCTGTATTGTTTTTAACACTCGATTGGGAGCCGCCCAGAGTGGCTGGGGAAACTATAAATAATAAACTATTATAGTCATGGCTTCCCCCAGAAGAATTGTGGGAAATGCAGTTTGCTAAGGATGCTGGGAGCTCATAGGAGACACTAGTCCCCTGCCAGTGCCACAATTTTCCAGAGTGGTTTAACAATAAATCCATTTTCACAGGGCACTCTGTGCTGCTTTAAATACATAGTGCAGATGGGAGCCTACTTGAGGGTATGAAATATTCACTTCCTGGGTGGGTGGAACGGGATTCCTTACCTAACTAAATTTTTAATAAGAAAGGCAAGACACAAATGCAAAGCTCTTAGCACTACGCAGGGTAACAACAGGCAGTCCAAATGGCAAGTCAAGCTGACCTGAACAAGGACAGAGACAACCTGCGGTTCCCATAGAAGCGTATTCAAATACAGGCAAATCAGAGTTACACTGAGCCACGAAGCACTGCCTATGAGTGGGGGCAAGCCCTCTTTGACCCAGGTAGGCCTCCGCCTACCCAATACCCAATTTCTTTAGGCCATTTATACAGCATTTAATCTCAGTTGTCCCTATGTCGGTAGATCCCAAGCTTTTTAAGGCCACAGCCCCCACCCCACCCCCGGTTCCGTAAACCCATCCCCGCTTCCCCCTCCCCGATAAAAAGCATTGTTCAGAATAGCAGATTGCATGGCCCACCATGGAATATAAAAAAGTCAGAACACTAATAATTAATGGCAAAACCCAATCAAAACAATTTAGTTCAATTAATTCAACCAAACTGGTGAACTGGATCTGGCCCCTTGCCTTTTTAACACACACAGACAGAGAGAGAGAGAGATTATCCAGCTGCTCCCAGGGAGCAGAACAGCCCAATTTGCAAACCCTACGTTGATCTGATTGTTCACATGCCTAGGAGAGAAAGGAAGACTCCCCTGCCAGCTCAAGGGGTTCCAAACAGCTGCTTTCCTGACTAAGCAATGCTTCTGACAAACTGGAGAGAAGCCATAGAAAACAACTGTCAAGTGCACCAGGGCCTCTGAATGTTACGTTCTTTGAACAGGCTACCTGCACCAAGCATGCTTCCCAAGAGCTTATGAAGATGCTACACAGACCAGAAAACCACCAGGCTTTTCATACTGAACTTTGCATGCAGCAGCCGGCCCTAGCATTTTCCTCAGGTGGCAGATTACAGGGAGAGGGCAGCAGGGGTGAAGTGCAAGAAAACAGAGTTGTGTGTGCTACACAGCTTGCCCTGCAGTCCCTGAGCAACTCTAGTATGGTGGAGAACGTTGTCCTGTCACCAGTGGTGAAGTACAGTGGTACCTCTGGATGCGAACGGGATCCGTTCTGAAGCCCCGTTCACATCCTGAAGCAAACGCAACCTGCGTCTGCGTGTGCACGGGTCGCGATTCGCCGCTTCCGCACATGCGTGGGACGTCATTTTGAGCATCTGCGCATGCACGAGCGGCGAAACCCGAAAATAACGCGTTCCATTACTTCTGGGTCACCGCGGAGCAGAACCCAAAAGCGCTCAACCTGAAGCAACTTCAACCTGAGGTATGACTGTAAAATGGTATCTGGAAATTTGTAGACGGCGAGAGAGATTTGTCATTTGCTCCAGGCAGCAAAATGTATTGGGCTAGCCCTGCTCCATGCTTTCCTAATTTTTATTTCAGCCATGGGAAGGACTTGCAAAAGCACACACATTCGCTGACCCACAGCATCTCATATGTGCACAGAAATTAGAAGCACTTCTGATGTATTGAGCGTTGAGAATACAGAATAGTAAGCAGCTAAAGTTAATTCTGCATGGCTATTTATACTATGAAACTTTATCTTTCACACCCATGTTTCCTGTTTATACACCTTTTTTGAAAGATAGCATTTGCACCGATATACCCATATAAAAGAAAACACAGGTGACAATTTTTACATGAGCAAATTCGCTCAGGCAGCAACCCTGGACACATATACCTGAAAAGGTGCAATTGAACTAAATGAGGCTTACTTCAGAGTAAGCATGCATACGACTGCACTGTAGGGTGCATAAGATGACTACAAAGCTCAAACTTAGTATGTATTTGCCTGGTACAAAGGTACATATTGACCCATTTCATCTTACTTTGCCTTTCAACAAAATCCCCCTTTAAACTGCCTTTAGACCAAAATGGGGGAGGGAAAAAAAAGGATCTTGCTTTGTTTTATAGTGAAAGACAAAAACAGAAAGGGTAATATGATATAGCAGAAAGGAAATGGTAGGGTTTGGTGTTGTATTTAAAAAAATAAAAATAAAAATCCTGGATAGCTGAACAGCAGAGTCACACATGGAGACAAACTTTTTTCAACTTCACTTTATAACATACAACTTGCTCTTGAAATGTGGCACAACAGCATAAATCATCACGAAAGTTTTGCCTAATGACAGATTTATTTGCTTGCTACTCTTTTATTGGCCTCTGTATTGAAAGACTTGCCTCAATGCATTCTGCCTTGTAATATAACAAAAATAAATTTTAAAAGAATACTAGGGCAAGTCCAGCTAAGTCCCCCTCCCCAAATAAAATGACGAGTGTGGGGGAATCTGATGGCCTCCAGATGTCATGGAGATCCAGCCAGTATTTCCAAGGGCCAAAGAAGATTGCAATTCTGCTCCAGCAACATGAGGGTAGATGGGGAGGAGACACAGCTTTCTCTTCTCTGCCTTAAATGTTTCCCTTCCAATACTCCTGTATCAAGGAGAAAACAAAAACCCTGAGTTTCCTCACAGGAAGATGTAGCAGTTTATGGTCAGCAACACTATGCCAGACATTTTGAAAGTCCATTGTGGACCCCACTTGTAATACATCCGTACCTTGGAAGTCGAACAGAATCCGAAGCATTCCAAAACGTTCGAAAACCAAATTGCAGCTTCTGATTGGCTGCAGGAAGCTCCTGCAGCCAATCAGAAGCCGTAGAACCCCATCAGACATTTGGGTTCCAAAAGAACGTCCACAAACTGGAACACTCACTTCTGGGTTTGCAGCATTCGGGAGCCAAAATGTCAAAGTTCCAAGGCGTTCGGGATCCGAGATACACCTGTACATTCTAAGAATGAGATGAGTGCTGTGTTCTGGGCCGAGCTGCACTTCCTGGAACAGGTTTGTAGTCTTGGGATGTTCTGGATTCAAACCTGTCACTGGAGTCCCTAGACCAGGGTTTCTAAACAGTCTCTAGCTGTTTTTGGACTACAGTTTCCATCATTCCTGACCACTGGGCCTGCTAGCTTGGGGAGTTCCTATGGCATCTCCCAGCCAGGCACTGAGCAAGGCAATACCTGCATCAAATCACATGCCCTGTTCGACCCTAAAAACTGCAGAACGGGGAATAACTTAGTTGCCCTGAACATATCATGTCCTATGTAATTTTCTCCTCCTTGGTTAAATAGCCTGAGAGAGGCTGGATAAAGCAGGCAGCTGGACTGGGGAGACTCCCTTTGATCCTAGCCAGGTTGCATTGTTAGCTCAGGCTCTGGGTTAACAAGGGATTCAGATTTTTACCTTGGGCCACTGGAAACATTAACCACCCTGATTGCTTTGTGGTAATAAGCAGGCTCTTGGAACATGAACAAATCTGAGCAAAAAAGGTAAAGAAATAGGTATCTCTGAAAACTGCTTTTTTGAAGAAAAAAGTGAAATAAAAAATTGGCATCTAGAGCACAGCTATTAACTGGGCAGATGAGAGCATTGCATTCCCATCCTTGCACAGCATCATATAACCACCACCACCCCGCCCCCCAAAAAACAAAACAGGACAATTGGAAACTAGTTAAGTGATCAGAATTTCATGTCGACAACACCTGCACAGCATGATAACGGAGGCAATCAGACAAAGACGGACTCCAAAGAAAGATCAGAACTGAGCTACAAGGCATTTAAGTGGGAAGACTGTCGAACAATGGTTAGCGTGGAAACTTCCAAGTTAAGAGCACATTAATAAAATGGAGAGGATACAGCAAACAAAGGGCACCATTATCTAGCAACTGTATAGTTGCAGACTAGTACTTTCTGGCTAGGTTCACAGAAGCAAATGAGCATTATGTGCCTATGACAGACTTAGAAAGCAATCCAATATGCACGTCCAGGTTTTATGCAGATTCAAAAGCTACTGCCTGAACTCTGAGGCTGGTGCCGAGTACGATCTTACAAAGCACTTCATTGCAACAATCCGATGGACCTGGTGACGTTGCTACAAAATGATATGCACTTTGCAACCTCCCAAAATAGGATGGCAGGGAATGATGAAACGTTATCTTTCATCTTGCTACAGGTAGGTAGCCGTGCTGATCTGCTGTAGTCGAAACAAAATAAAATAAATAAAACAAAATAAAATAATAATAAAATTCCTTCCAGTAGCACCTTAGAGACCAACTAGGTTAGTTATTCGTATGAGCTTTCATGTGCATGCCAAGAAAAAAATTAAGAGGATCTTACACATATACATCCCACATGCTTTTAATAGGCCTATGAAAACTGCAATGATGGTACCCTACCAAAGGTACCTGACTATGTTTTTGGGGATCACCAGTGGACCCCCATCACGTAATTTCGTTACCAAGTTTTGCTTGGCTGGCTAGCACGGGAGTCAGAGACCGAATATTGAATTAGCAGTGCAATCCTACATCTCTCTACTTGGTCAAGAGTAAGTCCCATATAGGCTATAGTAAGTGCAATATAGGATTATAGCCTCAGCCAGAGTGGTCCAACATGCATCCTGAGGGCCGCATATGGCCCTCAATGCCTTTTTTGGTGACCCTTGGCAACATTTGACACTTTGGCCCCTTCAGCCCGTACCCTGTTAAGCCTAGTTAGCGAGGTGCTGGGCTTTGGGAAGGAAGCGTGAGGGCTCTGACAGGGCCCTAGAGCCTTTATCCTCTTTCCCAAAGCCTAGTTAGTGCTTTTCCAGCTATGGGAAGAAAGTAGGTCTCTAGGACCCTGGCCAGAGCCTCCCACCTCCTTCCCAAACCCCAGTAACTCACTTATCTGGCTCTGGCCTGGCTCTCTCCCCCATGACAAGGCAGTGTGCAGCACACAGGTTCCATGTCAAAGTACTCTTGCAGCCCACTTGGTATGAAAAGTTGGACCATGAACCTTTTGCCTGGCCTAGCAAGTCAATTAGCAACTTAAGGCAAATACAGACAAGAAAGTGGAAGGACTGTGGTTTTAATGCTCTGTCTGCAAAGTGTCAGAACTTTGCACAACATCTTCACAGGGAGTCAGATCTAAGTTTTCCTGACTCCAGTCGCAGACACACTGCAGAGAACAGATAAACTCTCTAGCTGTAATGCCACCAGTTTAATCAATTATACCGGCCTTAAAAAGCACAGTCATCATGAGGCTGAAGTGTATGTTACAGCGGAATTACTGGGGATAACAGGAACTGAAAGAAGGAAGACATCTCAACTGGAATGCAATGCAATGCTGAATTACTGGCAAATTCTTTACTTAGTGCTGCTTCACCAATTTTGTGAAATATTTAGGGGAAATTATTATCTCTTGGGGATGTCTGAAAGTTCCTTCTGTTGAAACCGAGCACCAATTTCTAAGGGTTAAAAAAGAAAAAAATGTACTATGGAACCAGATCATGATTAAAACTGAGATTCTCATGCAAAGAGAACCCAAGTTTGTGCCGCATAATTTCTCTGATACGTTGCTGTGTAAGCCTCATGAGACATGATGTGAGCCACAGGGAAAGAACTCACCTGTGAAAGGGCACCGTGCGCCTGCTGTCCTGTTTAAACATGCTTTTCCTATATGGAGGGCTACACTCGGGCGTTAGTATGCCAATGGCGTATCTAATGAAATGCAGAAACGAAATGCCGCTTGAATATGACCAGCACATATAATAGGCATATTTAAAAAGAGATGTAAGCCACACAGAACTCTTACATTTACCTGTAAGTGCATCCAGTTGGATCACAGGCCACAAAAGCTTATGCCATGATAAACGTGTTGTTCTTTAAAAGTGCCACAAGACTCTTTGATGGATTCTGCTGCAAGTGACTCATGTGGGTACCGCCTTGGAAATTGCTTTTCCTGCAGCTCACATCATCTCTAAATCAAGCTATGGTCATGGTAGGGCAGTCTTGTATTTTCAAACTACTGTACTTCTGCTCCAGTCAATCTCTGCATCACCATGTTCAACCCAACAATCCTTAAGGCAGGGACATCTCTGGACAACGCATGGAGTTACTATTCACTGTCTTGCTCTACTGAGACGAGGATTGAGGGACAGCTATCGAGCTATTGCTCTTGGAAAAGAGAGTGAAACTGGAATAATTTGGAGCCAAAGCACATAGTTACGCTGACCACAGGGGCACTGGCAATAATGAGTTCTGAGAAGTGTGATTAGAGGCACCTCAATATAGTTAACTGAGACTAGGCATTCTGATTGTATTACGCCATTAGCTGCAATGGCTGCCAGTCTGCATGTGGGCCCAATTTAAAGTGCTCATCTTGACCTTTAAATCCCTTAAAGCAGGCATGTCAAACAGGTAGATCGTGATCTACTGGTAGATCACTGGACGTCTGTGGTAGACCAGTGGTAAATCACTGGCTCCCCCCAAAGAAGTTCAGCAACTTTGGCTCCCCTAAAAAAAGTTCAACATTTTTGCCCTGCGCCCCCCAAAAATGTGGCTTTCCTCCTCCCTAAAAGAAGTTCAACAGCTTTGACCTCAACCCCCCAAAAGGGGGTAGATCATTGCCAGTTTTTAACTCTATGAGTAGATCACAATTTCTTGGGAGTTGGCCACCCCTGCCTTAAAGCTTTGCCTGAAAGATCACCTACTTTCAAGTTGACCTGCCCGAACCTTATGAGATTCTGTCCCATGCGTTCCTGCAAACTGAAGTGAAGAGAGTGTCCATTAGGAAGAGGGTCTTCTCTGTGGGAGATTTGCAGTCAAACCTAACAATGCTAGTTAGCATTTGAAGGGGTTAAGGACCACTGAGTTCTAAATTAGTAGAGTGGGCTCAGTGATGTCACATCCGCTCTTCTCCAAAGAGGAAGCAGGGCTTGTTTCCTGTTCCTTACTCTCTCACACACTGCATGGGATGGAGGCAGACGTGCCTTAACTTAGCTCTCTGTGGCTGCCTTGCTGTTGTTATCTAAGAGCATTTACTTGCAGTTTATCATTGCTACTGTCGCTGTCCCCATAGCCAACAGGGTCATCTCACTATGCTGGCACCCTAGCTGCAAGCACTCTAGCTGGGTTGGTTCTTCAGCAGGCCAGGCATCCCAGTCAGTGACAGGCCCTGTTGCTTGTAACTGAGCTTCAGCAGATATCCAAGGAGGCCAACCAAGAACTGAATGGTGCTCAGAAACAGCCAGACTGGTGTACAGTGGTACCTCTAGTTACGAACTTAATTCGTTCCTGAGGTCCGTTCTTAACCTGAAACTGTTCTTAACTAGAGGTGTGCTTTTGCTAATGGGGCCTCTTGCTGCCACTGTGCTCCTGGCACACAATTTCCGTTCTCATCCTGGGGCAAAGTTCTCAACTCGAGGTAACTCTTCCAGGTTAGTGGAGTTTGTAACCTGAGGCGTTTGTAACTCGAGGTACCACTGTAGTGGCTAGAGTGCTGGACTAGGACCTGGGAGACCAGGGTTCAAATCCTCATTTGGTCATGAAGCTCACTGGGTGACCTTTGGCCAGTCACAACCTCTCAAGCTAACCTACCTCACAGGGCTGTAATGAGAATAAAATGGAGAGGAGGAGGAAAATCATGTACACCACACCATGAAAGTTGGGGTAGAAATGTAGTAGAAACGTAGTAGTAGCAATAACAATACAGTGGACGCTTGGGTTGTGAATGTGATCCATGCGGGATGCGCATTCGCAACCCACAGCAGCGCGTCTGCACACGCGCAGGTTGCGAGTCAGCGCTTCTGCGCATGTGCGACCGCCAAAACCCAGAAGTAACCCGTTCCGGTACTTCTGGGTTTCAGCAGGTGCGTAACCCAAAAAAACGCAACCTGAAGTGGCTGTAACCCGAGGTATGACTGTAATTAGTAGCAGGTGTAGTAGATAGAGAGGAACAAATGGAGCAACACAGAAAAAATGATGGCTCTGACGATGCTCCACTGAATTTGCAAATTCATTCATATGATACCGGACAGCTTACAACAAAAAATTGAAAACGGAAGATCTAATAATGGTTTTAAAATGACAAAAGTAAAAAAAAGGGCAGTCAGAATCTCCACACACAACAAGTACATGGTGTTTTACGAAGAAGAGGCAATGTAAAAGTCCCTCAAGCGTTCCAAACTGACGAATGATACAGAGGAGTGACTCTGTAGCTCAAGTCAGGATGGGCATGCAAAACAACATTCCCTGTTTACTCAAGGCCTTCCGCCCACCCTGCAGCCTTCGAGTTGTGCCCAGCCCGATGAACTGGTTTTAACCCCATTAGCCATGTACAGCCTCTACAGCTGCTCTATTCATGCAACCTGAAGCCTATTTATTTTCCAGAACCTTTAGATTTATTAGCTAGTTCAACCTGCAAATTGTTCATAGCCGGAGGGGAGATGTAAAAACATCGGAGATAACAGGGAAACTGCTGTACGTCGACTTAGAAAAATTCCTCTGACTTACAAAGGCTCCAACTTTGTGGGGAGGTTTTAGTGAGCAAAATAAGAGGATTAAAAAATATATATCACGCAATTTTAGGTGGCCAAATTCACATTTCTGTGGTTGCATCTGTAAAATAGGTTTGGGGAGCCAGGTGTAGGGATTAGCTTCTCTGGTGACAAGGAGCAGATGTAGCAACAGAGAGGATAAGGCATTTGCTCTCCTCTCCAAAGGGAGAAATACAGTAACAACTTTCACTGGGGTGATTGTCTGAAATTGTTGCAAGCTCTAAGCACCTGCTGGATCAGGCCAATGGCCCATCTAGTCCAGTATCCTGTTCTCACAGTGGCCAAACAGATGTCTGTGGGAAGGTTGCAGGAAGGACCTGAGCGCAACAGCACTCTCCCCACTTCTGATTCCCAGAAACTGGCGTTCAGAGGCATACAACAAAACAACACCACCACAAACTGGCTTATAAGCATAAAACCAAATTTACTAGAATAATAGCTAGAATAGAGATAGACTTGTAACTATTTAAACAACAAACATACTAAGGTGCCATGTGCAAGACAAAGCCTGGAGATACTGTAAACATGGATAAATGTACACCTGTATCTTAACAAGTTACATGTGCAGTAAACATTATACAGACTGGATAAATGAACCGTTCAACAAGCAGCGTAAGTCCAATCACAAAACGGCAACCCCGTGCCACCACAATGGCAAAGGTAGCATATTTTCTTTATCCTGAGCAAACCGTTTTGTATGACTGGCTTTTCGGACTGATGAAGTGTGTAGCGAAACCTGTAATATATCCAGAGAACAGGTCTCCTTTTGCCCACTTGCGTTATTCTCACCAGGGTGGTGGCTTTGATTTGCCTTCCCGTGATTGATCTATCCATACGGCTTTGTGCTTCCAACTCAAGACCCATTGAAGAACATCTCATCCAGTTCAATCTTTGAAAAACATTTTCATATTCTCCAGTGTGCTGCCCTTGCCATTGTGGCGGCACGGGGTTGCCATTCTGTGATTGGACTTACGCTACTTGTTGAACGGTTCATTTATCCAGTCTGTATAACGTTTACTGCACATGTAACTTGTTAAGATACAGTTGTAGATTTATCTCCTCCATGTTTACAGTATCTCCAGGCTTTGTCTTGCACATGGCACCTTAGTATGTTTGTTGTTTGAATGGTTACAAGTCTATCTCTATTCTAGCTATTATTCTAGTAAATTTGGTTTTATACTTATAAGCCAGTTTGTGGTGGTGTTGTTTTGTTGCATTATTATTATATTCACCACATTTGATACTTTGTGTATATACTATACTGTTCAGAGGCATACTCCATCTCCTCTTCTCAAAGCACAGGCCTCTGAAGGTGAGAGACAAGAGAGAAAGCATTGTCACATGACATTGAAAGCTTGCCCTATACTGAACCATGTGCAGAGGAGGGTGACTAAGATGATTAAGGGTCTGGAAACCCAGACTTAGGAGGAACCGTTGAGGAAGCTGGGCATGTTTAGCCTGGAGAAGAGGAGACAGGGAGGAGATATAATAGCCATCTCCAAACATTTGAAGGAAGGGCTGTCACGCGGAAGACTTGTTTCTGCTGCTCCTGAGGGTAGGACCCAAACCAGTGGATTCAAACTAAAAGGCAGGCAATTCCGACTAAACATGAGGAATAACTTTCTGACGGCAAGAGCTCTTTAACAGTGGAACAGACTACCTCGGAAGGTGGTGAACTCTCTCTCATTGGAGGTATTTAAACAGAGTTGGGATGGCCATCTGTCAGACACTGTTTAGCTGTGAATCCTGCATTGCAGGGAGAGGGACTAGATGACGCTCATGGGCCCATTCCAACTCCACAATTCTACGATTCTAAACAAACCATTGATCTCTTGGTTCCGCAGCTGGATATTCCAGTTCCACAATCTGGCTGGTAGCAGTGCTCCAAAGCTGATGAGGCCTTTCCCAAGTCTGCTTTCTGAAATCCTTCACTAGAGAAGTCACACACGAAGCTTACACTCTACTACTAAGTTATCTCTACCACTAAGTGATGACCGATTAAAACTATAATGTTATCCTCTTCCAGAGGAGCAGTCATGTTAAGCTTTTGTAGCGAGAACGACAAAGAGTCCTGTGGCACACCAGCAGATTTATTGTGGCATAAGTTTTCACGGACTATTGTGTTATTTATTTATCTAGGCAATTTATAAACCGCTTGTTCAAAAATAAAATTATCCAAGCGGTGTAGAAGTCCAATGATAAAACATGAGTAAAATACACAGACCATGTTAAAAACAAATATAATTTTAAAACATCCTTTTAAAAGCACACCAAATATAAACTTAATAAAATGCTTGAAACAAATGTAATTAAATCATGTGTCTGGATTAGGCTTGCCAAAACAGAAGTTTTCAGTATGTGTTAAAAACGGTATAGTGAAGGTGCCTGCCTTCTAATATCACTAAGCAGGGAGTTCCAGAGTACAGGTGCTGCCACACTAATACTCGTTGCATACTATAGGCCACTTCATCCAATGAAGCTTATGCCACAATGAAGTTGTCAGGCATTAAGGTGTTGGCTCTGCTGTTACAAGCCAACTCCATTTGGCCTCCTCTGCCCTCCACTGTCATCTGGGGCACAGCCATTAGATTTCCTCAGTAGGAGAGATAGGAAGCAGAGCTCATTTCATCAGCTTTGCTGGAGCCGCAACTCCATCAGGCACCTATTGCCCCTGGACATTAAGAGGACAACTGTTTAGAAATCGGTGCCTGAGTTTTTCTATTTTCCTCTTCCCTCCCTGTCCCTTTTCCCTTGCGTGTTGTTGTTCTCAGATTATAAGTCTGCAGGTAGGGATTGTCTTGTTTTGGCTGAAGAACAGGGTACTAATATTCTAAATAATAATCATGTGAAGCAACTGTACTGCATATTAATTTAGAAATATTCCTACGTGAACACATAACTGCTTTCATGTTTTCAGCTACTCAGATTTGTTGCATTAAGACACACATGTTGGAAAAAGTTTTAAAAAAACACCCACTGGTTTTTTTACCACCATGACTAGGAACACAAAAGGATAATGAGTTTCAAGGAGTTACTGTTTTGAATTAAACAATATTGTATGTACACAATAAGGGCATTTTCATACAGAATATAATATGACACGTATGTACTGCACAGTCCTAAACGGAGTTAAGTGAGCCTAGGCCCACCAAAAGAATTTGGCTTTGGTGCGCCTAACTTTGCACAGATTGCAGCCTTACTTCGGAGCAAGTTCCATTGGCCAGAACTTTTATGTAAACAGACCTCTCTCTCTCTCTCTCTCTCTCTGTGTGTGTGTGTGTGTGTATGTGCATACCCTGTATCACTATATTAAGTAAACTAACATGAATTAGAGACAGGTCTCCTCTTCTGGGGAGTTTTCTATTCCTCATGACCATCATTCAAACATGCATACAAACAGCAGAGAGTGAAAGAACCCACCCCTTAAGTCAAAAAGCCTCTGAAGTCCTAAAGGAGAGCAAAAGGGGGGACAGGGACTATAGGACCAGCCCAAGACATTTTGCTGCCTGAGGGGAAGGCAAGATGGCCGTGCAATTTGATGCACAAAAGCCCACCAGAATGGAAGCGGAATCTTCAACATTCTCTGCATTGGAGAGCAGCCAGCAAACTCCTCTATCCTACAACACCTCACCACCACAACCACCAATTCCCTCAAAAGCACTTGCTGTCTGAGGCAAGTAACATCACTCTAGCTCAGGGCCAGACCATTTTGGCACCTGAGGTGAACCCCAAAATGGTGCAAGCGAAGGAAGAGCTACACCAGGAGCAAGCCGGGAAGGAAGATTAACATTGGAATCTGCTGTCCCTGTGGATCCTGTCATCTGAGGTGGTTGCCTTTCCTGGCCTCAGAACTACAGAATCGCAGAGCTGGAAGGGACCCCGAGGGTCATCTAGTCCAACCCCCTGCAATGCAAGAATCTCAACATGGCATGGGTGGGCAAGCCTTGCTCTTGCCTCAGGAAAGGGCCGGTCTTGGAAAGCATGATTTGAAAAAAGGGAACTGAAGAGCCTATAGGGGACTAGGGCGCATTTGAGGCAGGACGATCAGAGGGGAAGGATGAATGGGGGAAAACGCGCACGTGCAGTTAACAGCGCAGTCCTACCGAACTTAACGCGGAAGTAAGCTCCATTATGCTCAGTGGGGCTTACTCCCAGGTAAGCCTGCAAGGGACTGCGCTTTAAAAGAAAGGCTTATTCTGAAGCATTGAGATCTGCAGTTGGGAGAAAGTTGAAACCAAAACACACGCCTGCGCGGGGCGCGGGGGATTACGAGTTTTGCAGCGCGATCCAGAACGCGTCTACTCAGAAGTAAGTCCCGGCGCGTTTGGCAGGGCTCAGTTCCTAGCCTTTCCCTTTCCACCTTCCAGGGGAAAGTGTTGAAGTCAACTCGAGTGTTTCGTTCCTACGCCTCCACCGCCCGCTTCCCAGGAAGATGAGCAAAGACTCGCACGGAAGTTCGACGAGCAGAAGGCGCAGATCCCGACCCTCCGGCTCTCCCCACCGCCGCCCCCCTATCCTACCCAAGATCCCTGCCCTCCGAACCTGTCAGCCTGAGGAAGCCGCCGACGCTCTCGGGCAGCGGGAGGCGCTTCAGGTAGGCGGGCAGCTGCACTTTAATGATGCGAGCCAAGCTGTCCAACACCATGGCGCTGCAGGGCTGGGGCGGCGCGCGGTGCGCCGTCGAGGGCGAGCGAGCGAAGGAGAGGCGGGCTGCGCTGGGGCCGCTGCTGGGCTACCTGCCGCTCCCGCGGTTAACTTTGCATGCCCGCCTCGACTTTGCCCTCCTGCTGCTCCTCCTCCTCCGGCTGCTGCCGTCGCAAGTGGCCCCCTTCTCGCCGACGGAGCATGCGCGCACGCGGCTGTGCCGGCGACGAACCCAGCGCGGACCGGAAAAAGAGGGAGCGGGGAGGAGGAGGAGGAGATGGAGGGGGCTGGCTTGAGCCGGGTCTCTCCGGCGGCCTCGCTGCCCTCGAGGGGGCGGTGCGCTGGGCAGGCGCGCGGAGCCAGGGCGGAGCAGACGGGGCTCCCTCTCCGGCACCGCCTTGCAATACGATGCAAGCCCTGAATCCCGGAGGCAAAGGGGGATTCAATATTTGTTATGCAAGGAGTTGGGGCGTTGAAGGAAAAAGCCCCGCCCGGATCTGAAGAGGTTAGGGACGCCCTTGTCCGACGTTGCTGGTGCGCGGGCGGACGCAGGATTAGACTCTCCCACCGGGTGTCCAGAACTTCGAAACTGCAAATCGGTGACCTGGGAATACAAGCTGTAGCTTTTCAACACCAGGCGACCCTCCCCACGACACATGGGCGTAGCCAAAGGGGGGCAGGGAGGGGCAGCTGCCCCCCCAATCAATAAAAATACATAGCAAATTGAGGTTCGCTTCCCCCCCGTAACAAAAGGCCTGCACACACACCCCCCCACAACAAAAATCCTGGCTATGCCCGCGTTTCAAATAGTTTTAGCCCCCGTTTAAACAGAATCATAGCGCCGTGGAGTTGGAAGGGACAAAATAAATGGTGTTGCCAGTGTGACAATCCGTGGAAGCTGGTCCATTGGGGGCAAAGTGTTGGACTAGGACCTGGGAGGGCAGGGTTTGAAACCCCACTCAGCCAACTGCGAAGGTCACAGGTTGACCTTGGGTAAGTCAGAATCTCTCCGACTAGCCTACCTCACAGGGTTGTTGTGTGGATGAAATGGGGAAGAGGCAAGCCATGTCCTTCAGCTTGAGATTCTTGGAAGGTAAAGGTGGTATGTGATGATGATGATGATATATTGCTGTATTGTATTGCCGAAGGAGCGTCTCCACCCCCATCGTTCAGCCCCGTCACTGAGATCCAGCACCGAGGGCCTTCTGCCGGTTCCCTCATTGCGAGAAGTGAGGTTACAGGGAACCAGACAGAGGGCCTTCTCCGTAGTGGCGCCCGTCCTGTGGAACGCCCTCCCTTCAAATGTGAAGGAAATAAGCAGCTATCTTCTCTTTAAAAGACATCTGAAGGCAGCCCTGTTTAGGGAAGTTTTTAATATTTAATGCTGTGTTGTTTTTAACACTTGATTGGAAGCCACCCAGAGTGGCTGGGGAAACTCAGCCAGATGGGCGGGGTACAAATAATAAATTATTATTGTTATTGTTATTGTTACTGTTATTAACATTCAATTGGAAGCCGTCCAGAGTGGCTCAGCCAGATGGGCAGGGTATAAATAAACTATTATTATTATTATTATTATTATTATTATTATATCAGCTATGCTCTACCTCCTACAGTTGGAGGCAGACATGCCGCTAGATACCAGTTGCTGGAAACCACAGGAGGGAAGAGTGTTCTTGTGTTCAAATCCTGCACTGTGTGCACAGGTTGCTGAACTACATGGACCGCTGGCCTGATCCAGCAGGCTCTTCTTGTGTTCTTAACCTCATTCTGCCTTCAGCTATCCAGCCCACACCAGCCTGCCTTTGTTCTTACAAGCAGTCTTGGTGGCGGCTGCACTGCCTGTCAGCTTCCTCCTCTTCTTTTTCAGTGTTGCCTTTGTAGAACTCAGCAGGGAAGAGGAGGAAGACAAAACTGGAATTTGTTGGCTGTGTGTGTCATTCTTGTGGGATATTGCAGCCAAAGATGCTAGTTAGTGCATGACCCAAGAACTCTGTTCCTAGAGTCAGTTAGGTCATGCCCCCTCACCTCCAGTGCGGGAGGAAGTGAAGCTTCTTCTCTTCCTTTCCTCACTCCCTCTTCACTCTATGTAACCAACCAGGTAGGATGTTTGAAACTATATTTCTGTATTTTGTACCCAAGGGTATTCTACCTGTGTTCTCCTTGCTGCTGCATGGAATAACGCATGAATGAGACCTTGGATTTTATAAGTAAAGCATTTTAAACTTGGTTAATGGTGTGTGGTATGTTCATTGCCGTAGGGGTAGAAAGAGGGGTAAGAGCTGTAAGCATACTAAATGGGATACGGAAAGGGGTCTAACAACCTATATTCCCACGCTATACCTCTGCTTAACTCAGTGACTATTTAGAACTTTGTTGGGCACTCCCCAAGTATGCAACCAATTATTTTCTTAATTACCCACATATGGGTCATGGATCTGATTTTCCTCCCACAGTTCTGTTAGTGGCTCTGGCTCCACATTAGACAACCTTCACCAGTTCCAATGCAGGTTGCATAGCAAACTATTAAAAATAGTTTTATAAGTTGTGTGTCTTTGTTTCTCAATTTGATCCCTTCACATAGTTTTGTATGTATTGTGATATTTTATGCATTGTGACTTGCAGTTATTTTTATTGATCATAGTTTTTAAATATTTATTGTAATTGTTAAGAGTGAATTTCTGTTTAATTATTATTTGCTGATGTTCTGAGAGTTAATTTTATTGTGTACTATTATATTCTAATAGATTATTGAATATGACTTTATTTGATATAAGTTGTTCCATTTTAAAGTTATGTTTTATTATGTCTTTCTGTGTTGGATCAGATTATTATTAGGTGCGTGTTCTTTGCTGTATATTTTGTTGCTGTAACCACCTTTTGTGTAGCAATATAGAAAGGTGGTAAACAAATCAAAAGTGAAATGAAAAAAAATGAAATGAAACACACACAAAAAGCTTCCCCCACTTTCTGTCCTTCAATATTTGCCATCTGAGGCACCTGCCTCACTATCTAACTCATGGTAGGGCCGGCCCTGATTGCTGCTTAACGTGTTTTGAGTTTCAACCTGGAATGCTATCCTCCAGTAGTTCAAGCAGATCCATTGTTACATGATAACACATTCCATTCATCATTGACTGTTACAGTACAAAACATATTAGGCAGAATACCTTTCAGAAAGATCAGCAGCTCCAAACACATCGGATACATTTCGAAAGATAAATCTATTTTTTTCACAGTGTCTCTGGATTTTTGCCTCCAGTTTCTTCAGGCAAGGACAGTGTATTGCAGAGTAAATGAATGATACACAGAGCAAGCAGAAAAGAGCTTCCAGGTTTGTGTAACAGAAATGAATGGTGCAGTTTAGGAACAGAAAGTGAGGCTCCCATTCACATCAATGCTATCCTGTGTCCATGCTTTCCATTTTCCCTTGTTTCTTGCCTCTTCTTAATTCTGCCCATGACTGAAAGCACTGGAAATGTATCTCTGAAGCTTCCGAATCTTGCTAAGCCGCCTTTGATCTGGGCTGCTTTTCTGCACAGCGACAGATGCACAGAACCTGCTGAGCAGAGCAGAAGACTTTTTATTGCTTTCCCATTCGCTACATAAACATCATTAGATGCCAGTGATGAAATCCTGGCCTTTATTGAACGAAAGGGATTGCTGAAGAAAGGAAACGAAAGAAAGTGAATGGATGGTTAGAGCAGAATTTTTTAAAATGAAACCCAAAGTGCAGGGGGCTGAGATATTGAGGAGAGATGCTATATTCCTGTTGTGTCACCATGACCCTTCTGAGACTTCTGAGTTACTTTAAGCCAATCCTTACTGCTGTCCTTATGTATTACAAACTTGGTATCATGCCAAGCCAGCAAGCCCTGACCCAAAGTCCTTGGAGGATGAACCAGAGACCCCACAGCTGGAGGAGCTCAGAAGAGGAGGTCGAGTCCCCTAGAATGAGTCCTGAAGATCCCATTGAGGAACCCTCTGGATGAAGAGCCCTTGGATATGTCAGAGGAGAATGGGGCAGAGAGGCCACCACCCCAGCCCTTGAGAACACTGGTGTCAAATAGTCCAGGTCCAAGCCGAAGACAGACAACAGCATGTGTCTATGTGTGCATCCTCTTGAGGGGACTTGATGTGCCATTGACCTGATTCCTCAGGCTCTTCTCATGTCATTGATCTCTAGCAGCAAAATATCTTGGGCTGGTCCACCCAGCCAAGTATCCTGTCTCTGATGACTACCAGGAACTCTGCAACAGTTCCTGAACTAACTCCCATTACTCAAGGCCTTTTTCACTCAGCTAGGAAAGTGTTTTTACCTGTTGTTTGGATGCTCATGCCAGATTTGTTAGTAAAGTGTTAGTAAAGAACTGCCAGCAGGTGGTGCGATTAGAGATATAACTTGCTACCCACCAGATGTAATGATGCATATCACGGCTTCCTTTTAAAACCACCACCATGAAAAGTAACCTTCAATCAACTGTAATGCTAAATTAAGGATATAATTTGAAAACATGAAGACATGTTTGGAGAACTTTCAAAGAATATAGATTTAAATCACAAACAAATACAAACAACCACCACCAGGTTTTGCTCTTTTCAGCATTTTCATCCAACTCTTATATCCTTTTTCGCCTCGTTCCTAAACAACACTTACCTGGAAATATGTCTCATTGGTTTTATTTCCTGCTAAGGGGCTGCAACCTTAAGCTTGGAAATCAAGGGCCCAATCCAACGGGTTGTTATGAATTGCTTCCCATGAGGCATCTCAAATTTACAGAGTAATAAAAAAAGTTTTAAATTTGTTTTATATGTATAAAATCAATGTTCTTCTGTGGAATGTGGTGCATTATGCCCCAAATGTTTTAGAGGAGGGGTGGCTGATCTGTAGCCCACATCTGCTTCCTCCAAGAGGGCTTTTGTGGCTCTTAAGAACTGAGCATTTGATTTAAAAAATAGTAATAAGTTATATATATATATGTACTGCTCCTATTGATACCCTGCCATGATGCCATAAAGCCATTTCCCTTTTTTCCATTCATTTTCCTTTTACTCACTGTTCCCATGCATGCCTATACAGATTGCTGTAGCTGTCAAGGCCCCTAAATGTGTCCCTTGAAAATATTATCATGTATCTATCTGACCACCTTATGTGTCCCTTGGTATGATTTCAAAGGATTTTTGTGACACCCCCACCGTCTTTTAATTAAAACAAAACAAAACTAGCTATGTCCACTTTCACACTTTGGTCACACCTTCTTTAATATGTGCCCCCCCCTCCCTGGAGGGTTGTCCAAGAGACAACCCAACCTTCAGCCCTAAAAAAGTTAGTCATTCGTGTATAGATTTTACAAAAACACCCGTACAGTTGTCTTTTTAAAAAAAAGATATTCAAGGAAATATAACTTGTGATTTAGTTTAAAAGGTAACTAACACTGGCAAGTCATCTTTATTATGTTTGTTCCCTATTATATCAAAGATGAATTGTTCACCTGTTTAAGTTGTTTTATTGTTTCTAGAGTTTGTAGGAATGGTTTTTATTATTTTTAGAACTTGTATTTTTTATCTTGTTTTACAGCAACTTCGATGGCTTCAGTATGTGAGGCAATTAATAATAATAATACCCCACCCATCTGGCTGGGTTTTCCCAGCCACTCTGGGCAGCTTCCAGCAGAATATAAAAACATAATAAAAATTGTGCCCTGAATTCTCAACCCCAGATAAATCTTGAAGTCCTGAACTCGGTATCAGGAAACCAAAGATAGTTCTTATTTTTTATTATTTAGAGATTTATACAGTAGGACCTCAGGTTACAGACGCTTCGGGTTACAGACACTTCAGGTTACAGACTCCGCTAACCCAGAAATAGTACCTCAGGTTAAGAACTTTGCTTCAGGATCAGAACAGAAATTGTGCGGCGGTGGCAGCGGGAGGCCCCATTAGCTAAAGTGGTGCTTCAGGTTAAGAGCAGTTTCAGGTTAAGAACAGACCTCCAGAACGAATTAAGTTCTTAACCTGAGGTACCACTGTATATAAAAAAAGAACCCCAGCTGTAGAGACTAATCCTATGGTCAAGGTGTAAGAGCTGATGTTGGGCCAGGATTTAACCATGATCTTACGTTCTGCAAGGAGCAAAGTCAAAGCTCAGTAGCAGTAAGGGAGAAAACAAAGAAGACCAAACATAGCAACAACACCCACGGAGTCCCTGGCAACTATACTACCAGTCACCAATCACAATGTCACTCTCCCACATATCAGCCGTGCCTGGAAGGCGCCAATCATTATGTGACAAAGGCGGAAAGATTGTGATGTGACACATCATGCAAACCTGCCCAAATCCTCCCCCAGATGCAATTCACAAGCGGGCTGTCAGGAGCATCCCACAGCATATTTACTATTACAGACTTCCGCAGCTCATTGGCTTGAATGTAGAGCCTACTGGTAACAGGCTTCCCCAGGATGTGAGTTTGATCATCAAACTGCACTGCTTGTATTGGAGCTTGTGAGACCCGAGAATTCATGGACAGGGAACCAGGGATGCTGCAAAAGTAAAGGCGCAACGGACAATCCTATTATGTGGCTGGTAGCTCAGTGGGAAACAAGAAGTGTTGATTTCATACCTGCTCATTTGTGGGAAGTGCAGCCTTCTACAGAACAGGCAAATTTCTCAGTTTCTGGGCCTGGGAAATGTCAGAGCAAGTAACAAATGAGGTATAAAAAGGAGCCTTCCTGGATGCCAAGGTCCAAGTTTGGGGCAAGTACTCTATGGTTAGATTTAAAATCACAAAATATGCAGCAAAGTGAAGCATGTGAACATACGCTATTAAGCCTTTAAAATATGACCTTGTGAGTTCCAAATCTTCCCTCTTCCCCAGCATAGGAAAAGGCCGCACATTTCACAAATTAAAAAATGGTTTACTGACATGCTTTTCAAAGGTCTGATTCATGTGCTTTTGCATACAGCATTGAGGGAAAAGTTGCATAGGCAGTAAAAGCTGGCTTAGTTACAGTGGTGAGAGTTCCTAAATTATTGGTATAGGAACTAAAGAGTGGCTTGTGAGAGCCATGCAGCTAAGCTGGAACAACCAGCTTAGCCTCTTCACATGCTCAGCTTCTGGGGTATACTGAAGGGGAACAAATGCTTGATTACCTAGTCCAGTGGTGGCCAAACTCGGCCCTCCAGCTGTTTTGGGACTACATTTCCCATCATCCCTGACGACTGGTCCTGTTAGCTAGGGATGATGGGAGTTGTAGTCCCAAAACAGGTGGAGGGCTGAGTTTGGCCACCACTGACCTAGTCCCTATCAATGTGAGCTAAGCCTGTCAGGCAGGTTACTCTGTGGTTTTAACCCTTCGTGCATCAATTAGACTTAAGCACAATGGTTATATAAGGCTGGTTATCCCACAGGAACTGCCCACACATAGGACTTATGTCTTGGCAGGATTTGGCTTCAGCATATTGGCCCTCATCTATCCTATCACTGCATGGCGACAGTATATTAGGGTTTGCGCAGCCACACTTGATTCCTGATGTAAGAGAAATAAAACTCTGTATCATCAGCATAGTGATGACACAGTGCTCTAAATCCCCTAATTCCTGCTTCAAGTGGTTTCGTATAGCGGCAGCTTAGACCACAACTCTCAGGGAACCAACATATAGCCATGTAGTCACAATCTCTGAAACTGGGCCTGTAGATAGGAGCAGAACCACTGGCTCTGACTTGCAGGGCTGGTTGATGGTATCAAACGCCGCTAAGCGGAAGTCAAGTGGCAGGGCCACAATCCTTCTCTCAATAAGGTCCACTCATCAGAATAACCAAGGCTGAGTCAGCCCCCAACCAATGCCTGAACCCAGTGTGGAAGGGGCCAAATAATTTGTTTGCTCCAAGTGTGCTTGCAGTTGAGCCACTCTCAACCCTCTCAAACACAAGGTGATATATATATATCTGGGCCCAAGACGATCCCCCCCCACACCTCTTTTGAGATGAAAAGTTCCACGTCCTCATGCAGTGATGCATTCATCACACCCTAGACCCGCCTGATTGCAGCTAGCCTGAATTGACCTCAGCTAGCGAAGATTAGGAGGGCATGCGGTCAGCACAACTGCTACAAGCGCCTTGTCTGCACCCTCGGGGCTCGTAAGCTGAAACAGATCCCAGAAAGCAAGACTAGACAGTTCATCAGATGCATCATCAGGACTTTTCACAACTATGGCATCTCAGTTGTTGCAGAGGTGGCGGGAGTTTATCCTCCAACTGCCTAGCAAATCTGTCAGCTTCCGAGGGCTATAATAATCCCGTTCATTGGGCTAGATGTTAGTAAACCTCACATCACTTGGAATAACTCTGCTGTACACTAGTATTAGAGTGGATTGCATAAATAGATCATAAGTAAAATGCCTGACACAGCTGGAGAAAGTAAGACACATTCTCCTTTGAGGAGCTGCAGGTTGCTCATTTTGGAATACTGGCTGTTCTTTTAGAATTGTCATCTTCCCAGGCTTTTGACCCTCCCTTTCTTCTCAGATAGCAGGTACATTCTGTTCTCTACTGCTGTAGCTGGGCATAGAACTAAAACAGGCACAATTGATGAAAAATAGAAGTGTTGAAGAATGATAGTTTTATCAGAAGAACAGAGTAAAGGTGGCATCATGGGGATTCTGCTGCCGAAAGAACACTAAACAGCAAGGATACTGTCTGAGCAGCCTGAACGATCTAGTTTCATCAGTTAATGATATAACAAATTTTGGTGATGATGTAGGGAAATAGACAAGAAAAAGAAATTCTGGTGCATCAAAGATGCACCACATCACTATATATTGATATGTATCTTTACTAAATTTAGGACATTTTTCTCAAAAAAATAAAATAAATCTCTACTGCCACCAAGTTTAACAAAGATGTATGTACACCATTGACTTCAAATTCAATCAACAAAAGTTAAAATTCAAGTGTACGAAAACGTTCAGAGTTGGAAAAAAAGTCAGATTATGAAACAGTGACTAATTGGTGCAGATTCCTACACCTAACACATAGGGTAATTACATTAAGACGTGAGATAACCAAAATACGGCAAAGTGGCAAATTTGTTGCCAGGAGATTCATTAGACCCATTTTACCAAAAATGTATCAGAGGTTTGTTTTGTATCTTCAGAGTATCCCTTGTGATTACAGTATTAACCAAACTTCTATGCAATGTTGGTAGGTGGTAGTCAAGCACTAAAGAAAATGAACCACATTCCTGGAAGGTGACATGTGAAAAAATGAGGCTCTACATCATCACAAATCACAAGAGAAGAAGAGCTCCCTCAAGTACTTCATGAATGAATGTGACTACTTGATTCATATGGTGGGCATGTCCAGGGCATGTCCAGGCCTTGTGCATCATGTGGTGATAGCTGATGTGCATTAATCATGCCAGATGCAGAGCGATCTTAGACTGCCAACACAACTGTCGCTATTGACTTGCAATCATCTGCTATGACACTGCTGAATTATGATTAAAATTATAGTCTCTGGGTGTATCCTGTCATCTGCAGTCACTCATTCTATGCAGCACAACATAGCACAGTGTTTGAATAGTTAGCAGCTAACATTTAGATTGCTACCTTCAATGGATGTTCTTGGCTGCTAGCAGTGAGATTCTTGATTACAGGATGGTAAAGTATTTATTAAACACTCATATTAGCCACTGGGTGGAGATTACTCAGTATAGGAAGATTGTTTTATTGTGGCATCGCAATATTAAGTGCGGTATTTCCCCCCAACCTATTTTCATGTGGGCTAGAAAATTCCAGTGCTTCAAAAAATACTATGGCCAAGTGGTCTCGGATATTTACTCTGATATGTTTATTTAACTCATGTTGCCATTGTGAACATGCCGTTTCACTTTTCAAACAGATATGCGCCTATTTCCTGCAAATAAATGCTAACAAGTGTCCCTAGTACCTGATCCCTCTTCCACTCCACACAACTCTGATCTGAATTTGTATAATTTGCAGTAGAACCAAAACACATTTCAACTGGACATAGCACATGTTGGTTTGCGATGTTATAAGACAGTCACAGAGGGATCTTATACTCAGGTTATGGTGGCAGAGAGGAAATAGCTCTCCTACATCAATGGATGCCATATATGACACTACAAAGACATTCTGGGACAACGTTTTGCCAATGCAACCATTCCACCATGAAGATAAGGCAGTAGGATGGTGGGACAATACTGAGAGGAGGGTGGTGGAAGCACACCCAGGGCAGGTCCAAGACATTTTGGCACCTGAGGTGAATTACAAAATGGCATCCCCCTCTCCACCAGGGAAGAAGGGGAGAGTGAAAATCTACATCAGGAATAGGGGTGGGGTGACGGACTAAGATCTACATTGTGATCTGCTGCCTTTGTGGATCCTGCTGCCTCGCCTCACCTTGCCTCATGGGTGGGCCGGTCCTGCTTATGCGATATATTCCATACAACATGATACCATATCCATACCACAATCACATTCTCAGCAATGGTGCAAGTTCACAGCAGCCCTGGACCCCGTGTAAGGAATTTCCTCCCTTGATTTCAAGGGGGGGGGGTATATTAAAAATAGACACATCAACAGGACAACTCATAGGATGTAATGCAGCTCAGCACACAATCACAGCAAGCCACCACCTGTTTACAACCCCACAGGGAAATCATAACTTAAGTGATAAAGGCATGTGACATGGGGCTATGTTTATCTGGCCTCGGGTGGTACCCACTCGGTGAAATTCAAGACCTGTTTCCTGGCGGAGTTGAACCAGGTGAAAATGGTTCAGATATGCACCTGCCTGCAGAGTGACTGCACTGCTGTGGACTTGCCTCTTATGCCCACCAGGCTACTCCAGGGCTGGGGAGCTAGCCCAAGGGTGGATCCTGAGATGCCCTGATGCTGTCACTCAATCCAGGCTGACACAGGTATCTCCCTGCCCACGTCCCTCTCCCAAGCTGGTGTGCACAACTGTGCATGCAACAGTGCCCCCACCACTCTTGTTATGCCCTGCTGGACAGTTACCAGGGTTACAACTGCACCCTTAGAGCTTGTGAGGGATCTTCTGCACAAACAGCAGTGAGATCCTGTAGACACTGCTGACACTTCTCTGCCTATAACCCTAACAGGTACATCATACAGGGACGCCAGACACAAACAGCCAACAGCAACCACCACACTACTTCCACAGCTAGGAGTGCCAGGACAAAGCACACCACACAGGTAAGTTAAGTACTACTAACAATAATGTCCGTCTCCCATGCCTTCCTTCATCCTACCCCTTTCCCCACATGTGAATACTGTAACTTTTCTGAACTGTACTGTATTGTTATAATGCTTTTTGTCACTGACAGGTAGGGGGAGTACAGAGTGATGGAGCTGCCGTGGAAACAGATTTCCCACCTTTTGTTCAAACATGCACATTTATCCACAGCACTGAGCTCAGATGAAAACAGTTTTGCATGTTTGCAACAGATGCTAAAAATGCAGTGCTGGTTGGCAGCATTTGTCCTTTTCACCAAATTATGTGTTCTACAAAACACATTTCTACTGAGTAAGCCATACTGTTAAATGTGACCTGAAATTAACAGTAAAGTGTATCATCTGAACATGAGTCTTAGAAATGAGACAGAAGTGTTAATCTAGTCTCATGATTAGCCTCTTTAAATGAGACATGCAAACCACTTAAGCCTGAATATTTGCTTTGGAATCTGTTACATCTCACTAATTCTAATCTGGGCAAGTGTTGTTTTTCCCCTCTTACGTGTTTCAGTCCTTCCCACTCACACTGTCCGAAGTGGGAAACAATGGCTTAAAAATAATAATCTTAAAATAAGATAATGGAAATGATATTAGTACATCAATGTGGATCCTCATGCTTTCCATTGTCCTTTATTGTCCAGTATTGTTCCCAGAAAACAGGTATGCTGGCTGTTATGGATGTGTGAAGAAAGGAAATGACTCATACTTGTATCTTCCCACACGTACTAGACAATAACCAAAGCAAAATGTGTGTTTCTCTACACATGGAAATTGCACATCTCAGCATGGTGGGAAATTCATTTAGTTCCTCTGCAGGCATTACAAAAGACATGCATGGAACAGAAATCACAGGTCGCTTCCTCTTCTTGTAACTGAACATCAAAAACAATAGAATCGTAGAGTTCGAAATGGCCTTTTTGTTTGATGGAGGAAATCCAGGGCCAGCACTACCATTAGACAGAGTGAAGCAGCAGCCTTAGGTGGAAGATGCTGGGATGAGGTGCGGCCAGTTGTTGCACAACTTACTGCTGTCAGGTGTGACAGATGCTGTTCTGTCACCAGTGATTAAGGAAGATCAATTAATAATAATAATAATAATTTTATTATTTACACCCTGACCATCTGGCTGGGTTTTCCCAGCCACTCTGGGCAGTTTACAGTATATATACTAAAAGATACATTAAAGCATTAAAAACTTCCCGATACAGGGCTGCCTTCAGATGTCTTCTAAGTTTGTAGTTCTTTATCTCCTTGACATCTCAAGGGAGGGTGTTCCACCAGACCAATCGGTTTCAATACATTAAATGGTGGTTGTGAAGAAGCATATTGTGCCATCACCTAAGGCAGCTAAATGTCTTGGGCAGGCCCTGAGGAAATGCAAATGTGGTCAAGTCAGGGTCAGGTTTAAAACCTTTTAAGAAAAACAACTGAACTTAGTTTTTGGATCCTGCACTTGTCCTTCATTTTGGACAAATGAAGTTATGTCCCAGAAACTAGGCGACTGACTTGCGAGTAACAAAAAGGGCAGAACTGGGCTGTAAATGTGCTTAAAAGGTTACCATCCTGAGCTTGTGAGTTCTTTGCTTATTTTCTCCAAACGAGGAAAATGAAACTGGCTAAGTATAGTGGGACTCAGGCCCAAGTTCATGTGCTTAGGTCAGGGCTACAGAAACCATTTCCTGTTTTTAGAAGGCCGCCTTGATCCTGGCCAGGCTTCCTATCCTGAACACACAAGGAAGAAACGCGTCCCGGTGGGGTTTTCTCCCAAGTAAACGTGCTTGACGGTTCATCACCATCACCATTTATTATTACCCGCCCTTCGCCTTAAGGCTCTCGTTGAAGTGCTGCCCCTCATATTGCCCATACAGGATAACCGTTGTGGGTTTATTTATGTTTGGTGGTGGTTGGGGGGGGGGGCGAGCAAGAAAGAGAAGGCGAGATACCACAACCTCCTTCTCCTTCCCTCCCTGCCAGCTGTGCGGAGGGATACGTGGGGGCCTCGCTCTCTTGATAAAAAAAAAAAGATCCGGTCGCGACGGCCATTTGGCGAATGCGCGATCCCTAAAGTGGATATAAATAAATAAAGAGATAGCTAGAGAAATAAATAAATATTTATGGCTCGCGCTATATCCGGGATTCGAACTGCGGCACAGTCAAGCGCTGTACTGTAAGGGCCTATCGTGCTATCGACCCTTCTTGTTGAGCCGTGGGAGGGTATTTCACAAAAATATTTTTTTTAAAATTAAATAAAAAAGAGACTAGGATTCCAGCGCGCGCGCTTTTCATCGCCTCCTGACAGGAGCCGAACGCGAATCTTTTATATTATTATTGAGGGCCCCGGACACGCGCTTCTCATCTCGCGAGACGTCGACTCGCGACATTTCGTTTTTGCCCTTCTCGCTTAACTGTGGAGGAGGGGACGGAGAAACAAACACCCGGCAGCGCGCATGCGCCGAGCCTCACGGCTTTCGCTCTCCCTTTCCTCTTCTCCTCCCCCGCCCCCCGCACCGCCTGCCATTTTCCTCCCCGAATGCGCGCGCTGCCACCCTCCCTACGGCGGCAGTTAAGCGTTGCCGGCGTCATCCAATCGGGATCGCCCTAGGGGGCGTGGCCTCACGCGGCTTTTCGCCGTGAGCCCGGCTTCGCCCCCAGGAGGGAGGGCGGCGGCGGCGAAAGAGGGGGAGGAGGCGGGGCCTATATCTAGTCCCGCCCCTTTCCTTGGCCTCGCCATCGGCGGCGGTGGCGCCTGAGCTCCACTGTCGCTCTCCTCCCCACTCTCTTCCCGGCCAGGTCGCTCGCAGCACCTTCGGTTTCCTTCTGGCCTGACGGGGAATCCGCCGCAGCGAGAGGAGGAGGCGGCTCGGCCGGTGACGTCGCGGCTGGTGTTCGGTGCGGGCGGGCGCCCCCGGCTGTTTCCGGAGGAAGGAGAAGCGCAGGCAGCGAGTGAGCGAGAGGCTCCATCCCCCACCCGCAGGGAGGGAGTGCGGCAGCGGCGGCGCAGACAGGGCCCGGCGACGACGACGACGAGGCGGCGGCGGCGGCGTAGGAGGAGGAGGAGCAGCTAGAGCAACCCCCGGCCGCGGCGGCCACCACCACCACCACCACAGCGACACTCGCCCCCACAGCGCAGGAGAAAGGATGGCGCTGAAACGCATCAACAAGGTGAGCGGGGGGCGCCCAGGCGGGGTCTGCCGCGGCCGGCCTCCAGAAAGCCCTCAGCGGCGGGGACGGGTGGGACAGGCTGCGGGTGGTGGGAAACGGGTCTCCCGTCCCCGCCGCTCCCCTTCCCCGCCGGGCTCTGGCTCTTCCCCGAGGCCTCCGGGGGTCCGCGAGGGGCTCGACCCCGCTCGCTCCGTGTCAGCTTCGGCCCCTCGCTGCCTGGAAGCTCCGGACCGGGGAGGCATTGTCATGACAAAGCCCAATTTGCCCATCCGGCTTCGGGCGGAGAAAAGAAAAGGGGGCAGAAACGATTCCCTCTCAGTACCACCACCACCACCGTGTGTGTGTGTGTGTATATTTATTTGTGTGTGTGTGTGTGTGTGTCTACATCTGTGTGAAATCCGCCTCCCCGTCAGCCAGCTCCTCTGTTCTGGCCGGGAACTTCTTTCCCGCATTGTAAGATGGCGGCGGCGGCGGGTTTGCCTAGTTCAGGCGCTTCCCTGGGATCTCTTTCTCTCTCTCTCGCCAGCTTTCGGCAATAACATGACTGACACACGCACATCCACATTCTCGGCCGCTGCAGCTGCCGACCGAGCGTGTCCTCTTCGGAGTCCCCGTCTGCCCGCCCCCTCCCATTTTTCTTCGAATTTTTCCCTTTCTCTCGTCTATGGGGGGTGTTAAATGCGGAATACACGGCTTTTGCCTGCGCTCTTGACAAGGGGCGGAAGTATGTGGCGGCGGCTGTGTGATGCATCGAGAATTTCGTTCTTGCACAATCTAGAAGGAGGGTGGAGTAACGAGCTAATTTGAAACGAGTGTCGTGGTGGAGGAAGTCAGCCCGTATTCCGAGGGGAAGAAGGTTCGCTGGTGGTGGCAGCAGCAGCAGAGGGTGCGGCTTAGGTAACGTCGTCACCCGCCTGGTTTCACTGATGACGTTTTTGGGTTTCTTTTCTCTCTCTTTGCAAACCGACGGGGGGTCCGCTGTGAAGGAAGTCCTACAAACTCCTTGGGTCTTGGGATCGCGTTGGGAGAGGTTTTCTATCCTCCCCCCCCCCCCGTTGGTTATGAATTAAGAAGCTGAGCCATTTATATTAACAGTGTGAGGCTCCTTTTTTGCCAGCAGTGTATTTGCTGACGTCGTCGCTGCTACACAAAAGCACAGCCCCACATCTTGCCCTCTGCGCTCACTGTGTGTTTGGACAGAATTAGTATTAAATAAAATCTTAATAACAGCTTCTGGTAAGCTTGCTCTCGAACTTGTTTCCCCTGCAGTAGAGAATAACAACTCTTAAGGGAGTCGCCCAGCTTTAATTAGTTTTGTCAACAACATATAGAGGCAAAACGTTTAGCAGCCCGACTCTCAAGTGCTTATTAGTAATGTGTGTGTAAATGCCTTAGAATCCAAAGAATTAGACAGGAAGTGGACTCGCTAGAAAGTCCATGGCAAAATGGATATTGAATTTATGGTATTCTCTTACCTGTTTTTCTGAAGGCATGTTAAAGTATCACATTGAGTGGCAGGTTAGCTTTTGAAATTCAGGTTCTCTGGATAAGAATGCTCTCAGGAGCCAAAGTCTATACTCTAGAGTTGGGACACTGAGCACTTCAATAGAAATAACACTGATAATTTAACCTTGCCCAATGTTGGCTGAAATCAATGCACATGTACTGTTCTAGAACTCCTTATGAATCACTCATGAAAATTGATGTCCTTTTTCACCTAGTCCTCCTAGGGTGTGATTGAATAAATATGCATTTTGATTATTTGACATAACATCATGTTTATCATGTCATGTAACTACACAAAATTACCTAGACAAAACACAAGCTCGAGATAAGTATTGTAGACCAAGCAAAAAATGTTAATGATCTTAAAGGAGACCTTAAACTAGACGGTGGCCACTGAATTTACAGGTCTGTTCTAGCTTCAAGTAGTAACTTTGCATAACATTTTCAATTTTAATCTACCTAAAGGCCCCTTACGAGTCCTACAATTTGAAGTACACATTTTCTGCTGTTTTCCTTAACTGTTCTGGTGCAGCCATAATATGCAATGAAAGTATTGTAGGACAGCTTTCATATTTGCCTAAAGAGCCATGAATTCATGTAGACTTAAATTTAATTGGCATATCTTCATCTTGAACTACAATATCTTTTGCCAAGATGCTTGTTTACTCATTCATTGCTAGCTTTATATGTTTATTAAATGGATTCAATTCTAGAGGCAAGCTACACATTGGTAGGCTAAGGCTTTATAAAATTTACTAAATGTAAATCTACATCTTTAAGAAAATCCTTAAAACAACTCATTCTGTTTCAATTAATGCAACTATAAATATTGAAGCTTCAGTGTGGAAAGAGATTCGATTTTTTAAAAGCACTGTTCATGAAGTACATTTGGGAATTTGCTCATGTTCTTCTTAACCCAGTTTAAGGACTTGAGTTTGGCACGATTATGGGAGCTTTTTTATGCACTAGATTCCCCCCCCCCTTGTGTTGTTTGACCCCTCAAAAAGTTGTGTTGTGGAGGAAAATATTGTTTAAATAATCAGCCCTGTGGAATGAAAACCATTGAGGCCTTTTGTGTAATTTGAGTAAAACAGAACTAGCCAGTATCTTAAACCTAGTGGTGGTGGTGGTGCGCAGGATGCAGGGAGGATCCAGTGGCCTTCTAACATTTGATGGATTTCAACTTGCATAATCCCTCACCATTGGTGATACTGGTTGGGGTTGATGGTATTTGGATTCTAACATGGTGGGCCATAGCTTCCGCACATTCATGATAAATGTCTATCGTTAACTGGTTCTTAAATTACCAGCTGACTACCGTGCCTCCAATTCCCGCTTCCTTTAACATTGCTAAAAGTTCCTTGACAATTCCATTTTGTGTAACCCTCCTTCAGAGGAGCTCAAGGTAGTGTAGGTGGTTCTTTCTCTTCTGTTCCCCATCCTCCCAGCAGCCCCTTTTTTGTAGTTTAGGTTACCAAAATTAGTCAAGGAAATAAGCACATATCTGACTTTTAGGAGACATCTGAAGGCAGCCCTGTACAGGTAGGTTTTTAATGTTTGAGGGTTTTTTTTGTCTTTTAATATTTTGTTGGAAGCCGCCCAGAGTGGCTGGGGCAATCCAGTCAGATGGGCGGCATATAAATAATAAAAATTAAATTATTATTATTGAGAGGGAGTGACTGCCCAAGGTCATTCAGTGAACTTTTATGTATGAGTGGAGATTTGTACCTCTATGGATGGAGCACAGTATACAAATCTAATTGATTAATAATAACCTGGTTTCCCCAGTTATACACCAGTGGTCTAGAGGCTACACCATGCAATGTTTAGCCAATTCTGTCTGTTCTTGATAATTAAACATTTCTTACTATTTATTTTTCCCATTACCACCTTTTATTTGCTTCCATTCCCTTGAATTTTAATTCTGTAATTTATCAGTTGCAGGACTTTTACATATGTAGATCATTCACATTTTCATTCCCTTAATGACTGATGCAGAAATGCTTTTTCTTGCTTTTGTAGTTGGAGACACTTAAAATATATATCCCAGTGAGATTTTTGTTTTTGTTCCTGTGGGATATCTGTTTTTAAAATATCCCAAGGTCTGGAACTTTAGTAGCCATGGATATTCAGCAAGATGGTATGGACTGACATTATTAATATTTTGTTCCGATAAATGTCGTTTCTGAATAGCATATGCAGGTTACGGTGGAGGGGGTTAGTCCACATTTAAGTGTGTGTTATAAGTGGTGGGATGAAGTCTAGATCTTGTTCTGACTATTCTTCCTGTAAATTGGTTAAATCATGGAGGGAGAAAACAAAATTTGAAGCTTAGTAGCATTCATATATTTATCATACTCATGTTTTTTTTTTTTACAATGGATTTGAACAGCAAAAGGTGGCAATTATTTGGTAGAATGTTGTTTCGTTAAGGCCACTATTAGTCATTTGAGACGATCTGAATTTTTACTCTCTAATAAATAAGTGTTAAGATCAGTGTGTGCTTAATTGGCAATTGTTACGCTGCATTCAGTTGTCTTCATTCTTTGTCTTACTTTACCATCTGCTTTTCTGTCAACATTGCATGATGCTAGGTTTACTTTTTTTCCCTTTGTCTTCAGGTACAGCCACCCAAAAATGTCACAAAAACATACTCGGCCATTTTGGCAATTGTTTAACTGCCTTATTTCTTCTATCTTGCATGATACTAATTTCCAGTGATGTTAAGACTTAGGGGTTGCCTACACAAATGGTACAAAATGCCTGGCAGTTGATCAAATTAGTCTTCAGTTGGTTATTGCATGTTTGAATGCATGCCTTACATCAAATCACTCTGCTGATGGTATTGGGAAAAGTCTTTTAGCCTACATTTCTTGGAGTATTTTCTTGTTTGGTGACGCCCCTGTGAATACTGCCTAATCAGACATGCAGTCCTTCACCTGCAGTGTGAGATGGCACAAGTTAATTTGTATGCGTTTATACCTTTAACAAAAGGGACGTGGGTGGTGCTGTGGGTTAAACCACAGAGCCTAGGACTTGCCGATCAGGAGGTCGGTGGTTCGAACCCCCGCGACGGGGTGAGCTCCCGTTGCTTGGTCCCTGCTCCTGCCAACCTAGCAGTTCGAAAGCACGTCAAAGTGCAAGTAGATCAATAGGTACCGCTGCGGCGGGAAGGTAAACGGCGTATCTGTGTGCTGCTGTTGTTCGCCAGAAGCGGCTTAGTCATGCTGGCCACATGACCCGGAAGCTGTACGCCGGCTCCCTTGGCCAGTAAAGCAAGATGAGCGCTGCAACCCCAGAGTCGGTCACGACTGGACCTAATGGTCAGGGGTACCTTTACCCTTTATACCTTTAATTCTTAAATTTCATGTCTGCTTAGTTTTGCTTCGATGTCTGGATGCCCGCAAACCTTAGCAAGGTCTTACTGCAGCTTATTGCTGCCTTAGTCATATCCTGTGGCGGGGTGGGGGGATAACATGCCCTTGAGGTGGGAGCACATAAACATTGATAATAATTGCTACCAATTTTTATGGAGCAATTGAGCTCCATAAATATGAGAAAAGCCCCAAACAAACTCTACTGTAGGGTTGTAATGACCTTTTGGCATGAGTTAACTAAATTAATCACTCATTAGAAACCCATTTAGTAGGAGACTCTGCAATTATTTATTGCTTTAGAAGTGGAATAGGTTATCTCACATATTTGGGTGAGTTTGCACAACACACTAAACCATAGTTAAAGACAAAGTATAATTTAATCTGAACACACAAAATTGTTGGTTTAATCCTGCTGCACCACTGGGAAACAAGCCATATTCTGTGCTTGTGGTTTGTTTCTCCAAATATACTATATACTGCTCATTATTTAGAGAGAAATTGTCATGAGCCTAGGTTCAGATGGCATTACAAGCTGCACTTTGGCTTATTTCCGGTTGTTGTTGGTGCAGCAGGAGAAATGAATTTAACTCTGGTTTAATGCAACATGTGAATGAGTCTACTATTGATGATGATAGCAGTTGTTCCCCTGTTCAGTTTTTTCTGTCTTTGCTGAGAGAAGTCAAATGCTTAGGCCTGATTGGAGAAAGATTATTCCAAATCAACTCTGGCGTCAATTCCTTCTGACACTGATTCTGCTTGGGTTCTTCTTGGCCAGCAGCAGCTGCTTCTTCAGACCTGAATGTCTGAAGACAAACAACTGAGCTGCCCTACTTCTTTGTCGGCACCCAGATTAGGATATAGAAGAGTAATGGCAAAGGGAGTTTGATTATCTTCCTGAATAGGCCTTATAGTGCTTCAGTTATTTTTACGTTGACCCTGCCTTGTTTTTTAGACATTACACTTTAGATACTATCATTGGCAGGTACCAAAGTGAGTCCACAGTGTATTTACAGCACTCTGAAAGTGTGGCTGCCAAAAGAAAGCCAAGACTTCAAGAAGAAGCAGTGGAGAAACATACACTATTTTTCGCTCCATAAGACGCACTTTTTCTTCCTAAAAAGTAAGGGGAAATGTCTGTGCGTCTTATGGAACGAATGTGTGGTCCCTGGAGCCAAATTGCCCAGGGGCAAAAAGCAGATTGTGCTCTTTTTTTCTTTTTTCTTTTTTTGAAAGAGGGAAGTGGGTGTTGAAACAGCTGCTGATCAGCAAGTGATTGGGAACGAGATAAGGGACGCTAGCAATAAAGGAGGCTGCCTGGGAGGGGGGAGGTAAAGACAGCAAACTTGCAAGGAGAGGAGACAGGGAGACTAAAGCAATGAGGAGAGAAATTAGAAGAAAAGGAGGAGCAAAACACTGCTCCAGCTAAGGAAAAGACACTAAGGTAAACGAGGGAAGGTAGTGTTGAAAGGAAGCATCTGATCGGGGAGGGAGATAATGGATGCTAGCGATAAAGGAGGCTGCCTGGGAGGGGGGGAGGTAAAAGCCCATGGATCCTCTGGATTTTTGCATTGGGTCATCCCAAATTCACCATCAGATCATATAGCATGTCCATGGCTACAGCCTGCACCAAAGAAAACACATACCCACTGTTGCCTGGGGCCGCAATGGCGCAAAAACGTGGTTACAAAGCACAGATCCACATGGATTCTCAGGATTTTTGCATTGGGCTACCCCAAACTCACCGTCAAATCACATGTCTGTGGCCACAGCATGAACCACAAAAATCATACATCCAGTTTCGTTCAGAATATTTTTTTTTCTTGTTCTCCTCTAAAAACTAGGTGCATCATATAGAGCGAAAAATGCGGTATTTACCAGTTCCTCTTGTCTCAAAAAGCACACTCATAGGCTTTGTATCTCCTCAGGTCATTCCATAGACTGAAGGAATGCCATGCATAGAAAGTGAATCACACACACACAGAGGGAGAGAGAATCTTAACATCATCATCATCATCATCATAATATAATTAATTTTATTTATATCCCACCCTCCCCAGCCATAACTGGGCTCAGGGAGGCTAACATCAAAATATAAACACATTAATACATAAAATTCAACATTTGACTGAAATATAGTTTAAAATCAGATTAAAATCAAATAAGATCACGCACCTCTGGTATCAAATATGGATGGTTTTGGAAAGGATTACATGTTTATTCAGTTCTTTCAGCAAGCATTCTTATGGAGGGGACCACACAAAAACTGTTCAGTCCCTGGGCCCCTCAAGAGTCTAACAAAGGACCTGGTCTTGGCTGTGTGGTACATTATAGTTTAAACCTGTGCACAATACTGATAGGTGTGCTTTATAGCCCTTTTAATTCTCTCAATATGCTTCATAGGTCCATAGTTTAGAACTAAGCGTTGCAAAATGTTCTCGGGGTGGCGCAGTGGGGATACGGACCACTATATGAACGTAGGAAAACGTCCTTGGGTTAAGTCAGACCATTGATCCATCTAGCTCGGTAAAGACTTGCAGTTTGATGGTGGCTCTCTAGAGTAGCCTTTCCCAACAAAATGCCCTCTAGGTGATATCCATCAGCTCTAGCCAGCATCACAAATGGTGAGGGCTGGTGGCAGTCACAGCCTGAAGCTTGAGGAGGGCACTATATCAGGGAAGGCTGCTTTAGGATTTTGCTATCTGCTTGCCTACACTCGTTTCTAAAAGCTTCCCAAGGCTTCTGCTTCTTCCTCAGTACTGTTAAAAAAATAGGTTTGTATTTTTTTTCCACTGGAATTTAAACCTGATAAGGGGCTGACGAATTTAGTTTGACCTTGGGTGCCACAAATTTGAGTTACCTGCCAGGAATCTGTGCCTTTTATGAATGGTTTGGTCATGTTTAGCACTAGGGTTGCTCAGGGAGCGGGGCGGGGAGAGCTGAAGATCATCAGTGTCATGCTGTACCTCTGAGTACTTGCGCCCTAAAGTAGAGAATGACATAAATTAGCCCCCAATTCCTCCCAGTTGGGAGGATGGCTGTGATAATCATAGTCCCTAAAGGAATTTTGAATATAGCACAGAAATGTGTGACTCTTGTCAGGAGATCTTGGAACAGGTTTAGTGCTAATAGTTAAATTTTCCATTTGCTATGAAATGATACAGAACCTAAAATGTTGGTGTTAATCTACTATACCAGCTTCAAACTATAGCTAAACTCGTACAAGGTTAATTTTGCGCAGTGTTTGGGTTGGAGGGCCTTGTATGCATAAGTAACAAATCTGTAACATTGAGTAAAATCTCTTTACTCAAAGAGAGCAGCATATGTAGAATAAAGTGTGTTCCTGATCTAGACTGCTGAACAAGGAAATGTGGTTGGAACACTTCAAGCTGCTTTTGACTGTGGGTTCTAATTTCAGATAATCATGTAGACATACATGCCTAAGCCTTAAATGCTTTGCTTTCTCAAGTAACTTTTGCAAGGCTTCAAAAGAACATTCAGTAGTATGACTTCAACACACTCCATTAAATCTTCTTTTATAAATGAGTGAATTTTTCTCCATTAACTGGCAAAACTTCCTACTTTACATTTGGTATTGTTTCCTGTAAGTTCCTTTCAACTAAGCTGCCTAGAAGAAACTAATTCCTTATTTCCTTTAAGTGGGTAAAATCCTATTGTGAAAGTTCTCAGTTTGAGGCCAGAAACATTTCCAAAACGTTCAACTTGATATCGCCTCCTCTAGTCTATAAGCGTGTAGAGATCCTTTTGTACAGATCACACACAGTACACCACCTGCTGCAAGGAAAGATGTTGGACCGGTGCCCCAGCATACCCTTTACAAAAGAGGACAGAATCGCTCTGATCATATGCAGGAAACAAGCAGCGACTCTCCTCCACCAATACAGTGTGACTCCTCTACAGCAGGACATTCATGCAACCTAGGTCATAGCCAGCTTCAAGATTCTATACCTCCAGGTGTGGTGTGCCCCACCATGAAGACCTGTCCTACAATTTGAGAACCACAGAATTACGAGATGGAATAAACTAATCCAGAGTCATCTAAAGAGGCAACAATCCTAGTGGCTCTTAAGGATAATTGAATGAGTAAATCTTTTGAGAGAGCAGTCATGTGGCCTCCAGTGAAACTAGTAAATAGTAACTAATGGAGTTATTTATACTGTTGTCAGTATTCACCAGTTACCTAACCTAATAGTAAAAGTTCTAAAAACACACTAGTCTGGCTTGGAACAAAGCTGTAACGATAAAATAGATTTTGATGATCAGTAATACGTGACCAATACCTCCTAGTGTGTTTCCAAACAAGTCACCTGGAGTATCTAAAAGAGTACTTACAGTTGCTTGGATTGATGGCAGAATATACATAACTTCTAAACCAAATTTGTATTAACCAATATCCATAAAACCAAATTGAGAGCCAGCAGTCCTAAATAGTGCAACTTTCTTTCAACAAACAAAACCACCTTTTCTCTCCTCAGGCGCAATCTTACAAAGCAAATTTAGAAACTCTGGCCAGTGTATTATATAGCAGCTCAGTACCATGTCTTTGCAAGAAGTTCCATGTTTTTCACATTTTCTTAAAAACCTATGTATGTGCTTTGGAAGTGATCCTGGTATTTGGTATGTGTGGGTGAAATACAGTGCTCTAGTTTTGCTGTTCACTACTCAAAAAAACGCTGAGGCAGAGTGCACACAGGTACTAGGTTCAGTATTTCCATTAAAAGGATCACTGATAGCAGGACTATGAATTCCACTACCAGGCCTAGATGGCTGGATTTCATATAAGACAGTTTTATATATATTCTGGACTTCCCTGTTGCTAATTGCTACTTGGAGGTTTAGTTAATGCAGACTCATCCAAGTCTAGTTTTTCCTGCTCCTAAGTTGTTTTGTAATGCAAGCAGCAGTAGATTTAGTTACCACTTGTTTCTTTCAATCTAGGCATAGCAAGAGACCATTTCTCCTTTCTTCCTCTGTCACTTGAGCAAAATCATCATGGGAAATGAACTAAACATAAGCAATCGGAAGCTCAGTTCATGTGCAAGCCATGCACCAAAGTTGTGAGTTCACTTAGTGGAATAGTGTCATCTAGAGGTAATTACAGTTGATATTATCTTAGGTTGTAATTATTCAAGGTAGAGAAAACTGCTGATCGCCAACGTTCTGCTATCATTATTGCTGTTGCAACTTCTGTAGCCTATGATCCAGTCTTTACAACTGTAAAGCGTAAGTACAAGGTGGTTGTACCATTTTTGTATTATAGAAAACAAGGTAGGAGGACTGAATTACTTGCAGCACTGGTTCTCAAACTGCGTGTGCCAGTCTCTTAAGCCAGGAATGCATCACAAAGTTTCTGGAAGGAATAAGATATTTATGGAGGTGGTCAGTGTCTCCTGTACTAGCTAAGGTTTGGATGGATTTAAGGCCCCCTGGCAGAGGAACTTCACTGGACCCCATTGGATTCTGTGGAGTGACTGAACCCTCATTGCTCCACTCTTCAAAGGGAAGCCAATAAATTGTTCTGTTTTGCCTGCACATAGTTTCTAGAGCAGAGATGGTGGGCTGGGGTCAGTTGTTTTTTTCTAATGCTAGTGTTAGGCTTAGTATCTCAGTCCAAAGATCTTGCAGGTAGCAGTAGTTTATATGGACACAGGTTATTTGTCTATCTGCCCACCTGTGGAACAAACAATTTGGGTTTGGAGGAGTGGGTCAGAAGATGGAGTAAGTATAGAAGGAGACCTCAAATTTTGAGAAACAGCGTCTGCAGGGTTTCAGAATGGCAAATCCTAAGTGAAGGGTTTTTTTCATTGATGGGAGGGAGGATCTTTCGGAAGCGATCGTACTGCTGACAGACGCATTCAAAATGTGTCTTGGAAAGCATCTTCTAGCCCAGGGGTCAGCAAACCTTTTTAGCAGGGGGCCGGTCCATTGTCCCTCAGACCTTGTGGGGGGCTGGACTATATATATATATATATTTTAAAAATGAACAAATTTCTATGCCCCACAAATAACTCAGACATACAAGCACACATTCTACTCTGATCCCCGGACCGTCCACGGGCCGGATTTAGAAGGCGATTGGGCCTTAGTTTGCCTACCCGTATTCTAGCCCTCCATAATGCAAGCACATGCTTTCTGGCATGATATTTTCATAAGGGAACGTGATTCACAGAGGCTTGAATAGGATTTAATGGAAGGAGCATGTTGACATACATAGTTCAAATGTCTTTGCCAGGGCTGACATTCTGGTTCGAAACATTATTAGAAATCTCAGTACTATGATGCTAGTGGTGTTCTCATGGAGGAGCCTGTGTCTAGGGCAGAAGTTGTAGCAATAGGACACCTGCCTTACGTTCTCCATGTTACTGAAGGCAGAATTGACTCAGTTGTTCACAAGCAAGACTGGAAGCAGGGGTTCTTAACTCCTGCCAATCAAAGTAGTGTGTTTCTTTTTCTACAGACAGTTTTTGGTGTTAACCACTGCTACTACCTAATAGCAAAGTGAGCCTCTTCAAAATGCCAAACAGTGATGTGAAATAGTAAAGCTAGGAATGGGAGGGGGGCATCTTAAAAAGCCATGCTATTAATGCAGCACAGTAATTGCTAATAACAGGTCGCTTATTCTCTAATTTGCTTGCCTACAGCACTTCATCGCCACCTGGTTGCTTTTTTAGCTCCTGTGTACATGTGCCCTTGGAAGTGGGTGCTTATCTAGGGGTGAAACATGGGGTTTAAGGCTGTGCCATGGAGGGTATACACACATGTGTCTTTACTTGAATATATTGCTGTTACACGTTAGGCAAGTGCTAAATTAAAGGCTGGTTTTTGTTATCAACATTGTGTTCCCTTTATGCTTTGAATTTTCACTTAATGGGGTATTTGTCATTAAATAATTTGTTGTTGGGGCATCCAGAAATGGGTTAACTCAGCCTTTTTCAACCTGTGGGTCCCCAGATGTTGTTGAACTACAACTCCCATTACCCCTAGCTAGCAAGACCAGAGCTCAGGGATGATGGGAGTTGTAGTCCAATAACATTGGGGACCCACAGGTTGAGAACCACTGGGTTAACTAGTCTAGATTAGGAGCATGTTTCTTTCCTGGTTAGATTAGCTTTCCTCAACTCTGTCAACAAGTACATTGGTAATAATATAAAGCGATAATAGAGCTTTCTTCAGAGCATATTTTGGTGCAGAATTCAGTAGCCAGATTGCTCACTGGAGCAAGACAGTTTGAGCATTATTCACTGATCCTTGCCCTACTGCACTGGCTACAGATTAGTTTCCAAGCCCACTTCAAAGTGCTGGCTTTGACCTATAAACCTATAAACCCATAAACGGCACAGGACCTCAATACCTCAAGGACTGCCTCTATATGAACCTACCTGGACCCTGCGATCATCAAATGAGGCCTTTCTTTTGTGTGCCTCCCCCCAAAAGGTCAGGAGGGTGCCAACACAAGAATGGGCCATTTCTGCAGTGGCTACCTGTTTGTGGAATGCTCTCCCCAGGGAGGTTTGGCTGCTGCATTCATTATACTGTGCATCTTTATGCACCATTAACATCATATACACTTTTAAATGGGGGGAGGGGGTTATTTGTTTGGGGTTTTTTTGTTTCTTCCTGTTTTTCTAATGTATATTGTGTTTTTATCTTATGTTGTGAACCGCCCTGAGATCTACAGTTGAAGGGTGGTATAGAAATATTATTATTAATAATTATTGAGACGTTATGCCAATTGGGATTTTCCTCTGGTATATGAAACCAGTGGACATTAAAGTAGTGCAAACCATTTTGACTTTCATTGGTAAAGAGTTCTGGAGAGTAAGATTGGTAGAACTAGTTTTAAAGGATATGTATCAGTCTATGGACTGGGCAGATGTTATAAGTTTTTCCTGCGTAAAACAAACTGTCCAGTAAATGGCAATCTGCAGGAAACCAATACCATGACTCAGATCCAATTTTGTGTGCCTTTCGGTGCTTCTTCTGTCCTTTAAAATTGGAAAAACTGCTTGCCTAAGAACTGCAAAGGCAGTTTGATATGTGAAGGCATGTCGCTCAACGTCATAAGAGTGTTTTGCTTGCTCTTGGGTTGGGTTGTACTGTGGTTTTTTTTTTGTAAGCTGCATTATATACGTATCAGGTGAGTGTAAATCTCATCTACGATTGGGAAATTGTTTCTCTCGGAAACTTTACAAAAGTTGTATTTCATCAGATGCATGTGATTAGCATATTGCAAATATCCTTTTCTTGAGCAAGGTCCTCAAGCTGGCGGTGACTCTTCTGAATGAGAATGATCTTTCCCTTTCAGTCTGGTTCTGACACACTTAGTTGCCCTGATGGATAACTGTGTTGGGATAATGAGAGTTGGAGTGAAACCCTGATAATTTTCCTGAACTGCATGTTGGCCTCTGATGCCATCGCCATCAGCCTTTCCAAAACAATACCTGTTACCTGGCTTCAGAGACGGCATGTTGTTGTAGTTCCTCTCCTAATTGCACGGCTAATTCCTGAAGGGTGTAATTTAATTCCTGAAGGTGTACTTTGATGTGAGGTGGTGGAAGTATTGAATCCACTGTCTGGTGATGGATGAGGGCCATCCACCCAGAGCTCAATCCTAACAAGATGATGGTGCTGTTGATAGGTGGCTTTTCTGCCTAGGCACAAACAACTTGGACACAGTTGCATTTTCTCCGAAGGACCAAATTTACAATTCAGGGGTGTTAACTATTCCAGCTTTGTCACTGGGGGATTGCCTCTGTGGTTTGTAGCACCTATCTTCATTGTGGGCTGGTGCACCAGCTAAATCCTGGACAGATTTGGCCTTGCCTTGGTAATTCATGCTCTGATAGCCTATTGCTTTGCACTATACATGAGATTTCTTTTGAAATCTGGAGATTTCAGTTGGCTCACAGTGTAGCTGCTTGACGTCTAACTAGGTCTTATCCTAGGGAGCATGCCATGTGCAACCCAAAATAGCTATGTTGGCTTGTAACCCATTTACAGTCTCAATTCAAAGTGCTGTTGCCTACCTTTTTGAAAAGCAGTTTATGGCCTGGAGTTTGGGTACTTAGAATCATAGAATCTTTGAGTTGGAAGGGAACCAAGGGTCATCTAGTCCAACCCCCTTCAATACAGGAATCTCAGGTAAAGCATCCAGACATAGTCTCAATGAGGTTTATGAACGTGACTAACTTAGGTCTATCTTTGCTTGCTCCCAAATGTAACTGGATGTGAATTGAGTTCTGTGACATAAGGTCCTTGTGAAGTGAGGCAGGTGGTGACTGGGGTGAGGGCCTTTTGGTTGTGGGTGTCCCCTTTGAAGCTATTCTTTCCAGCGAGGCTTGCCTAGTGATCACTCTGTCATTTTGTTAACAGGCAGAAAATGTAATTTTTTAAAAGGTGCCTCTGTTTTATTACAAGCAGCCCCAAGGGCATTGCTGAAGGGCACAATTAAGCATCCTGGTTTCCTGTATGTATGTATGTATGTATGTATGTATTTGCTTGCACACTAGGTCATGGGTTGGCTTAGCATGGCATGCAGATGGGAGCCAATATGTAAGCGAAAGACAGCTCCGCACAATGGATATTCCCTATCCCTATATCCTCCCATCCCAAAGCAAGCTCTCCAGAAGGTTGGCAGAGAACTAATGAACATGTTGTGCCCTGTTGTGTAGACCTGCGATAGGAGAGGGAAGTTGTGCAAAATGGGCAGAACAAATCAACTTTTATTTGAGAGCACTATTTGGGAGCATAGGGGACTGTAGGGAGGAGTAGGTGAAGGGATAGGTTGGTTGCATGAACTGCCTTCTGCTTGTGCAGTGTTGGAGATGACTCATAAAGGTGTAGGTAGGTTAATTTGTAACACATCCCTCAAAGTGTGCTAGTTCTTACTTTATTTCATGCACTTTTAATATACCTCTTGACTGTAAGAAAAAATGCACCCTCAAAGCGGTCTGGGGAAAAAAGAATAAAATGGGAAAAACAGCTATTTAAAGCATTCAAACAATAATAAAAAACAGTGGTAAGGTAAAAGCCGATTAAAACACATGTAAACATTCTACATCTCTGGGTAGGCTTGTCTAAACATGTTTTTAGCAGGTGCCAAAAAGACTACTGTGAAGGCTCTTGACTGATGTCATTAGGCAGGGAGTTCCACTTCTGCCACACTAAAAGATTGATTTCTCACAAATGTGGAATTAGTATTACGTGGCAACGATAACTTTACCAGTTCTACAGATCGAAGCTGTTAAGTGAGCATAAATGAGGTAAGGTGATCTTGCAGATAAACTGGTCCCAAGGTGTTAAGGCCTTTATATAATAATGTCACACCATGAACTTGGCCTGGTAGCAGATCTGCAACCAGTGCAGGTCTCTGGCAGCGTCTAACTCCTGTCAGCAGTTGTGCTGCAGCATTATGCACTAATTGCAGCTTCTGGATCAAGTGCAAGGGAAGCGCCACATAGAGTGCATTGTGATAATCCAGTCTTGAAGAAACCAATGCATGAACTACTGTGGCCAGGCTTTCCCAGTCCAGGAATGGCCATAGTTGTCATAGTAGTTTCAATGGCTGGAAGTGCCTTCAGTTACAAAGCTGGATCCAGAAGCAGCCCCAGATTGGGAACCTGCACATTCAAGTGGACTTAATTGCAATCTGCAACAAAGATACAGTAGTACCTTGGTTTACAACCATAATCCGTTCCAGAGGTCCATTTGTAAACCAAAACAGGTTGCAATCCAAGGCGTGCTTTCGCCAATGGGGCCTCAAAAATAAAAATAAAAAAAATTGTCCGTGATAAAAAAAAAAGGTTGCAAACCCAGGACACACACGTCCGGGTTTGACGTGTTTGTAATCCAAAACATATGCAAACCAAGGTACCACTGCACTGTGTTGTGAAGTCGTTATCTGTGGTCAGACTTTAATTCTGCTGTATGCCGTTTCTTTGAGTGGTTATGCTATGTTTCCTTCTGAGAAGGAAGCTAAATTATATTGCATGTCATGGGATGCTTCTGCACAGTAAATGCTTGCTTTACTCTGAAAACGTACAAACCTCTGAAAATGTAGCAAAATGGAGAATATTAAGGCAGTGACTTATTTCCTTCATTTCAAATACAGTTGTACCTCGGGTTAAGTACTTAATTCGTTCCGGAGGTCCGTTCTTAACCTGAAACTGTTTTTAACCTGAAGCACCACTTTAGCTAATGGGGCCTCCCGCTGCCGCCGCGCCACCGGAGCACAATTTCTGTTCTCATCCTGACGCAAAGTTCTTAACCCGGGGTACTATTTCTGGGTTAGTGGAGTCTGTAACCTGAAGCGTATGTAACTTGAGGTACCACTGTAGAGGTTGAAGTGCCCGTGTATGATAGAAGTTGATTGTGTGTTTCTACAACAAAGTGTTAGTGACTTGCTCCATTAATATAACATATTACTTTCTGTGGCAACAATTACAGTGCACAAATACAGTGAACACTCAAGGATTGTAGGTATATACATAAAAATGAATGTAAATACTTGAAAGTGCCATGCTAACTTGCTAGTGTGCGTTGGAAAAACTTAAGCTAGGAGAGCCAGTGTGGTGTAGTGGTTAAGAGCAGTAGTCTTGTAATCTGGGGAACCGGATTCACGTCTCCGCTCCTCCACATGCAGCTGCTGGGTGACCTTGGGCTAGTCACACTTCTTTGAAGTCTCTCAGCCTCACTCACTTCACAGAGTGTTTGTTGTGGGGGAGGAAGGGAAAGGAGATTGTTAGCCACTTTGAGACTCTTTAGGATAGCGATAAAGTGGGATATCAAATCCAAACTCCTCTTCTTCCTCCTCCTCCTCCTCCTCCTCCTCCTCCTCCTCCTCCTCCTTCTAAGCTAGGAGTAACTTCTGAAAGTTCATGTTGCAGTTAGTGAACCACGCTGTATTCTTGAAGTACAGTCATGAACTAAGATTGCTTAAAAGGCTTCCAAATAAAGGCTCAACTCCTTCTGAAGTTTAGTATAGATTGGATGAATACATGGGTAAAAGGGAAACTTGGCTAGGTGTCAGGAGGTTGTAACAACATCGCTAAAAATCTTGACTTTGTTCATCACATTCTTAACTGATGAAGGTTGGTAGCAATGCCTACCTGCAGCGTATTAATACTACCTTTGCTTTACACTGTGTATGTATCGAATGCAGCTACATGTCAAGGGATGCTTCCGCATCCCATTCTTTATGGCTTGCTTGCATGAAAGTACACTAACAAGCTATTCTTAGTAAGGAATGAGCTTTTTTGTCTTGCTTCCCTTGACTCATGAGTACCAAACAAGTTAGCTGTAAATGTTCACAACCTCTGAACCCTGCCTCCATTAATTCTTTAAGAGAACATGGTACCTGTTTTGTGTCACTCTGTAACAGTAATTTGGTATGGAATTAAATTTGAAATGGACAGAATATAAGATCCTCTTTCTATTACCTTTCGGGAGGGGCAGAAATGACCTCTATATAGGATGTTCTCTAAAGGTAATATTTCTTTTTATAGGAACTTAGTGACTTGGCTCGTGACCCACCAGCTCAGTGTTCTGCAGGCCCTGTTGGAGATGACAGTAAGTAACTGACAAACTAAGTTTAAACCTAATAAACCAATGTGACTTGCTCTATGTCTGTCTATATGCTCTTTTCCCTAAAGAAATACTGAATTTTTCTTTTTTCCCTCCTTCTTCTCAGTGTTTCATTGGCAAGCCACAATTATGGGCCCTGTAAGTATTTCAACTTTCTGAACGATGATTTAAAATAGAAATGTTTGAAACTCTAAGGCCACTCTCATATCTGTTTTGAAGGTGTATTAGTAGGGAGGTTATAGTACATTTTATTGGACCAACTAATTTTTCTCGGTACAGATATTTTTCTGCTTCTCTTGGGAGGCTAAGGAGGCTACCAGTATTTGTCCTGAAAGTAGAGAATCTTTGTAGACCTCTTCCTCAAATTGCACACAATAGAGATTTGTTTTATTAAAATATTTCTATACTACTGCTACCAGATCAGTCTTTGAATAGTTTACACTGTATCTTCAACCTTTTCAGACCCAGAGCCCATTTCTAATATAAACATGCATTTGTTTTCTTAAACTGTTACTTGCGTGGTGTCAGTGCATCTGTTCCAACCCACCTCAGATCAGTTAAAGACCAGTGCTTTATACAACTCAAAATACCAATAACAATATTTTAACATCAAAACTGCATAGTAAGCAAGCAGATAAAACAGGACTGTCAGCAAGATTTAAATTGCCTAAACGTAAATTTTAAGAATCAAAAAAGGTTTCATTTAGTGACTGAAAGGAGTGTTGTAATGCAAAAGACTGTTTCTCTAGTTACTTGTCAATAGACATGGAAGAATCTTCATGGGGATTTCCATATCTTATCTTTTTATAAGACCGTATTGCCATATGCAGTGCTTGGTTAAACTGAGCTCTGGTAGAAATCTGGTAAACATTTTGTTGCAGATGGTTTTGCTTATAGTTAAGCTAATATTTAATCTTTGAGCACAGCTTAATGGTACTGTGCTTTGCTATTCTGAACTCTCTATGGGTCCTGCTATAACTCGGCTCTGAATTTCCTTCTGACAGAATGACAGTCCATATCAAGGTGGTGTTTTCTTCCTGACAATTCACTTTCCTACAGACTACCCTTTCAAACCACCCAAGGTAAGCATAAATTTGGAAGAGTCTTTTGCTTCTAAAATATTGAACCTCTCTGGGCTTGTGAATTATATGCCACTGTGTAAGAAACAAGTATTTTTGTGGCTATATTTGCTTACAGTGCTTGTGTGATCTCTAATAGAAAAGCCTTGGCAGCTAGTTTTCCATTAAATAACTGGTTTGCATGCTAATCTTGCTCAGGTTTGGATTGAATTGCAGCTAATAGATGAATTGTGCTCAAAAGATTCCATAAATCATATAATTTCTGATTTAGTTCTAAAACTGTCTTTCATGCTTTTTTCTGGGGGGATGCAGGGGTACGCATACCCCTAAACATTTTGTGAATCTAAGTTTGACCTCATTGAGGGGGCAGTATTTCAATATGAGTAGGAAAGTGAGAGTACCCCTAAACATTTTTTAAAGAAAAAAAGCACTGGTTATATGTATGAATCTAAGTTGGATTCAAGTGATTATATGAAGTGTTTTGTTCAGAAATTATTGAAAGTGCCTTCAGTCTAGTTCCATAATGTTGACTGGTGATAATTTTAGTAAAACCAAATCATGAACCATACAACTAAATTTGTCTCCAAGGTAATTCAATTCTTTGTTCAAAACAGCAGTTCCATGTGTTGCACAGCAGACGTCTTACTAATGTTTCTGTAATTCTCTTGAATCTGTCAAGTACAGTATTACTGTTACCCCCAGACAGTGCTAGGCAATGATGTGAGTGGGATACTGCTGGCAAAAAAAGCTTGTCCTGTGAGTTTATGGAGAAAATTTATATAATTAACAAGAGTGCCCTGGCTTTCTGGGTGACCTGGAGCATATTTGGGGAGTGTGCAGAGGGCTGAGGTGGGGAGGAGTGGAAGGTGAAGTTCCATTATACAAGCAGAAACTCATTTTACTTTGCTTTAATTCACAAAAAATGCTCCAGATGAAAAATTGGGAAATGTCCTAATCTTTTTATCATAGTGGGCATACATTCACCGTATTTTCTAAGAAGTTGGCAAGATAAAATATGGAAGTAGCTGACTAGAATACTTTAGATGTGAATATATAAAATGGCATTTATTTCACTAATTTCTTGCTATAAATGTGCCCCCTCACATGCATAAACTCTGAATATTTACAATAATGCACACATAAACACCACGTAATTTGAACTTTGGTGTTTTTAGGTCAAGTACCACAGGTCACATCACATTTAGTGCTTATGTAGGTTTTAAAAAAATATTGATTGATCTTGTATAAATAAGTGAAAACAGTAAAATACTTGAGTGGGGAAAGAGTACCTAACATGTGAGCAATTCCCTCAATGGCATGTTTAAATAAATAGTGTGTACTCTAAATATTCTGACAACCAGCACCTTTAACCAGAACAAAAGGACATGTGTGCTAACTGCAAATTGATATACATTTCTTCTAGGTTGCATTTACAACAAGAATTTATCATCCAAATATTAACAGTAATGGCAGCATTTGTCTCGACATTCTAAGGTCACAGTGGTCTCCTGCTTTAACTATTTCTAAAGGTAAGGGAAGTATTTCACAAAAATGTTGTCATTGGGTTAATGAAGCCGCTTGTATTTTTTTACTCCCATTGTGGGAAAGAGGCATATCTGAATGTATGGCTTCTTCCTCTCTCAGTGTATCTTTGATTGATATTTGAGTGCTATTTTGACTTCATTGTTCTGACCATGACTATTAAAATTTGCAGTATATGTAAAACTTGGGTGCTATTTAAAATACTGATTTAGAACTGGCAAGAGAAAAAATCTAGCCTAAATAATATGCCAACTTTGTAGCATATTAAAATGTAAGATTTTGATGTAGTGATACTGGAGTTGAAGGACACTTTCATGTATTTACAGTCAAAATATTCAGGCACTTACCATCACATAGGTGATTGCTTTCTTCTTTGATATGTCTCCTTGTACTGATAAGCGAGACTTCCTAGAAAGTCATCAGAGTGATTTGGTTATAGGAGCACTTCTGTAGAGAATTGTGATTTTGGCTAAGGAGCAGTAAGCATTACACCTGAACTTGGATTAATACATGCCATGTCTATGTGTTTACACAGTGTTGTCCATAGGCAGAAAGGAATGTAGACAATATGGCTCAAGCTATTAAAATCTAGGATGAAGTTTGTGTTCTGCAATTTGCAGCATTCATGTGTATAAAGCTTTTAAAAGAGCATTCAGTTGTCATTGCAACCAGGGGTGCCAGCAGGATTTTATTGGGCCCTCCGCCCCACTTGTAAAGGAGGGCACAAATTTGCTTAAGTTTTGCAGATGCTTAGTGTCACATGGCAATTTGTATTGCCTCTTTGGGGTGAGATGGAGGGCTTAAATTCCCAAATGAACCTCCATTTTCTGTATCTAGAGAAAAATCGAGTGAACCACACTGGGGAAGACTCCGCCAAAAGGTTTTAAAATGTCTGGAGAAGGGACTTCATGGGTCATTTTAAAACAATGTTAGGTTATTCTTGAGCATGTACAATCATGGGTCTGGCTTGACACTTTGACTGTAAAACACTGAAAGGGGTTATCCGAATTTTATCTTTGAGATTGCTTCGCATGTTACCTGAATGTTTTGTTTAACATTCATTCTACATGGGATGAAGATTTATAAGGAAAGAAAAGAAAACGGGGTCTAGGCCTTGTACAGTAGTACCCCATCTCAGCATCTCTGATTGTAATGAATGTGGTCACATCCTTTAGGCAACCTTTTTAATAAAGTATATGAGCCTGATCATACATGCAAATTGCAGTGGGAGACAATTAGCTTGTCTTTCAATGAAGTATTTCATAGTCCTTTTCGGATTTTCACCATAAATGCTACTCTTTTGTTGCAGTACTGTTATCCATTTGTTCACTGCTATGTGACCCAAATCCAGATGATCCCCTAGTGCCAGAGATTGCACGTATCTATAAAACAGACAGAGACAAGTAAGTATAGCTCCCTTGGAAAGATTGCCTTAGTGAAGAGATGTGGCTAGAAAATTATTGAGTTTCCTTTGCTCTTTTCAAATTGGAGTCTGACTTGGGTTAAAATGCTCCGGTTATTTTAAAATACAGAAGGCTCCAGGACAGTGCTAAAACTGAAGTTAGACTCTAATCCTGGCCAAAATACTTATTTCTGTTGTTTGATTGTTATGGAACAGTTGAAAAACAGCACACAAGGTTTTGAGTTTGAGGGAGGGCGGAGGGAGTGCAAACCTATCCACTTCCATGGCTCTTAACTATTGCCTTCTGTTCTGGATTTAACTGTGGTTGCATCAAATTCCCCATTAGTTCTAGAACTGCTTCCAGGTAGACTTAAAGGATCTATTCGCTCATCTTTCTTACTAAATATACTTATCCAATTAGGTACAATAGGTTAGCAAGAGAGTGGACAGAGAAATACGCTATGCTGTAGGGTAAGACTATCTGCACTTCATGGTGCGTTAATGATGTTGGGACTTCAGCACTTGAGTGCAGCATGCTTAAGGCACTGGATTTAACTAACAAATAAAAGATTGTACCAGTTACTGAAATACAAAGCTTAACAGCTCGATCGGTATTCAGTGTGAGAGACCTATTTCTGCATGGCTAAACAAGTAGAGCCAAACATAAAAGGTGGTTTTCTAGTTGTTTTTCTTGGTTCTGCAACTGCTGCTTTATCTGGTAGGTATTTTTGGCACTACTTCAAAGAAGATGGCTTTGGTCATCTAATATAAACTGTTAAGTAAGTGAAATTCAGAGCTCATGAAGTAGAAAAAGTTACTAGGCATGTATAAGTAGGCACTAACATAATAACTGAGCATGTAAACATAGAACTGGTTCAATCACAGTAGAGCTCCTGCACAGTTCTCTCAACATCCCTGCTTTTTGAGAGGGAGGCTGGCTAAAGGACTTCATGACTTGATTGTGCTGTTTGTCAGAGTTTGGAATTTTGCATTACTTGTCATAACACAACCGAACATCCACCTGTACTTGCACATTAAGATGTGATTTTCTAACATGCAGTAATATGTTTTACACATGAGATAAAAAAAATGGCATGTGTGCTTTGCCCAGTGTCTCTTACAGATTTAGGTTAGTGATCAAGAACAACACCAAAAGTAGTACTGCGTCTTGATGGAGATATTTTAAGGCAGTCTGTCTGGCGTTAATGCTAGTTTTACTTCTTGTTTTTGTTATTTGGAGTGGTTTGTTTGGGACAGTTAAGGAAAATGGAAGCATAGGTAGGGATTTTGTATGTTTAGAATTCTAATTTCTCCTATTTTCATTTCTGGATAAAGTTGGCTGCTTTGTTTAGAGATAAAAGATCAAGAATTTCTACACAAGTTAAACTAGGCGGAGCTGCTGTGTTGTATCAGTAATGTCAAGTAGTTTCTTCATATTAAGTTAGCAACTACTTCGCTATATTTTGAGTCTTCTGCCTGTTGGATCGAAAGCTTGACTTTCTAGGTTTCATGGGACAACATAGTTGTTGGGTTTTTGTTTTTTTGAGAAAAGTAGTATAAATTATCATGTTCCTGGGAAGCTGAAGGAGACGTTAATGTGTGGAATATTTTATTGCTGATTGTAGTTTGGCTGATTTTGCTTAACATGTTTTCCTCTTACAGGTACAACAGAATATCTCGGGAATGGACTCAGAAGTATGCCATGTGATGCTACCTTAAATCAGAATAACCTGCATTATAGCTGGAATAAACTTTAAATTACTGTTCCTTTTTGATTTTCTTATCCGGCTGCTCCCCTATCAGACCTCATCTTTTTTTTTTTATTTACCTCTATCCATTCATGCACATGCTCATCTGAGAAGACTTTAGCTCTTCCAGCTTTGGACAATAACTGCTTTTTAGAATCTGTAAAGTAGTTATACAAGAACAATTGCCCAAGATTCAGAATTCTTTAAATGGAGCATGTGTGTTGTGGCCAATGTCTTCACTCTAACTTGGTTATGAGATTGAAATCATTCCTCACTGCTCTAACAGTTCTACTGAAGATATCGCCCAAAGGGAGGGAGATGGATGTTCAGTTTGCTCACATCACAGGAAATAACATTGCTGTAGCATCATCCATCTTGTTTTAAATCCTTCCAGTGTTAGAGACTGAGGTTTCATGACATACTTGTGCTCATAACTGGTATGGCTGGAGAATTGGTACAGAACCTGTAGCATCAGCAGAACAGAACACGTGATGTATCTTATGCATGTCAATAAAGGAATGACCAGTTCTTGTTCTACAGAGAATGGAAATTGGAAGTCCAACATCTCTTGTATTCCAAAATAGGGTCTCAGAACATTTTTGTAACTCTCATTTAAATTTTGTTAGGATGCTTGGAGCTATTAGTTAATCTATCTTCCACAACAGTTTAATATAGCACTGAATAAATGATGCAAGTTGTCAATGGATGAATGATCAACTAATAGCTCTCCTAGTAATTGATTTTATTTTCTTCAATAAAGTTACATAAACCAATGAGTTAGCTGCCTGGATTAATCAATATGGGAAACAAAAATCTTTTGTAAAAGCAAAGGTGGTTTTTGTATATACTTTTTGGGATTTGCCTCATTGTTTGACATCAAATAATGATGTGAAGTTAGAGTGAACCTTTTTGCCATGTTCAGTTATAATACTTGGTCTGTTTTCAGGTTGACACATTGATCAGCCCTGGAGTAAGCAGAACTAATAAGCTAATCTAGTAGTGTAGACTTTAGTGTGCTACACAAGGTACTGGGAGCCAAGAGTTCAAATATGGACTTGGGGCCCAGCTGATAATATGTACTGGTGTATCAGAGACACGTCCAGATGCACCCTGCTTGTTGACTGAGAAGCATTTCTTCACCGTGTACACTTGACAGCTGAAAGATCTTTATGTGGGAGTAATGAGGCAAAAATTGCAAAATAAAGTACTGTTTTGATGTGGGAATTGTCATGAGGTTGTGTTGAAGTGATTTTTCTATGTGGGATGTTTGCTATCTATCAAAGGACTACCATGCTGCCACATAACATTAATGAACATTTTTGTTGCAGTGGTCACTTTTCATTTCTGGTGGCTAAAATGAGTGAATAAAGTCATTGCTACTGGGTTTTTTGTTTTGTTTTGAGAAGCACTGTCTTGTGCCACTCATTCTTGATCTTGTTGGTAATAAGGTTTCTTTCCCCCTTTCTCTTCCTACACTCATGATTTTGTCTCCATCCCTGTCTATAGCTCAGCATTTTCTAGCCTTGTATGATCAGTTTGTGCTTCTGTGACTTCTAGATCCACTTCTGGCACTGCTTATAGTTCTGTGCATCCTAATTCCTTGTCTCCACATAACAGTGGAAACCTAGATGTAAAATAAATGTTAAACTAACTTTTATAAAAGTGGAATATGTAGTTTGGCCACTGTTTGTTTCAACTTTTAAACATGATGAAAACCTACACATTCGGTTGCTTATTCAAGACAAGCTCTTCATTGCTGTGCCTTCTTCAAGGAGCTTCCATCGCTAGTAATAAAAGTCACCTTGGAGGGCAAATGAGTGTTCACTTGCCAGTCAGGACTAGGTACTTGGAGGACGCTTCTCTGATAATTTTACATTAAACAGTTTCTGTAACCCAGACTGCTAGCCAAAATACTTTTTTTAAAAAAACGGAATGATCCGGCTAAAGCTAAACATACAGTTTTCCTGGTATCCACTAAAGTTTTTGGTTAATTCTATTGATATAAACAGGAGTTATGAAGAGGTGCATAAATGTAGTTGGATTGTGCATGGGCGCATTGTGCGCGACTGAGGTTCTAAACACATCTGGAGGTGAAGTCCATAGCAAGTAGCTTTCATATGAAATTTAGGTTTGAGGTGTAAAGTTGAGAGGACACCATGTTCTGGATTATATAGTTGTGTATAAAGCTATGTGTGACTAACTTCTTATTCAATACACATTTTCCATGGCTATTTTTTTACTGCTATTAAAATTCTGCATTGCTAATATACAAGAGACTGGTTTCTAAACTGTACTTGAAATTTGTATAATTGTACAATCTGCATAAATCTGAGGCAAAGTTAGTCATGTAGCCAAATGTCATCGCTTGGTGGTGTCCATTTCCAGTCTATATTTCTTACTATATAGTTTGTTACGGAGTTCTAGTTTTTCTTCCATGGTGGTAGGTTGTGGTATTTACTGCTTCATTGAGCAGACAAAATTCAAACTTGTATCTTGAACGTAGCTAAATTAGGGAACTTTACAGAAACCTGTTTGCATAATTGAGTGTTCTTAGAATTGAGGAACTTGGGAGAACTATAGTCATACAGCGCCCATCACCTGAGGGATAGCTCATTTGGTAGAGCATGATACTCTTACATCTCAGGGTCATGGGGTTTGAGCCCCATGTTGAGTGAAAGATTCCTGCGTTGTAGAGAGTAAATTATCCTTGTGATCCCTTCCAACTCTACAACTCTGATTCTATGAATTCATATTGTTCAGAAATTCCTACCTAGAGCCTTTTAAATTCTATTTCTTTGCCTTTTGCTGCTCCAAAAGCTTGAAATGTGCGTTAATTGAAGCTGAGAGCTTTTCTTATGATACAGGCAATGTGTATATGCACGTGCACACACAGTTCACATAGCAAAGCAGTGCATTTTAATGTCTATTTCGAAAGTGTGGTTTTCCCTTTTGAAGCTTGTGGTATGCACACGTTGGTGAGGACAAGAATAGAAAGATGGGACCAAGTTGAGCACGGGTGTTTTTCTCCAAAATAGCACTGAGCTAACTAAGCTAAGAAATGTCTACAATATGCAGACTTGAATTTACTGATGAACATTAGGTGTTTCCTGACTGTTTCAGCTTCATATGATCATATTGCACTTACTGGTTCAACTTTCAAGTAGTTGACTGCACTCCTGCCACTCTGTTGTTGGCACCCATCTGTCTCAAGAGACAATGGAGTGCACCTCTGGGGATGAAGTCTACCTGTGTAGTGAACTCTGGGCAGTGTATATGTCTCAGCTGCCCAAAGACAGGACCCCCTTTTATCCTTGTAGATATGGTCCAAAGGAAATCGGAGCAATAAGTTCAGCACCAGCTTGGCTGCAGGAGTTGCCAGAAGGAGGCGTACAAGACGCCGTCCAACCGCCTTAGGGACTCAACTCCCAGATTTGTATAGAGTTTACTCCTTAGCCTTTTCGTCTCCTAAAGATGTCCTGAAGTCTTTCACGAATGAATATAGCTGCAAGGCATTGGAGGTTTAGGATCAGAGTTTTCCTTCCCAAGTTGACGAGCCCCATCTGCTCCACATTTCCTTCCACAGCAAGTGCAGAAGCCGCCCTCTTAACCATTGGACCCCCTATTGGTCTTATCCGCTGATCGCCAGACCCTGTCTTCACATGTAGGGGACGTTTCTAACTCACCGAGGGTTTGAGACCCAATGGGGTGGGGTAGTACCTATGGTCAGAGGCACATTGTGCTCCTTATGGGGTAGTTTGTCCACCTTTGGTCCGCACCCTGGACTCAGCTCTCACCTGTGGCTTCTACAAGCTGTCAGCATGCGACAGCGGCCACACCCTGGGAAACAGCCACTTGCCACTCAGGAGGAAACTTGCTCATTAATGTGCCTAATTGATACTTCCTATCGCCATGTCTTTCTGCCAACCAACTAATGTCTTCAGAGAATTTATCTATGTGGAGTTCTTAACTTGCATTCCAAGAACGCTATTGCTACTTGGAACTTACTCCAAGGCAAATATAGCGTTTAACACCGTAATATGACATTCTTGAAGTGGAAATAGTACCTGTCAATTTGAAACACAGGCTGACTGTTGATTAGCAGGTATACCACAGCAGTGGATTTCTTGCTTTGGCAAAGGGTTGAACTAGATGAACTTTTGATGTTCCAAGTCTGATTTGCATGTTTGGCAACTAGCAACTGCTTCTGTCATGTGTTTTGCACTTGACAACTGCCTTAATTGTAACAGAACACAGAATCTATACCAAGATCATTCCTCAGCTTCCATTAGCAGTACTAAGTAGCTGTTCTGCTGCAGCTCCTATGGCAAAAGGAATGGTGGTTCAGATTTCTGTTAGTATTATGGACTTAAGTTGTGTAGGCACCATTTTCTCCTGGTCTGCATTGAAGAGACTAAGGTAGGATGGACAACTGCTTCACTTCAGGTGGTCATAGCATTTTTTATTGCTCCCCTAATAATTATTTTTTCAGCCACCTCCAGAAATGGAAAGTTGGCATGAAGGGAGCTAGCTGGTTTAGGACCCAAGTTCTAGTCTTATTTGCAGGCAAGCCTTTACATAGGGACAGTATATTAAAAATGGTATTCTGTGCCTGTTGCATCTTTACTATTACCTGAATGTGTAAGACTAGGCCTCTGATCAATGAACAAAAATACTAAAAGCAATAGGTAAGCAGTGGTTGTGAAGCTCTTTGTGGCAATCTCAGTCTTCTTTACTCTAATGATTTCAGGGTCATGTATATGGGGAGTTGCATAGTATCACTGGCTTTCCAAAGGTCATCTGAGCAATCCCATAGGGATAGGGTAGGGATGAATTTAGAAGGCTTCACTGCAACATACTGACTATTTGCACTTAGGCAGGTCACATCAGTTTGGGTGCCCTTACATATCACATCTTAGGGTTACCATCTTGGCAGCAGGAATTACTCTTGCCTACAATGGCAGTCTCATATTTAAAATTGACCAAATAGTTTGTTAGATATTTCCATAGGTCTTGGTTCATCCTGTGAATTGATCTGTCTCCTAGAAGTAGCTTAGTGGAGTCCAACAGACTTTTTCTAGATATGCCTAAATTACCAAAACCATTCAACTTACACGAGTGAGCTATCCTTATATCCTTTTACCTGCAAAGAAAAGAAAAGGCACGCCACAATCCTCTAGCTACTAATTAATTTGATTAATCTTAGCCTTAAAAGCTAACTACTGCCTGGCTTTTAAGCATTTCATATTGGCATGAGTTTGCTTAGAGTACTGATAATTATTAAGGGTGTGTGATATCTAGTGTGGTGCCCTGAAATTAGCTTTGTAGTCTTTATTTCTACTGATCAGGGATTAGTGCTGATATTTATGGCAGTGTGTGTCTGATTTTTCTTTTACTGCTACTATAGCATTGACTGTTTTTAGGAGAGGGCAATGAAGGGATTATTTAACATGTCAGTATTTTCTATATTCTACTTGAATTATGAAGTGACTACTTTTGCGTGAATTAAACACCAAAATGCAAACCCACCTCTACCCACCTTTTTATTCCAAGCACAATCCAATTTCTGTCTTTGATCTTCATAATTTAATCGGATCCTGCACTTCCTCTTTGTGTGTTGGGGGGCGGAGATGGACCTGAAAACCTGCAACGTTTAAAATGTCCACTGGAAAGAAAATTGGACGCCAGAACTGATTTAAGGGGAAATGGCCTTCTGAGATCTTGGGGAACACATCCCACAGCAAGGAAGAACCTCCTTCATATGCAAATCTGAAGTTGCATTGCAATCTTGAATTAGTGGCATAAAAAAATTCTGTTTAGAAAGTCAGTTTAAAAACAACCATCTGTACACATTAGTTTATTGCTTCCTCCTACAAGATGGCATTTGAATTCTGAAGAGAGACTGCATGGCTGGGGAGCCCTGGTCCTTCATTCTAAAGTGTTGTGAACTCAGGTACCCACTGAGTGGGATTATAAAGAAGTTTTGCACATCTTCAGAGGCATTCCTACTTAACATTTTCTGTTACTGAGGCTAGCCGTTAAAATCCAGTTCAGGTTTTCCAGCAGAAACCTGGTAACCTTCGATCCAAATTTAACCACTGAATACTGAGTGTATTTGGTGTGTGAACTACTTCCAGCTCACCTCTGTGTCTTTATGCACATTGCTTGGAAATGGCAAATGGTTAAAGGAAATGTTTGGCGGGTGCTATGGAATACCACTGTTTAAGGACAACGTGTTTTATCGGGGAACAAAAGCACTGGTGAAATGAGCAGCGCAGGAACTATTCGCTCTGTTCGTTTTTTACTTGTAGAATACAGAGTGAACACTAATGACTTACTCTGAAAATAGCTTGTATCTGTGATTTGCATTTGACTTTTTTAAAAAACCACACCACCTGCTACTTTAGAAGACTTGAACCTCTGGCTTCATAAAATGGAGAGTGAGAAATGGAAATGATTGCACTCTGTAAAGCGGAGAGAAGGAAGCTATTTAGGTGACTAGGGGCAAGATCCAGCCAAACTTAAGTCCAATTAAATCCCAGTAATATCAACTATTTCAAAATCCGTAAGAATTAAATTTCCTTTTCTGGGGTTAAATTGTGGCCTGTGAGTAAAGGAACAATTGAGTGAAATGATTCTATAGATCTCAGATTTGTAGCTTTCTGAAGTTGCACCAAAATAATAATAATAATAATAATAATAATAATAATAATAATAATAATAATATATTTATACCCTGCCCATCTGGCTGGCTATTATTAAGCAGCTTATTGCTTGTTCTATAATAGATGGAATTTGATTATTATTTTTTAGTATGCCACCAGCGGCCCCCCCCCATTAACATAGCTGTTTTGAATTTCCTCCCAAAATAGTTCAGCTTGGGTAAATTTGGTTCTGCCATAGAGTTATAAAGTTTTATTGCCTTCGCTTGAGAAGAGTGGTTTTGAACATTACACAGCAATGGAAATGATGATTCAGTGGATGATGAATGTTTTGGGTGCCATTGTATCTGAAGTGGGGAAAGCCTGGTGAAATTTGTAAGTTCTAGAGGAATGTATAACTCACACATCCCATTGTAGATAGACTTTAGTTTCCGTTTTGGAAGTTCTATGGAAATACATACAAGAGCAAGGATACATCAGTCTCCCGCTGTTAGAATCTCTATAACAACTGAAGCAGCTCTGAAAGTTCGCCTTATCCTTTCTTCAGTACACCATAAAAAGCTTGTGAGTAAATTGAGTTCAGACTGAGGCCTATCCGAAGTTTAATAAGCAGCCTGTGAATGGATCTTTATTCATATTTAGGGACTGGAAGGAGTTTTCCCTTCAGTCACTGTGAGTGACTCATTCTTAGGGTGGTTCCTTTGCTAGCTAGCTTTTTCCTATGGTATGCTGTTTAGCTCACTTGCATAAAGTACCTGGATTATGTTATTCAACTGTTCTGGCATGGGATGCCTTATTTAGTCATCCTGGGCATTCTGTCCCACTGTAGTCAAGGAGATCAAGGTAATCTGTAGCGGGTTCAGTGTGCAGAGTAGGAGGAGGAGCTCCTGGCAGAGTATGAGAAGAGAGAGAGATAAAAGAAATCTAGAGTGATATCCAAATCATTTGTTCTGTTAGCACAGGGATTTGCCATGAAACTCCTCTTTTCCCTGTGTGCATCCTGCAACCTCCCCAAATCTTGATCCAGAGGGTTGTGCAGATTGTTGTGCAAACAGATGCTTTGGATACAACCCATTGTTCCTCTGCCAGAAAAGCAAAGTTTTACTGACTGACTGTAGCCATATCCCAGTATTCAGAATGTGGCTTAAACAAACACACAAGGAGAGGAGCATGTGCTTGAATGTGCTGGGTCCCCCTCCATCCTCATTGGCCTCCATGTTTTCAAGGGTATCTGTTTCCACAGGAGAACCCGCTTGTAGATGTGAAGGCTCCCTGTCCGATTTACAGGATTCCAAAATGTGTGACAGCTTGAATGAACAGAGGAGGCTTCCCCGTTGCAGAAAGTTGCCCTCGAATATGCGGGGGGGGGGGGGGTTGAGGCAATGGGAGGAGTTTGTGTGCTGGTGCACACCCTCCCCTTCTTGTGTGTCATATTTGGGAGGCCTGAATAGGACTTCTCTGTTGTAGAGCCAGAGTCTGCTATACAGCCCTACATTCAAATGTATGGCTTGGGGCCCCTTACACATTGCATTTTCTTTTTTCTTTTTTAAGAAATGAAATATTTAAGTTGAAACATAAAGGGTTGTAGCCAATGCTAGCCCTACTCAGAGTAAACCCATTGAAGTTAACAGACGCAACTAACTTGGGTTCATTACTTTCAGTAGCGCATCCTTGGGTACAACCAAAAATCTATGAAATGTGAATATGATGCCAGGAGTTTGGCAACATAGGTATTACACAGGTTGCATGTGGTTTCCAATTGTATGTACACTTGGTAGCCAACTCTGTTGTGTAATGTGTGAAAAGACCTTGACAGGGAGAGAATCCTGTCATGATACTGAATTGGGTGATAAGTTTCCACTGCATCAGCTTGCAGCTCTTAACTCTCTCCCTTGGCTACCTTTTGATTGTTGTGAAATGCTCTTTTGGGAAATTGAGCAAACCACTTCCTGTGTGAGATTCTTTGGTTTCAAAATCAAACAAGGCAAACCTTTTTAAGTAACCAGTTACATTCCATTAGTTTCATTTTGCGTTGAACAGCACAAGGATGGGACTGTGAACTGGATATCATGCTCTTTAATTCTGTTTGCTCCTGGATTGTGGTCATTAAAACAGGAAAGAAGCAAAGACATGCTCATTTATTACTGACTGAGCAGTAGGGAAGGGGCAGTACTTTAGTCTAGTGTAAGCACTGAGGGACGCGGGTGGCACTGTGGTCTAAACCACAGAGCCTAGGGCTTGCTGATCAGAAGGTCGGCGGTTCAAATCCCCGCCAAAGGATGAGCTCCTGTTGCTCAGTCCCATCTCCTGCCAACCTAGCAGTTCAAAAGCACGTCAAAGTGCAAGTAGATAAATAGGTACCGCTCTGGCAGGAAGGTAAACGGTGTTTCCATGCGCTGCTCTGGATTGTCAGAAGCGTCTTATTCGTGCTGGCCACATGACCCGGAAAAACTGTCTGCGGACAAACGCCAGCTCCCTCGGCCAGTAAAGCGAGATGAGCGCTGCAACCCCAGAGTCCTTCGCGGCTGGACTTAACAGTCAGGGCTCCCTTTACCTTTTAAGCACTGAAGTAGCTGTGACTTAGAAATGGATTCTGGGTCATAGCATGCAAATGAACATCAAAGGCCATTCTGCTTTCTCATGGTATCTTTCTGGAACATCTCAGGGAGGTGGGGGTTGTGTTTTAGTGGTTCTGCTTCTACCTCCGGGGCATTTTCCAGAAAATAGCTATGAGAGGCTACTGTTGGGCCATGGGAGTTGTCCTGTGGTGTCTTGCAGAGTTTGAACTTCTCTCCCAAACTATTTCAAATCAGTTGGGAAGCCACTGAGGCCTGTTGTCTAGGTATTTGGAGTGAGGTGTCACTAATATGTGGAAGACACCCAGCACTGTCTCTCTGTACCATTTGAATTGGGAGAGGTGATTGGGGTGTTAGGTGGGTACTTAGATGTGGTGATGGGCTGGCTGTGAGCCAATAAACTGAAGCTGAATCCTGAAAAGATGGAGGTGTTATCTTTTCCAAGTTCTCAAATCCTGGAGGTGAGGAGGCTGTCTGTCCTGGATGGGATTGAACTCTCCTGGAAGGAGCAGGCTTGTAGCTTTGGGTGGGTGGGGGGTGGCGGCTTCCAGATCAGGTGGCCTCTGAGGCTAGAAGTTCCCTTTTATAGCTATGTCTGGTTTTTCCAACTACAACTCATTTTGGACTGAAGACTTCGCCATTGTACTCCACGCTGTGGTAGCTTTCCGATTGGATTATTGCAATGCGCTCTTTGTGGGGCTACCCTTGAAGATGACTCAGAAACTTCAATTGGTCCAAAATGCAATGGCCATATTGGCTGGGCTTCCATTTAAAACTCACATAACCCCTGTTTTGAAACATCTGCAGTGGTTGCCAATTCATTTCTGGACTCAATTCAAGAAACCCACACTATTATTATTAGAATTATTAGTAGTATATTGCCCTTCATCCGCAGGTTTCAGGGCAGTTCACAACATGAACATGAACATAAACACAAACACTAGTGTTTAAAGCCCTAAATGACTTAGGCCCCAAATACCTGAAAGACCACCTTCCTTATAGGTGTTAAGATTAGCAGAGGGAGCCCTCTTGGTCATGAGGGTCAGAAGCTCAAAGGGTGGTCGTGGTCCAGGAGAGTTTTCTTTATGGCAACCCCGAAATTGTGGTATTCCCTCCCCTCAGAGTTGTGTCTGGCACCTTCATTATGCAGCTTTTTTTGTTTGCTGAAGGTGCACCTGACCTTTGACATTTTTGAAAATACGTTTTTAGGGCCTACTCTAGAGTGTAATTTGTTTTGAACTATTTCCATGTTGTCTTCCGCGTTGTTGTGACTGGTTCTGGGACCTCGT